ATCTTATTATTTTCTTGTGTGTGTGTGATCCAACCAGATGTGTCACCATTTTTTCCTAATACTTTTCCATTCCATTGGGTTTTTTTTTTGCCAGAATCAAATGATGATGGTTATGAGATGTTTTAATAATAATGAGAATCAATGTAATTTTGTTCCATTTGTATCAAAATGCAACATCACCACATCTGCTGCTTGTGTATATATAAATACATTGTATATTTGAATGGATGATTTCTTCTCTTGGGCCTTATGTATATTAATGTCTTGTGCGTTTTTTGTCTTGTTGTGTTTTTGTTTTTCCATGCTAATGGATTGGACTTGGAGATGATCATTTATTTAGGCTAATCAGGTTTAAGGTTTGTAATGGACTTGTAATTGGAATTTTTCTCAAATGGATTCATTTCAGCATTTATGAAATGTATAATGGATATAATCTTTTCATTTCGATAATTGTAATCATCTCATTGATTTAAAGCCAATTATTATCATGCGAAAAAGATTTATATTTCGTGATTTATAATTATTATTATTAATTAATCAATTATTTAATCTCCACTATTCGCTAATAACTTAGGTTTGGCCACTTTTTTTTTGATTTATAATTATTGATTGATTGATCGACTAGATTTGATTCGTTTGATTATCTTGTTTGATTTTTTGAATGGTCCAACAAAAAAAAATGATCCTATTATCTTTCATTGATAAATTAAGGGCGGTCATTTCAACAAAAAAAAAACCATCGTTTGTGGTGGTGACGGTTTTTCTTATTTTGTGGTTGGTTCCAAAACATTTTTCATTCAATTTATTTGTTGTTGTTGTTGGGCGTTGTTGTTGCATCAAAAATGCCTCAAGGCAATCAAGGTTCGACAATGGGAGAAAAAATGAAATTCATTCACCCGGCCACACATGAACAAAAAAATTGAAAATTATGAAAATTGAATTGAATTTAATTGAATTTCCAAAATTTTCTCATAAAACTTTCTGTCGTGGTTGTTACAAGTGATGTTTCTCATGAATGAAATGAAAAAAAAATGAAGATTTTTAGTTTTTCACAAAGCCTTTGGCGCGTTACACATTACTAACTATTGCTATTTTTTTTGCCTATTTGTTTTATATTAAATTTAATTTTTTTTAGCTGTTGTTGTTGTTTCTGTTTCTGTTTATCCCATTGATGCCAAAAATCGATTTGATTTCGATTTTTAATGTGAGAATTCAATATTTGAACCATATGACGGAAATTTAATAAAATCGTTTTCCACCTCAAGTAGAGATTCTTTTTGTTGTTGTTGTTGTTGTTTTTGTTCTCAAAATAATCTATATATTTGTGTCTCCTTTGTTGTTGATTGTTGGTTTGGGTTTGGTTCGACCATTTTTATATACGATATGATAATGATGATGATTATCCAACTAAATAGATTTATCCTGCCTTCGTTATCATCATGAGTTGTTTTTGTTGTTGTTGTTGAATTGTTGGCTTAAAATTATCGAATTTTTTTTTGTTGTAAACAGAAAGTTACTATTTTTTTTATATATATAAAAATAACAAGCCATCATCTTGTATATATTCCCAGATGGTCATATAATTCGTCCAATGACTATAGTTACTATTAACTAATTGTCGTCATATATATATATAACCACTGACTATAATAATCATCATTATCATTAATGGTTATGTCATGACTATTATGATTATATTATTATTGTGAACGAACGAGACACACACACACTTACGTTATATGATTATTATAACCTAGTGACCAAATAAATAAAAAAAAAGTCACATCATCATTATCATTGTTGTTGTTGCAAAATAAAATTGTTCTTTGAAAATTTCACTAGAAAAAAAAATTCAAAGATTCATCGAGAAGCCATTTTTTCATTCACTTGCTCGATTCTTGAATACTTTCCAAGAATCGATGACTAATATACAACAATAACGAGGCAATATTTCTACTATTCTGGTATCCATTATTTCAAAATGATAAATGTTATGATGATGATGATGATGATGATGTTACATAATGATGTTTTCGAATATGTATGACGTGAGAGAAAGCGAAAAAAAAACAAGAAGATGCAATCGATATTTGATGTGGAGATATGGCTTTTTGTTGTTCTGTTCTGGATCAAGTTATAATATAAATTTGGCAAAAACAAAGAATTTTTTATTTCTCGAAAATCAACCATAAACCATGCAATAACGTGATGGCATTTTTTTTCTGTTTGTATATATGTGTGTGCATTGTTGTGTCTATATATATATAAATTGAAAGTTTGCAAAAAGCAAAAAGTTACTATTTATGTGTATCTCACTAGTATTTACTGGTTTTTCCCATATATTCCTCATCATCATCATCATCATGAGAAAAGCCGTGTCTTTCTTTTTCCCGATTTTGAAAAAAATTGATGACTCATCGCTGCGGATATTTTTTCGGAAATATATAATGAAATGAAATGACAAAACATGCCAAATGTTTGTGTGCGTGTGTGGATATTTTTTTTCAGTCCCCATTCCAATACAAATGAACGCAATATATACCCGTTTTTTTTTTGTTCTGTTCTTCGCATCTCTAGTTGGCGCCTAGGAAATTAATGGTTGTTGTATACCAGAAAAAAAAAAAATTGTTAGTCGTTAGCCTAGAAACAAAAGAAAAAAAAACTAGAATCGTGTTTCTTTTTTTTGGAACAATCAAAATGAACTTGGACTATTATGCATTTGGTTTTCTGTTTCAATCATTTAGATTTCAGCATTTTTTTTGCATGCCATTCCATTATTGAATCGATTGTTTCATGGTAAAAAATATTTAAGGAATTTTTTTTCTTTTCCACAACTTTTTTCTCATTTCTAGAGAGATTCCATATTGGTTTGTTTTAAAGTCAAGTTTCTCTCTCTCTCTTTTTGATTTTTATCAATAGAGTCATAATGATTTGAATCGAATGTCCTTCAGTTTTAGTTTCAAACACGCTCTCGTGCCTTTCAAATGATTTTACTAATTATCTATGGTGCTTCAAAACAACAACAACAACAAAATTCTTTTCATAGTCTAATAGCCGATCAAATATTGGCAATTTTTTTCTTTTTTTTCATATGGACCGATTTTGACAACGACAAATTCATATAATGTGTTTATTCATATAAATTGTATTTCAAAATGAATGAATCAGGCAGGCCACATGGTCAAAGTTCATGATGAAAACATTGAATCAATTCTATTGTACACACACACACACACACAAAACACAAACCATAATGATAATTGTCCAATTTTTCCTGTGAATGGCCATGATCACGAACTATTGCGTGGTTGCAGTGTTGTTGATGGTCGTGTTTATCACATTTCATCATTACAATGGATGAAATTGATTTTTTGGTTCTCTCCAATTCTTTTCATCGATTTGATATTAAACCACGCGATCCATTTGTGAATTGTAATGCCAAACACGTATCTGATAGCCATAATAATAAAAAATAAAGGAAATTAAATGATCCGAAATCAAAATCAATCAATTATGATGATGATAATTCTGTGATTCGATCATTTCTTTTTTTTGAAATTACATAATCATTTCAAGCAAATTTTTCCATTTGAATTGTGTGTAATATATATTTTTTTTTGGCCAGAAACAAATGTGACTTGTACGGTGGTGGTTCTGGTTTATATCAAAAAAAAAAGAAATGAAAAAAAAAATAATCTGAATGAAGAGCAAGAGTTTTTTGAAAGGCCATAAACCTCTGACGAAAAAAAAATCACTGCATGAACTTAGAACGGTTGGTTCGATGGATGGATGAACAAGATATGGCTTTGCATAATGATCATGATGATCATTGCAAACATTTTGATTTTTTTGTCAACATGATCATGATGATGATGATGATTGAAATTTTCTGAAAACTGAAAAAAATGACTATTTTTTCCTCGTCATTAAGAAAAAATGGTAAAATTTTTACTATTTTTAGTTTCATGGTCAATGGTGTGCTTGCTTGCTTGCTTGTTTTTTCAATTCACTTCAAATGGATCAGCCTGTTTTTGTGTGATATATGGTGGGTAACATTCATGCAAAACATTTTGGCTGATTCATCACAATGACACCAAACATTAGTTTCATTCCAATTTCTGTCAGATCGTCCATTCTCATCCATTCACAGAGAGAACAAAACTGTCACCAGAACTTTCTATTCAATGTTGATTTATAAAACTTGATGATGATTAGTATATCCTTTCAGTTTTTTTTTGTGTGACAAGTTGCATCCATTTCAAATGTATTTTTACTACGAAAAATCAATGGCAAATGGGAAATGTATTTTTATTCTTTCATTTCAAATAATTTATTGCCATCGATGATTATTTCATGGAATTTCAATTTTCAATCCGAATTAGATTCGCTATGACAATAATAATGTAATTCGATATGACATTGTTTGTTTCTCAAGAGAAAACGTATACGTTAGTGTTTTTATCCACAATCAATCGATTTATTGATTTATTAAAGCTTTTTTTTCAATGAATTTCCGTTTGAATATATTCATTGATTACATTGAGAAAAAGTATCGTTGTTGATAATTTCGGGCGTTGATTTTATTTCATTTCATTGATAATATTTATGTATTTACACAATGACCAATGTTTGACATATGAACGTTTATCATGAAATTCTCAATCCGTTTTTTTTGTCAACGTTTTTTTTTATTTTTTTCTGATTTCATTTCATCATTCCATAATAAATAATAAGATAAGATATTGCAATATTTTTATCATATAAACAATGATAATAATAAATACTTGGGAAAATGGCCCGTCTGTGTTTGTCTTTGACGCATACATATCACTCTTTTTTTTTATCTTTCAACGTCTCTATGGTGACACTGGTTTTATATGACGTGTCGATCGTCGCCAACAACAAGTGGTCCAATACATACGTTTCTATTTGTGCTCTATGCGTGGGTGTTTATTTTTTGTGTGCCGTTGTCATTTTTTTTCTTGATTTTGTTTTTTTTTTTTTTGTCAGGCAAAAAAAACTTGTTTGCTTGATGTCTTTTTTTTGTTTTGTTTGGTTTCATTTGGCTGAATGGTTAAATAGCTGAATTGTTGTTGATGGATGAATGTATTATTCACATAGGATTTTTTTCTCCATTGTTCTTTACCAGTTTGTTTGTCAACATCAATTTACCAAAATAAAAACCAGGTAAATATTTATTGCTGCTTATCAAATATGTAACCTCTGCCTGTCTGTGTGTGTGTGTGTGTGTGTATAATAACCCTTGAAATTTCACCTGACAAACAAACAACCGCGGTGTTTAGATGAACGATTAGAGATGATGGTTGTGCTATGGTAAACCAGTTGACATTTATCTATGATTTGTATGTGTGTGTGTAATCCATCTTTAGTCTACCTTTGTCTGCTTGCTTGATATATTTTGCTTTTTTTTACCATCCATCCATCCATTTCATTTCATTTCATTTCATTACAAAAATTCTGCTTGTGCCCAAAAACAACATTAACATTTCTCAAAATATTGAACAAAATCATCATCATCATCATTGTTGTCGTTTCTTTTTTTTCCGTTTTTTCGACCATTTTGATGAAAACATTCATCATCATCATTTTTTGAATGTTATGTTGCTGTGTGTATGTGTATTTGAAACTTTTTTTCCGTTTTGTTTTTCAAATTGCCAAAACTTCCTGTTTTTTCGTTGTTGTTGTTGTTGTTGTTCTTTCTTTTGCTGTTTGATTTTCCAGTTATCTTTCAGCTGTCATCTTTCTCTCTGGCCAAATATGGTTGTGTTTCTTTTTCATCGTTTTTTTGTGTTGTTAATTGTGATGATGATGATGATGTAATCTAGATGATGTTCATGAACTATTTAACTTGACCGATTCATTTGGATATATTCGATATTTGATGACATCGATAATTCATTGTGTTTTGGTGACTACGCCATCTTTTGGCCACAAACATTTGACATTTTGCATGTTGTTTTGAATTTGGAACAGTGAAACAGTTGTCGTTATTTTATTGTTGTTGTTGTTGGTTATGGAGAAAGAAAAATATGCAATAAAAAAAAATTTGAATTGAATTAAAATCCAATCTAGATGTGTGTGTGTATAAAATAAGCGGATATAAGGATCGTCGTTTGAAAATGGTGACAGTCAAATTAGTCGAGTATAAAAAAAAATTCGCATGACCATTCACTGACCAACAAAAATTTTTCACCGATGTAGTTGATGTTGAAGCGTTCCGCTTGCTTGCTTTTGCTTGCTACGTTGATCTTTATCAACGAGATGATTTCAATTTTGGTAATTTTTTTTTCTTATTCATTCATTCATCATTTAAAATTCACAAAGTTTTTCTGACCATACACACTTTGGTAGAATAGAAGCGATAAAAAAAACCGATTAATGATTGTTATCCTCGCGTAAATGAATTTCTAAATTTATCCACCATCACCAACAAAATGTGAATTAAATAAATATATATATAAATCAGATAAACACATCAACCATTTTCAGATGGATGATGCTTAAATCTTAAGCAGCAGCTGGTATAGACTACATGTTCCGGAAATCCATATTTAATACTGGTACTAAATGTATGAAAAAAAAAATTGCTGTGAATTTATGTTCTCCACTCAAAATGGATTGATTTTGATTGTTTCAATCGTTTAAACATGGAACATTAAAATTTGTTTTTGTTTTTTCATTGTTGAAATTCATTTCCGTTTGTTTTGTAGTTTTTAATTGCTTTTGTTCAATTGTTTATGGTGATCTATTGTTTTTCTTACGGTGATGATGATGATAATGATTGATTGCCATCAATAAATTTTTTTTTCTTTGAAAAAAACAATAGATTCATTTGATTGTGAATTGACTGGATTCTGTGGTTCAGATGATCTCAACATTCACAACAACAACAACAACAACAACTGATGTAGATGTAAAAATGTGATGTGATTGCCTAAAAATTACCTAAAAATAATTGTTTCCAATTCAATTTTCTAAAGTATTGGCTGCAAAAAAAGATGATGGCTGTGTATTTGGTTGTTTTTTCATCATTTCAATGATCGATTTGTTCTCGAATTGATTACCACCATGATGATGAGATGATTATGATTCTGTATGAATCGATTCGCTCTTCCTTTGGCTATTTTAAAGTGCCTCTTTTTTCATTGGAAAAAAAACTTTTCGGTCTATAATTATATGAGAAAAGCATTTGTTGTTGTATCCATTATTATGAATAAATCTAAATCAACGAGAGAAGATTTTTTCAGCCAAGGTTAGCAACAAACAGCAAACATGATATATGAAAGTCAATCAAAACTTAAATTTCAGCCGTCTAAGCTTTGAATTATCATAATTTTTCTTTCTTGTTCGATGGCCAATCCTTTAACATAATGGCGATTAGCATAACATTTTTTTTTTTTGATTGTCTAGCTAGAATTTTCACGTGTTTCTTTTTTTTCTAGATAGAAAAAAAAGTGGTTGAAAAAGAAAAAAAAATCGATTCTGCTCGACCATTATCAATTTTGAATTTACCGTATACGCTTGTATGAAATAAAAGTGTTGTGAATAAAGAATGGCTGTGTAATAAAAATGCCAACCATGGTTTTAACCATCTACCTACTGATCAAACCAAATCAATCAACTTTTGCCAGAAAAGAAACAGAACAAAAAACCTGTTGTTTTGAAACAATCAATGTGTTCTTGAACTACTTATCATCAACAGTGAATCTTTCGAATCTTATAAATCTATATACTAGATTGCAATCCGAATTTTGATCAGCGGTGGTCCATTGATGATGATGATGATAATAACCGTCTCTTGATCAATTTTCATTCACAAATCACACAAAAGATTATTTGTGATGTGTCTGTTATTTATAATTGACATCAATTTTTTTTTCGTTTAAAATGCTCATTGTTTAACGTTTTTTCTTATCATCATCATCATCATCAAAGAAAACAACAACGAATAATTGGTGATAAACAACTAAACTTTTGCTGCTGTTTTTGTAGGTTTGGCCCGAATATTTTTTATTTGAAATCAGAATTAGGCCAAATAACACAAAACACACAGAGAGAGACCTAATTTTTTTTACTGGTGAATGAATGAATGATGATTGCTACCTGTTTTTTTTTTTTTTGAATACGATAAAATTGATCAATTTATTGATTTTTTTCCGTTTTCAATCCTAAATAATTATGACATTGTGATGATTTACGTTATAATTAGTTTAGTTTTTCAATTGTTCATACATTATATTTTGCAAAATTATCCAATAGGTCGACCTCCAAACTAACTGTCTATATTTAATAAATTTTTGTGTTTGCGAATATATGAAAATCGATTAAAATAATCTCATAATTTCATCATCATAAAATTATGATTATGATTGATAAACACGTGGTGTTTTTTTTTCTCGTCTGGGAAAAAAATTCATTCGTGTGTAATGTGGCATTGATGATCATTTCTCTCTCTCTCTCTTTTCTCAGAAAAACCGATAGAGAAAAACAAAAAAGGAGAGGCAAAAATACATACATTGCTCTATTGAAGAACAAGATACGAATCGGAATACGGAAACAAAAATTTTCTAGCAAAACAAAACAAAAAAAACCACGAAATATGGAAGCCAGTTGATCAGTCAGATGAGAAGAGAAAAAGAGACTCGGTCAGTCAAATAAGATGAATGAATGAGAAGAAAACTCTGAGAACATTGAACAAATCTTGAATTTTTTTTTTACATCGATCAATTCAATAATAGCCTTGATTTGAACTTGTTGTTGTTGCTCGGCTGATGCTCGGGTCATCCATTGTTTTTTTGCTGTTGTTGTTGTTGTTTACGGTCATAATAATATTGCTCTTGAACAACAACAACTACAACAAAAATGATGTAAATTATTAATGCAACCACATTATGGTTTTATTTGAAATATTGCTTGTGTGTGTCAGATAAATAAATTCTTTTCATTCCTGTTGTTGTTGTTGTTCAACAACTTGAAAAAAAATTCATAAATTTCGTTCAAAGTACTGGTTGTTTTAAAATCTGTGCACAGACAGACAGACTGTTTATTTATAATTATCGGTTAAACCAGAAAAAAAAATTAAAATTTTAAATTTAAAAAAAAACTCAAATCTCTTTTTTGCCAATCACTGTGGTCCGATTTAAAATGTTGGTGACACAAATGCGTTTGCTCCATTTTTTTTCCTAAACGATAATAATCGCTTGTAAGGTGTAAGTCGTTTGTAAGTTGTTGGTTTTTTGATCATATTCAATTAATCGATCGATCGATTGATTTTTTCTGTTTTTTTTTTGATCAAAAAATTGTGTGTAAAAAATAAAGATTTTCATTTTTTTTCTTGCTTTTAAATTGAATGTCATTTGATATATATATATTGTCTATGACGATGACGATGATTGTTGATGATAAAATTTTCGACATAAACTTATCAACTTAGTTGAATGAATGAATGTATGTCACATATGTATGTATATATTTTTGATGATGATAATCAACATGAACAACAACAACAACAACAGGTCGAAATATCGTCATCAAGATGATGACGGCAATTTCTCTCAATTTTTTCATTTGTTTTGGCGATTATCATTTTTGTGTGTGTGTGTGTGTGTGGATTAATTTTTTGTTCTACAAAATCCAAATATAAAACAAAAAAACAGGATTTGTTCATTTCGTACATTCAATGATGTTGACATTGATGAAACAAATTTTCATTCGTTTTGTTTTCATTTGAAAGCCAGGACAACAGGAAATCCTTTGATTATCGTTTTCCTTTTTTTAAAAAAAATTTTTTTTTCTCTTTTTATCATTTTTTTTGTTGCTATTTTGTTTAGAATTAGAATCAAATTCTTTCTTGTCATGTGTATATGATATAAAAATGAATTCATTCAGCATTCATTTGTAATTCAATGCTATAGAAATGGTGTAATGGACTTGAATATGAGAAAAAATATTTCAAGTTTTTTTCTTGACAAAGCAACGGAAAAAATGAAATGAAATCTAATCTCGTCAAGACCATTTTTTATTCATCAGAAATCTAATCTGCGAAAAAAAACTTCGTTGTGTGATTGACATGAATATGATGATGATGATATGAAATCAGACGATAACATCGTCATTGATTTGTTATTCACAACATCATTTGTCCTTGTTTGAAAAAAAAATCAAATGAACCCAAAATCATTGAATCTATGGATGTGTGATATTTAATTGTGGATTTTTTTTGTCTGCTTTTGTCAATGATGATGACAGGTGTCAATATTCATCTCAGTATAATTTAGTGGAAAAATGTACGATACAAAATCACCGACAACGGCAATCATTGGTTCCACATCAATTGGACAATCAAATAATAATGGTAATGTAATGTTTTATTTGTTTAAATTATAATTTTCTATTTACATTCATTTTTTGTAGTTGGCGATTCTACAGATAAAGAATTTGAAGATATTCTCAATCAATTAAATGCATTAGGCAATACCATTGATCAAGAATTGTCACAAAAAGGCACAAAAACAAAACAATTTTCATCAAATTCAATTGATGATGGTCATCATCATCATATTATTATGCAACAATCTTCATTGATTGAAACCACGTCATCATCATATCCATCATCCAACAATCATTATCATCATCATCATCATCATCCATATGCGATACATTCCTATCATCATCATCCTGATGATGATGATTCAACAAATCAAATTTTAACCGTTGTTGGTATGTTGTTTATAAATTTTTTGATTTTCTTATAAATTATTTTGATTTTCTAGCAGAAAACAATGGTCATAATCATCATGATTCATCTGGTATTGTTATGACAATGGATGTTACACAACAACAACAACAACAACAGCAGCAGCAGCAACAACAACAACAACAACCTGTAGTATCGATACGAACCGATTCACCGGATAATGATTCAGCATTTTCTGATTCAATATCATTAATTTCATCGGAACAATCATCAACGTCATCTACATCATCTGGTGGCAGTAAATCATCAATGATAAATCAACGAAAAACAAATCCAAGTGGTCATTCTAGTCAATCAGTGAACAGTAGTAGCGGTTCATCGTCTTGTTGTGAAGAGATTCATCAAACGAATATCGTTATTGATCATCATCAACCACTGATGAATCATACGGTGAAATCGATGAATGAAAATCCTGATAAAAGTCCAATTCATAAACAACCACAGCAACAGCAGCAGCAGCAAATATTTCTCGAACAAAATGATAAAACCAACAATGGTGATGATGATTCTACGGTATGTGTTTGTTTCTCTATAGAGAATGCCATTGACCTACTATAGTATAATGTCCAAAAACTTGTGTACTTAATCCTGACCGATTTTTGTTGTTGTTGTTTTGTTCTTTTTGAATCTTTACTGTTCTATCTCTCTCTCTCTTGATTTTATTTTAATTTTATTTCTTTTTTCTTCTATTTTTTCAATTTTCATGATTTATCTACGACATGCGCATAAACACACAATTAGTTTCTAACTGATAATGATAAAGATGATGATGTTGAAAGACGATTTGAATTGATAACAAAAATTATAGATGATATTAATTGGCAAATTGAATCGAATATTGAGAATATTAATGATGATGATGATAATGGTGGTTGTAGGGATGATTCCAGCAAAACAGTTGATGATACAATTATCGATAATAAACATGAACAGAATGACATTCATAATGATAAAATGGATTTCGATGAAAAGATGCGTAAAGCGATGGCTAAAATTCATGAAGCAAATGTTCGTAAGGTAACGAAAAAAAAATTGTTGTTGATGTTGATGTTTTTTTTTTCTTTTCGTCAAAATACATTTTATGGCTTATCTGATGATCGTCGTAGAGCGATTTATCATCACACAATCATCATTATTTTTATTCACAATCAATCAATCGATCAAGGAAATTAATTTGGTAGATTGGTTTTTTTCTCGTCGTTGAGATATTCATCATCATCATCATCATCATTTTTTTTTGTTTAATTGTAGTTATCCTCTTATCATCATCATCATCATCATCAACATGCATGATGCTTTTTTGCACTTGGATTTGAAATGTTTTTTTTCTCATTCATTTATTAGTCGAATAATCCATTAATGTTTTTTTTTGTCTTGTTTCTTTTCACTTAGCTATATTTAAAAGTATTTGCTGAAGACGATTCATCCAAATGTTTATTGGCCGACGAACGGATGACTGTTGGCAGAATTTGTCAACAAATGGCGCAGAAAAATCACATTTCATTAGGAATCAATTATTGTATTATTGAACATATGCCACAATTATATCTAGGTATGTCGAATGAATGAATGAATGAATGAATGAATGAATGGTGAGAAACAAAGAAAACCATTAGTTTTAGTCGAATGCTCGAATAATTTATCATTAAAAACAAACAGACACACATACACGGAAGCATTTTTTTTTTATAAGCTTATTGCATGATTGAATTTTCTTCAAGTAAGACAATCTTCCAAATACATCATTTAAAGGGGCTAACAGAAAAAAAAACAATAATAATGACAAGCTAAAAGTGTTTGAAAAATGCAAATTTCTTGTTACATAATCCGATTAACCAGAATGATGATATATCGGTCCATAACCATCAGATTCATTCGTTGATCCATTTAAAAATAGTTGAAAGCTTTTCTTTTTTTCTTCTTTTAAGATGATTTTCTAATTTTTTCATTCATTTTTTTTCCTACAGAACGTTTCTATGAAGACCATGAATCATTGGTGGAAAATGTACTATATTGGGGACGTGATCACCATGATTTGAATAAATTATATTTCGTTCAACAATCAGATAAATATGATCTGTTTATTCAACCAGAAAAATATCTCATAAGCGTTACGCAACCAAACGAAAATGTTGATACACTGAAATCAGGTTCATTACGTGCAAAATATAATGCCAATCAATTACGCAGTGATTTGATTGGACAATTTTTCATCAATAATAATAATGTACGCGTGCCTGAAATCGAAGGAAATCTTTTTCTACGTAGTGATGGAAAAAAAGTGTGGAAAAAATATTTCTTCTCATTACGATCATCTGGTCTTTATTATTGCCCAAAAGGACGGCCAAAATCGACGAAAGATTTGATTTGTTTGACAACATTTGAATTGAATTGTGTTTATTATGGTTTCGGGTGGCGAAAAAAATTCAAAGCCCCCAATGATTTTGGTTTCGCCATTAAACATCCACAAATTCAAACTAAATCACCGAAACATATAAAATACCTGTGCGCTGAATCACAAGATGATCTTAAACTATGGATGACTGGCATTCGAATCGCAAAATATGGACATTATTTATTGGAAAATTATGAACAATTTAAAATGATCAACAATGATGATGATGATGAACTTTCTAACAACACTGTTGTTGATGATCAGAATAACGCCAACCATGCTAATGATGACACAGTTCAAGATGGTCATGCTAATATAATGTTGAACAAGTGAGTTTTTTTTGTTGTTTTAAGTTTGACTCATTTGTTTATTTTTTATTTTTTTTTTTCACCTAGAAAAATAACAACTTTTCCATTGAATGATTCAACAAATGATTTGCAACAAAATAGTACAAATTATAATTATGTTGAAGAATCAAACATTGATTATGATCGGATTCATCATCATAATCATCATCGTTCCGGTTCAATTACAATGCGTGCTAATCGTGTACCACGAAGTGAATCAATTCGTTCATCAAGTGCATCATCTAGTTCAGGATGCATGTCGGAACAAAGTAGTATTGTTTCAACACCATCCACTGCCTCATCATCATCATCATCAGGATCTTCTGTTGCTACTACAACGGCAAATGGACATGATCATCATCCGCATCATTTAAATTATCATCACCTTCAACCTAATCACATGACTTCACCTCATCATCATATTCATCATCATCATCACCATCATTTACAGCAACCTGTAACATCGAATAATGCATTTGATGCGGATTTTCCAATTGGTACAATTAAACGGAAACCAAATGTTATGATACAACCAAAAATACCATTAACAAATACTACACGTAATTTAGCATTACAATCAGATGATGCTTTATTAGAAGTTAGCGGTAGTAGTGGTGCTGGAGTGGATGATGTAATTTCCAGCACTAATGGTTGTGATGTCGATGATGTGCAAAATTCAATCAACAACAACAATCGTCAACCAGTGGAACAATTTCAACGTGGAACATTTAAATCGGGAACACTTCGTCGATCAACCACTGCCACAGCCAGTGATGAAACGCAAAGAAATAAAACAAAATTGGCCTTAGTATCGCCTCAACATCATCCACAAATTTATAATCAACAAACTGGAGTTATCGATTCAATTACCAATAATCATCATTCGGATGATGATCTTCCGCCACCACCACCACCGCCTCCTTTAAAAGAAGCGGAAAGTACATTATCTTTAAATGCTTCGTTTCCACCACCACCATCATCACCTGAAATGTCTGAAATATCACAACAACAACAACAATCACCGGATTCCATACCAAAATCCGTGTCGCCTATCCAATCTAAACAACCGATAAAACCGCCATCAATGGCATCATTGCCATTACCACCAATGACACCACAACCTCAAATGAAAACACGTCTAGCTCGTCGGTTATCTGATTTGTCGGAAAATTCTACATATTTTATGAATTTTCGTGGAAATTATAATGATGTTGTTGGCAATAATAATTATTCAGTAAACTTTCCACAGAATCGAATTTATGCACCAAATTCTAGAGCTAGTTTTGCATCATCATCTGATAGTACTAGTTTTGTTACATTGAAATCTAATTTTCTAAATAACAATAATCGAAGACAATTTCAACGTCATAATTCAGTTGATTATAATCAGCATCAACATTCAGCATGGGATAAATATGGAACATCGCCACGTATTCGGCCAATTGATACAATGATGATGAATGGAAATATTATGAATGAACAATTTTATCAACAAAAACCAATCACCACCACCACCACCACAACTCAAAATTATATGGCTTTTAATCCATCTAATCATCCCATTGTTGTTGGTAATTCTCATTGTTCTATCATTCCAGATACTGGAATTTCTACTAATAATAAACTTACTGAATATGATATACCACCAGCAAGAGTGAAAATTTACAATAATTCACAACAACAACCGCCACCACCACCACAAATTGTTCCACCACCACCACACACACACAACAACAACAACAAATGAATTATGCAAGTTTTACACCAACAAATTCACCTTGTCATCAAGCCATTAATAGGCCAGCAGTAATGAAACAAGAAAATCATTACATGTCCATTTCCCCACATTTATTACAAAAACATCAACAAATGATACAACGTCATCAGCAGCAGCAGCAGCAACAACAACCACCTGTAAATTATTGTCCGAGCAATACAATTTATGCTGGCAACAACAACAGCAACTACAATGACAATAACGTACCATATCATTTACCGGAAGATTTATTTCTTAAAAATATGGAACGTGTAATGCAAAAAAAATGGCATGTAGCACAAATGTTACAACAGGATCAAACAGCTACACCTGGTCAAGTTCTAGGATTTCGTGATTCAGCGTATTTGCCGCCACCACCACCACCACCAACAGATAATTCATATCCAAATATAATACCGCCACCACCACCATCATCAAACCATCATTATAATCAATCTTATAATCATCATCATCAACAGCAACAACAATATAGTTTGGCCACGGCTAATCATTATCATCCATTACCATATCATCATCAAATGGCTAATAATCAACCGAAATCGGTACAATTTTCCGACAATGGTCCCATTATCATGAATATGGAAAACATTTCCTCCGCATCATCAACAACAACAACGCCAATGACATCGCCAATACATCATCAACCGAATTATAATATGACAGCGGTTGGAGGCCAAAATCATCAGATGATCGGAAGATCAAAAATACCGCCACCACCACCAAAACGAAGTGAAAGTACACAGCTTACTGTTGTTACAACTTGTCCTAGTCGACGATAAATTAATTAATGATTCTTTCGCTCACAATTCTTTTTTCGTCTTTTTGGATTTTATTCAAATTCCATTCTCTCTGTTATATTTTCTGTCACAATTTCTCAATGTTTTTTTTGCTGTTGTTGTCCTAGATTCTCATTGATCATCATCATTTGTGTGCGTTGTTGGTGGTGGTCATGTCCTTGTAACGAATGAGCTTAAATTTTCTTTTTCTGTTATTTTCTAAAACAACAACAACAACAACAATATCTCAAAACACATAAACATCTTTGTTATCGCGGTATTGACATCGTTTGAATTTGTCATTTTAAAATTGCCCGGAGATTGCCTCATCACACATTCAGTAATGCAATACCACACATAATTGTCAAGCTTAGCAATTTTTGCCATTTTTTTGTTTCCATTTAATGTTCATCATCATCATTTTTTATCGGATTATAATCACCATATATACTCAAAATACACATTCATAAATGACATTACTCTTACACATATATGTATGAATTTTGTTTATTTCTTATTTATTTCAATTTTGAAATTTAAAAATAATTAACAAAATAAAAATAAATTGCAAAAACAAAAAGTCAACTATGATTACTGTGATTGATTATTTACAAATTATTATTATAAAATGTACAAAAATTTAAATAAAGAAAGAAATAATAAAGACTTCAAGATTCTGGAGATCTTTAGAGATTCTTTTATCGGGATTGGCAGATTAGATATTGTTAATGATCAGTATTTTGAATACAGATACCACATGATGATGATGATGATGATGGTGGTTTATCACCAAGAATCGGTGCAACACGTAATAAATATGGTTCATTAAATGATTGATGATGATGATGATGATGGTAATGTAACGATTGTTGTGAATAGCGACGGAATGATGAGCAATGATTCGAATTGTTTATATTATTATTATTCATGCCATCACCGAAACTATTTGATGATCTTTGTGATGATGATGATGTTGTTGATAATGTTGTCGTGGATAATTTTCGATATGTATCATCTAGATTAAATTTTTTCGAATTTGAATGCAATATATTGATGGCAAATATTGTTGATTTAATACCAGAATAAGTGGTTTCTTGTAATAATTTTGAAAAACCCAAAACTAAAACTGAAAAAAATATGAATGTACCACCCAATGCTGATGTCCAATATAATGGTTCATGTAGAATTAGTATGGAAAATATGAAACTTAATACAACACATAATGCCTGTATAACGGCAACGGCACCAGCATTTTCCATTTTTAATGCCAATGTGATGAAAAATTGATCTAAACCAGTGCAAAAAGCTGATTTTAAAAAATCAAGGTAAGTAAATTAGAATTTTATGTTTTTAGCCAAAAAAAAATCTTTACTTGTCATTATTATTAATAGCCAACATTCGAAACCGATTGGCATGCGATATTCATCGATAATCCAAAGACCAACAGCACCCAATATCACATTGGATAATGAAAACCAAAATATAACCAATGGTGGTGGCGTTTTACGTATTTTTCTCATAAAAATCATTGATATTGAGATCGATATGGCAGCAATTAATGATAAGAATACACCAAACAACGTTGATGACCAATCATTGATTAATGATAGTGTTGATGTTGATGAATGTAAATGTTGTGTAGACATAGTTGATGTTACAACATCATTCAATTCTTCTGGCAATGTTAATGGATCCGAAGTGAATAAACTACTGATGACATTCAAATGATCAAAACCGCTGGATCGATTATGTTGTAATAAATCTCTTTTTTCTATTGGCCATATTGGTAATGTATCATTTAGTTCGAATGTCAATTCTGCTTCGCGATTTAATGATAATGTTTTGCCACCAAATATAAAACTAGGACGGCCAATCAAAATGACACCGATTAATGTTGTCAATGCGTTGACAATTTGTAACAATCCAAATGGTTCATTAACGATAAAATGTGCAAATATTGCAATAAAAACCGGCGATGTAAAACGTATGGTGGTTGCATCGCCAAGTGGTATATAACGATATGATGAATAAAAACATGCCAATGAAATTGTACCGCAAAGACATCTGTTCAACCGAATCAATTAAATCATCATCAAATGTTCAAAAATGTTTCATGTTCACTAACCTCATAATCAAACTGATTCGTTCACCGGGTACACCAAATAGTAATGACCAATCAAATGGTTCAATTCGACTCGATTTGGTCCAATTGTTATTATGATTATTGTTCGTTTGTTTTGTTCGATATCTCACACCATAAAATGCAAACATAAATCCCAGGTATGTAATCGATACAAATAATGAGCTATAATTATTATAAATTATAAATATAAATTAATGACCATGTGATTTTACAAAACAAAACAATCGGCTAAAAACTTGACCTATATATTTTTTTCCAAAATGCTTATTTTAGCAGCAATTTAACTAAATGCTAAACTAATCATGTACAATTAATTTTTAAACAATAATTGAGAGGGAAAAAAAGGTCAAGATCATGGCTGCCATTTATGAAACAGAAAAATTTTGAAAAAAAAGTAATTTGAATTTTGAATTTCTATACTTGCCTTATCATCAATATCTCTAATGCATGTAAATGTGGATTTAATTTATATGATAAACCATTGAATGACCAAAATAGTACTGAACATAATGCAAAAAATATTCCGATTGCATGAAATTGTTTGAGCCAACACCAAATGGCTGATAGAAAATAATTTTTTATGACAAACATTGATGTTGATGATGATTTCGGTGTTGTTTTTGTTGTTGTTGTTGTTGTTGTTGGTGGTGGTGGTGGTAAATCTTTTATATTTATTTCATTGTTGTTGTTGTTATTATTTAGATTTAGATTTATCTGATGATGATAATGATAATGGTCATATTGTGAAAATTTATCCATTTTTTCACGTTTCATTTGTTTTTTTAGATCAAAATCGCCTACAGATAAAAAAATATAGATTAGATTGAAAATTTTATCATATAATGGTGTCATAGGAGGGTTATTCCTAAATTCAAATCACCCAAAAATAGATTTGATTCTAATTCAATCAATCAATTGATTGATTAATTTTTTTCGCTCATTCAATTAATCTAAATCAATTCAAGGACGATTGATTGATGATCATGACTACGATTAATAATTGATGATGATGATGATGATTCGGATTAATAATCAATGAAAATGTCATAATGTGAACTTTCTAAACACATCCTCATTAAAATTCATTTTTTTTCATTCATCCCAATATTAAGCAATCAAGTACACAACATTTCGATGATGTCAAATTAAGCATCGTTAGTGAATGTTGATGTTTTTTTATCGATTTTAATCATCATCATCATCATCACCAATTAAAAAATCAAGTTCAAGGATAGCATTTTTTTCTCGTTTTGTTTTTTAATAATTTAAAATAGTATCCACCTGTTTAAATCCATTTTGGATTATTCATGAAATAGAATTGAATTTTTTCATTTTCATATTCATTAAACTTACCGAAATTTTTAACTCTTTTTATGAATTTAATTAAAATGTTATGCATTTTTTTTTTTACTGTAGCTTCACGTTGAAATTTTAATCAACAGAAAAACAACAAGTTTAGATATTCTTTTGTTGAGCATTCGTTGTATATGTTTGTTGGTTGGTTTTTGTTAATTATTGATTGATCGGATTTCAAAAAAAAAAAATGATCATCCTTTGAATTTGTTCGATGAACGATTGATAGTAGTAGTCGAATTGGTAGTGATGATGCACAGTGCAAACATTTTATCACAAATATCGATATTGATTAACATCACTCATCAATGTTTGAACAGCAGAAAAAAAATCAATTGACAGATCAAATGTCTTCAAATTGTGTTTTCAATCAATTAATCGATCATAAAATGAAATGAATTTTTTTTTCATTCGTTCATTTTCCAATTTGAAATTTGAATTCACACTAATAAATTGGGTCAAATTATGTAATTCGTTTTTTTTGTTTGATTAGATAAGATTATTATTATTTATAGAAGAAACCAAAAATTCATATGTGAAAAATGAATTAGCAAAAAATGAAGAAAATTGGTTGCGAACGAACAAACAAATGTTGACGATCGAATCAAATCAAATCAAATCAAATGCCATCACATCATATCAGATTTCATAATATAAAATCAAAAGAACAATGATCATTAATGATTGATGATCGAACAATCAAAATGCAATATTGTTTGATTGATTTTATAAATCCTGTGATGATGACACATTTTGAAAGAATGATTAAAATCATTCTAATCAGCAGAATTGATTTAACATTCTTTACATTCGTTCATAAGCGCACACACACACACACACACACACACATCAAAAGAATGAATGAGATACATAGGATTGTTGTTTTGATTTGTTTTGTTTCTCTTTTTCTCAATGCATTTCACATCTTGCATTACACATTCTTTTGAATTAGTACGTGCTTGTTTGTCAAATATTTGATGTCTGTGTCTGTGTCTGTGTGATGTGTAAAATATTAACTAGCCCCCAAAACACAAAACTATTATTTCGGAAATCTTGTTTCTCTCGTGTGTAAATCACATGTCTCCTCCTCGATGTTCGTATTTTGTGTTTAAATTTTTTTTTCATTTGTTTTTCTTCACACTCTGTTGGTCCGTTATATTTAACACCAACACACACACACACAACTATTAACCGGAGAACTATTCCAAAGACAAATTAATTTAAAAGGAAAAAAAATTTTTTTTCATCGATAAATCACGAATTGATTGATTATGGTGTGTGTGTGTGTGTTTATGCCATAGATAGATTACAAATCGATCAATGATTATTGCATTAGGAAATTCTTTCTGATGATTTACAATAATCAGATGAAACCATTATGATCATCATCATCATCGATCACGATATCGATAGGTTAAATTGAATTAAAATTATTGACGTCAATCACCGGATATTATCATTTACTTTGAAATATTAATGCTTCAATGTCGATACTTTTATTAAATGATTACTGTTGTTGTTGTTGTTGTTGATTTTTTGTTTAATTGATATTTATCGATAAAGATCATCATCACCATCATCATCATTATAATTAAAATAATTATTTTAACAGGTAACATTTTTTTTTCTCAAAAGTACAAAATCTAACACGATTAACACTTTTATAACGAAAAACAAAATTGTTTTCGTGGCCCACACACACACACACACACACGAACAACATAATTATTATTATTATTAAGAAAACTGTGAAAATATTTTTGTTTGGTTATTTTTTTTCATCATAAAACTTGTGATTATTGAATGTGTGAAACTGAATTTTAATTATGATGATCAAAATCAATCGATTGATTCAAAGAAAACAATATGTCTGTATGGTGAATCAGGAAGAACAAAAAAAAAATTTTTTTTTTTTTGGTCGAATAACTTTAATCGGTGTGTTAAGGATTAGCATTTTTCTAATGAACCCTGTTTCTGAGTTTGTAGACAAAATTTTTATTTTAATCAAAAAAAAAAAAAAAAAATCGTCTACTAGTCTGTCGAAAAAAAATGTAGAAAGAAAAAATTTAAATTTTTTTTTCCATTTTCAACTTACCATGAGATTTCAATGTGAACATTTTTTTTTATTTTTTGACCATCAAATTTGCTTTGTAGAAAATTCAATTCAATTTTTTTTATTATTATTGCAAATCGATTCGTTTTTATTTCACTTTTCGCTGTAGTATGTATTTTTTTTTTTTTTAGTTCACACGGAAATGATTATATTTTGAAATCGGATGAAAATTTTGTCATTTTTTAATGTTGTTGTTGTTGAATTTCACTTTTAAAAATTTCACTGATTTTTTTTAAAAATAGTAAATACACGAGACAATAAATGATGTGTGGGAATGGTGAAAAAAAATTTTTTTTCGATTCGAACCGATTAGTTTTTTTTTTTGAAACAAATACACAATCATCATTGAATCAAATCAAATCAAATCATTTTTGATGATGATGATTAGCTAAAAAATCGGTTGATTGATTTCACCTTTTGTGTGTTTATGATTGAAATGTTTTTTTTAAATTGTGATTGTGTAATTGTCAGTGTAGAAATGTTTGGTTTTTCTTTTCGGTTTAGCTAACTAAAAATAAACAATTTTAAATTGATGAGAAAATGTGCGTGAGAGAGATGATTCTAAATGAATTTCAAAAGGTAAAAGTGTTTCATACATTTATTTTCGATTGATTGATTAGGGTTATCTGTATCTGATGCGTGAGTGTGTGTGTGTGTTTTATATTTTCCAATCGATTGATCAAAAATCAAAATAAAAATTGAAAGTCATCCCAACTCATTGATTTGACATTTTCGGATGTTTTTGTTTGTATGGATTGATTTGTGAAATTTTTTTTTTTTTTTTTTAGCTTCGCAATTGCCCATTGGTTGACCTTAGATTTTTTTTCCATTTAAAATTTTGTTTTCAAAAAAAAAAATATAAACATTCCTTTTCTATTCCTAAATTTGTGAACTTTAAACTTTAATAATTATCATCCATAAACAATTGAGATAAACATACAAATATGACATTCAATATAATAAATCTGATGATTATGATGATGACTGGTGTATAGAGCCCAAGAAAACACTAAGTTCATCATCATCATCATCATCGTCATCATCATCATGTAAATCGATTCAAGCATAAAAAAAATGAAATAAAAATAAACTAATAATAAGAACAAATCAGGAATTTTCTCTTTCTCTTTGATATAATGAGAGTAAAACAAAGAACCAAAAAAAAAAAAAAAAAAATGGTGATTGTCAGTCATCTTAGCTTAGTTTGTTCGTTGTTTGTATCCATTGGATACCAGAATGTTTTTCTTTTCTTTTTGTTTTTTTCACTTTTTACTGCACAACGATAAAACTTACATTCATAGAAATAAAAAAAAACCATTATATCGAGAAGAAAAAAAAAGTTCTTGATTCTGAAAGAGAGAGAGAGAGAGAAAGTAAGAAAATATAAAAAAAACTAACGTAAGTAATAGTGAAATGCAATTCTTTCTTTTTTTGTTGTCATCACAGAATTTGGTCATGATGATGATGACAACGATCCATGGAATGATCACCCAGACAATGATTCATGATTGATATTTTTTTTATATATATATATAGGGCAGAGGCAGGTTGATCCCAAAAACGACAACAATAACAACAAGCAAAATGAAATGAAATGGAAAAAATGAAAAAAAGTCAATTTTTTGTAAATGCTATAATCGTCAACCAAAATGAAAAAAAAGAATGACTACTACACCAACTAAAAAAGGTAGCAAAAACCAAGCCAAATACGACTGTGAACCAAATGATCAGCGACAACCAACAACAACGGCAATTGAAATGAAATTCTGGAATCGGCGAAAAAAAACAAACAACCAAAACCCAAAAAAAACAACTAAATCTAGTCGTGGCAACTTAATTTGAATTTTATATGAGTATCGTCTTGTCGTCTTGTTGCTAATTTTCATTGTTTGTTTGTCAAGTTGTTTTTTTCATTTATTCATTCATTCATTATCCTGATATATTCAGAAAAAATTTCCATTCGACTTTTTTGTTCATCATCATCATCCAATTTTCGCGAAAAAAACGAAAAATCTTTTGTGATTTTGAAAATGTCCAAAATTAGTTATTCGGTAATGAAAAAGCTCAAACTTGATCGTCTACTTAAACGGCAAGCAAATTTTGATCAAGTTATTGTTTTCGATGAAGAATTTGAATTGAAATATAATCATCATGGTAATCGAAATTATTGGCTAACGTTTGTCGATTTTTGTAGTACATATAAATATGATCCAAATGGATCATGTTTAAAAACGGCTACCTATAAGTAAGTGTTGAGAAAAGCCGATTTTTGAATTTACAATTTCTAAATCGATTTGAAATCAATGATTTTTGTTATTATTTATTTTTTTGCCATTAAACAGAGATATTGTGAACAAAGTGAATGAATGGTTACTACAATTACCACAATATCGTCATCGTGATCGTCTTACACCTGGCCAGCCAATATGGACAATTATTAATTGTGAAACATTATATGCAAAAATATCGATTAGTTTTTCAGAGAATGGTGAAATTACACGCAAACGTGTGATGCAATTTTCAAAATGGCCATTAAATGATGAATTGTTTATGAATCTTTATTGTGAAGGAAATACAATGACACAAAATTTTGAACAAATTTTTAATGGCCGATATATTGTCGTGTTATTACGTGTTTGGATGACAAAACAGCCATATTTTCCATTAATGTTAATTTTACCACCACCAACAATTGCTATCAAAGATTATTGGCCACAAAAAATTACAGTCGATGATATTGTTAATCACAATCACAATAATAATAATGAACATAAAAAAGTGAAAAAAACGGCTGAATTTCGTAGAAAATTGCGTCGAACATTAAGTATTGAAAATAGCAGTGGTGGTAGTAGTAGCAGTAGTAGCCATCATCATCATCATAATCATAGTGAACCAAAAGAATGTTTAGAGAAAATTCAAGAAATCACTAAACGAATTAATGGTGATATAATCAGTAAACAAATACATGGCCGTATATTGAATGTAATAACATTTCCATGTTATTATAATAAAGAAAATCATCTGAATGTTTCGGATGAACCGATACAAGTGGGTGGAAAAATTCCCAATGGACATATTGTCAACATGATACGTGTTTTCTATGTATGGAAACCAATTTGTGAATATGATAATGAGATATCCACACAGATTCCAAAAGAGCTGATCGGTATCATTGATTTTGTTCCACGTTGTATATCTGGTGGTGGATTCATCAAATATCCACGATTTGAAACACAGACCGATATTATTGATAAAGCGACAATGTGGATGACGAAAAATTCTCAATATAAATTTCTAAATTTTAGTTCCATCGATATAAAACTTAAATCAAGTATGTGATTTTTTCTGATTACATGATGTTTACACCTTGTTTTTTTCCCATTCAATTTCACCATTTTTTAGTGACCTCAATCGATTCGGGTGAAATGACATTTGCTCGAAATACAGGTGATTTTGTACGAATAATTAGACTTTGTTACTTGAAACCATATCTACCAAATAATTATGATAGCTGTAATGAAAATATTTCCGATATAATCAATTGGAAACCATCGGCACCAATTTATCTTCAATGTAAAAATATTGTATCCATAAATAATTCATTGAAAGAATTACAACAACAAATGAATGATTATCTATTGAAGGCGAGAAAAAATGATTATCATAATTCAGCTAATTATCAATATTATACCGGTGGTGAAATTGAACGTTGGCGTTTCATTTGTGTAGATTCCGTGGCCATTTTCATCAGTAATATTAGTAATAGTGGTGATTCACGTAATCGTCGTCACATTATAATGGCCGACTGTGATAAAAGTTTTCATGCAATTACAATATCTTCCAATCATGCCAGTATGAATCGTAATATGTTGAATGGTATCAATATTTTCTATGATATCGGATTGTATGGACGTCGTCCGAAATCAAATATGACATTATCATTGAATGATACGGATAATAATGATAAATTGAATGGAAATTCTGTAAGCCAAAGTGATAATATCGATAATAGTAATATGAAAAATGGCGATGGTGATCATAAAAAGAACGACAGAAAAATCGATCGGATTCAGCATTAACATCGGCTACAACCACCACTACGGATCAAAGTAGTTGTTCAATAGCTTAATTAATTAATTTGTAATTTGTTGAACATTTGTATTGTTGTTGTCCACATTGTCCACACCCATAAACTTGAAACAAACGTTAACAATGAATTTTGACGCATTAAAAATCATCAAAATCTGATTATCATGATTGCTGCAATCAATGTTTTAAATTTAGATTCAAAATTGAATTTTAATTATGAAAAAAATTACATAATTTTCATAAGATTCAAGGTTCTTGTCATTTCCTTTTTATTTTTTCCACCAACTATCGATACGAACAATCGATATTCGGCCACCACGTGACTTTGACAAATGATTCGATTTTTGTGTTTGTCTTTGTGTGTGAATGTTGTTTATGTCTTGGTATATATTGATAATTATCGTTCAATTTCGAATAAATAATTTGGTTACTAAATATTTTTTTTGAAATATGGCCACAGCCGAAGAGAATGATTTGCTGAAGATTCAAAATGAAATCATTGTAGATGAAAATGTTGATGAACAAGAAATTGAAAATCCAAAAGTAGAATTTTCATTTGGAACATTTTGGAATTGGTTTCTTCCATCATGTTCGGATGTTTGGTCATCGTCGTCATCTTTAAATCCAGAGATATTTCTTGCTTATGGTGCAAAGTCATTTTTATTTTTAGCCGATATTATTGTTCAAAAATCGAAAAAACATTCAACAAATAATGATACGAAAAAATGGAAAATCCATTACAGAGAAATTGTCAATGTATTCGGAACGAAAGCAAAATCTCAACATTTCGATGTATTTCGTTCAAATAGTAGTTATATAACAACAGTGGTGTTTGACAAAACATTCTCAATGATCAAACATGGATCGTCGAAAAATATGAATCAAAAAATTTATGCAACAAGTTGTGCAATGATTTTTCTTGGCAATAGTGATGGTGTCGGTGCCTTGTACGATTGTCATCGTCGAATAACATTGTTACAAAATTTGCCATTTTCAGCAATTAGTCGACAATGTTGCAAAACTGTTGCACAGAAAAAAATTCTCTCAGCTGCCTGGTTACATTATCAATCTGAAGGACCAATTGTTTATTATTCACTCGATACACATATTATCGTATGGAAAGTGAAAAAGAATGAGGTGAAAATCCTACATGATAATAATGAAGATTGTCAAAATTCTCGTTTCAATTCGGGACAACTTCAGATTGCCTGTTTGGCATCATTACCGGCTGAATGTTGTCCATCGTCATCGGATAAAAATGAACATAAATTAGCCATCGGTTATATGGGCGGAAAAATTGTCATCATTGGTTTTGATTCGATGACCGGCGATCAAACAACATCTTTAACAATATTTGCTGAAAATGGCCATAATGATGATATTTGTTCATTGTCATTTTCATCATATTCACTATCATCGCATCAATCTTATCGTCAAGGACTGCTATGTTCCGTGTCACGAGATTCAGTATTGAAAGTATGGAGTTGTTCAAACCAAAATGAAATTGCTGAACATCGTATTGTATCGAATTATCATGGTTCGAATCAAAAAGCAAGTGGAAGTAGCCAAACTAATACGGCAAATTGGTTCACAGCCGGATTTATGCCACGATCATGTGTGAAACATTCAAATGTTGCCTATGAAATCGTTTTAACAAATAGTTCGGGTGATTTATTAACATTTACATTACCGGAAAAAGGGTTGAATAGTAAATTACGTATCGGTAAAACGAATAGAACATTTCAATCAAAAACAGTGAACAAAAATCAACCAATGAATCATACGTTTATTATATTTTCAATTGCAATGGATCTGGAACATAAAATTGCCATCACGAATTCATTGGATTATAAACTTATTTTATGGAATCTATCCACTCGAACATCTGAAACAGTTTTCTATTCATTCTCCAATGGTGCTTTAGCCATTGATTGTTGTCAATCAGATAAACGAATTGCCATTGCATTTGGTAGTAATATTTTTGTTCTGGATTTTACTCGAGAAGCGACAACTAATGATGATGAAGATGATGATAATCATCATTATGATATACAAGTTCAACGTTTACAATTGTCATCGAAAACCAGATTTTTCAATGTCATTTGGAATCGTAAATATTATGAACGTCTTGGACGTCTAATTATTGCTACATTGGATGGCGAACTAATTCATTATGATTTAAATAGCAAAGATATTGTTTTTAAATCTAGCAAAGTTAATACACGTGATACAAGTAAAATTTATTCCATCATTTGGCTTGATACATTGTTGTTGGATGAAAATCAAAACGATCATCAATCATCACCGGTTGTATTGACATTACATCAAAGTGGTAAAATATTGGTCAATTATCTATCAAATAATAATGATAATAATAGCCATCGTGCACAAGAAAATTTTGATAAATATCTTGTTGGTGTGCCGGAAAATCAGAAAATTAAACGAACAGCCTTATTAACAAGTGATGAACAGAAGTATCTATTAATGGGCAATGATGATGGTACGGTTGATGTATTTTGTCGGATTGTTGAACCACCAGTCGATGATAAAGCTTTTCGACATTTATATCGATTTCGATCATTTAATCGTCCTTGTCTTTCAATTGAATATTGTTCACGAACTAATTATCTTGCAATTACTGCTTTACATGAAAAATATATCAATTGTTATCGACTTGATGATCTTGACAATAATACTTTGCCTTGTGTATCATCATCAAATATTGATGGTGAAGATGACGATAATGATGATTCAAAACTTGTTGTCAAAACTGTACCAATAAAATGTCGACTTAAAGGCCATGAAGATCGTGTTTCATTCACATGTTGGAGTCCATTCAATCGAATCGAAGATATTGATGAAAAAATTTTACTGGCCTCAGCAAGTTATGATACAACATGTATCATTTGGAATATTGCTAAACGAATTCCATTGAAACGTTTTTTTGGCCATAAATCATTGATTTACAGTATAAAATGGTGTCATTTTAATGCGGACTTTTTATTTTCCGGCAGTGAAGATAATTTCTTTTTCTGGAATTGGACGATTCAACCGGATTTTTCGAATGCAACCGATAAACAAAATGTTAAAATAAATTCTTTGCGTTCTTTATTGGAAAATAATATTAATAATGGTGAAGATTCTGGCGAAACCACCAATGATGCCATTGCCAATGTTCCAGATGAAGCATCTTTTGATTCAACAATTTCTTCATTATCATCGGAAATTTCAAAATTAAAAAATTTAGCAAATACTAAAACATTGGGTAATAAATCATCATCATCATTATCAGTGCCAATTAAAGCTTTATTTTCGCTAAATAATCAAATTGAAAATAATTCTTCGAAATATGAACATCTTGAAGATATTAAATGGTTGATACAGTTGAAAAAATCTACTACGGCCGTCACCATACCACCGAATAAGTTAGATCGTATTCTTTTATATGGCCAATTCGAACATATTGAACGATTATTGGAGCTGGAAATTGAAAATCATAAAAAGAATAAAAATCTCGAAGGACAATATGTTTTATCATTGTTTTTGAATGCTCGATCATGTGTGGAAAAATTATTGGAACAAAATGAATGTGATCCGATATTGGCTATGATTGCTTCCTCGTTTTCACGAAAACTTTATGAAAATTGCATCCGAAATATTCTCGGCGAATCATCGTCATCGAACAATTCTCGTGTTCAACAAATTCAGCTTAATTCGAAAATGAAATGGACAAATTATAGTAAAGAATTATGTGCATTGATCAGAATCTGTTGTCTAAATGAATTCCATGTTTCAATCGATTCGCTACTGGCACAGAATCTATTTCGTGAAGCAATCATATTGTCAGTGATACATTTAGCATCGGATACGTTTGTCAATAAATTATTTTATCAATGGCATGAATATCGTTTGAAACAGAATAATTATGAAGGTGCAATCAAATGTCTAATATCGGGTGGCCACTATGTTGAAGCCATTGAATTATTAAAGCAGAGGCGTACACTTTGTACAGAAACTAGTGGCAATTCAATTCTTCGACAATATGATGAAATTATTGAGCAATTAAAAAAAGTGTCAATTAAATAAATGTAAAAATTTGTAAGTTTTCATTTTTATTTTTGATTGTTTAAAAATAAAAAAATTTTCTGTCACTTATTATATGAACAGGACATTTTTTGTTTTCATTAGAAAAATTCTAGAAATTGAATTTTCACTCGTGAAATTTTTCATTTGATTATTTTTTTTGATCCACGATGAATTTGGCAAATATTCCACATCCAGGAGCATTGGTCAGCAAGAAAAAGAAAGCTTTTATCGGTATTTATTATCCGTTGAATCAATAATTTCGATTTGTTTTTAATTTGTTTTTTCATAATGAAATTCTAGGTGTACCAGCTCCACTTGGATATGTTGCAGGCGCCGGCAGAGGGTAAGTTTCAAATGATGATGAAAATTCGATTTTGTTCAGATTTTAAAAATTAATCAATTTTTATCAATTTAGTGCTACTGGTTTTACAACTCGAAGCGATATTGGTCCTGCCAGAGATGCAACCGATGTTCCGTAAGTTTGAATGATGATTAGTTATCCTATTTTTTAAATGACTTTATTTTAAAAAATTATTTATAGTGATGATCGTCATGCATTATCTAAATCAAAATTAGCCAGCAAAAAGCCTGGTAAAGATAATGAACAAGACATTGAAGATGATGAAGAAGATTTAAATGATGCCAATTATGATGAATTCAATGGCTATGGTGGTAGTCTTTTCAGTAAAGATCCATATGATAAAGATGATGAAGAAGCTGATCGTATATATGATTCGATAGATAAACGTATGGATGAAAAACGTAAAGAATATCGAGAAAAAAAACTTAGACGAGAATTGGAACAATATCGTCAAGAACGACCGAAAATTCAACAACAATTTTCCGATCTAAAACGTGATTTGGCTCGTATTTCGGCTGATGAATGGAATTCAATACCAGATGTTGGTGATGCTCGTAATAAAAAGATGCGTAATCCAAGAGCTGAAAAATTCACACCTGTTCCAGATTCGATTCTTGCCCATAATGTTAGTTTGTCAAATGAAACGGTCACTTCGATTGATCCTTTAAGCGGTCTAAAGACGGTCATCTCTGGTACATCGACCGGTTTGTTAAGTTCAGCACCAAGTCATTTAGATTTGAAAAAAATTGGTCAAGCTCGTAATACATTGATGGATATTAAATTGAATCAAGCTTCGGATTCCGTATCAGGTCAAACCGTTGTCGATCCTAAAGGCTATTTGACTGATCTTCAATCAATGATACCATCAGTTGGTGCCGATATAAGTGACATAAAGAAAGCACGATTATTGTTAAAATCTGTCCGCGAAACGAATCCAAATCATGCTCCAGCATGGATTGCATCGGCAAGATTAGAGGAAATAACGGGAAAATTACAAACAGCACGAAATCTCATCATGAAAGGCTGTGAACAATGTGAAAATTCCGAAGATATATGGATAGAAGCAGCTCGTCTTCAACCACCTGATCTCGCTAAATCAGTCATAGCACAAGGTGTACGAAAACTTGGAAATTCATCCGTTCGTCTCTGGATAAAAGCAGCCGAATTAGAAAAAGAAGTAAAAGCAAAAAAGAAAATCTTTTCGTAAAGCATTGGAACATATCCCGAATTCGGTACGATTATGGAAAGAAGCTGTCGAATTGGAAGAACCAGAAGATGCACGTATCCTTCTAACTAGAGCTGTAGAATGTTGTCCAACAAGCGTTGATCTGTGGTTAGCATTAGCTCGATTGGAAGTGTATGAAAATGCTCGAAAAGTATTGAATAAAGCACGTGAAAATATACCAACTGATAAACAAATATGGTTTACGGCAGCCAAACTTGAAGAAGCACAAGGTAATTTATCTATGGTACAGAAAATTATTGATCGTGCACTGAATTCATTACAAGCCAATGGTGTTGAAATTAATCGTGAACATTGGGTACAGGACGCTATTGAAACGGAAAAATCTGGCTCAAAAGCAACTGCACAAGCTATTGTCAAATCAGTAATCGATTTTGGAATCGATGAAGAAGATCGTGAACATGGTTGGCTAGAGGATGCTGAAAATCTGGCCAATTCTGAAGCCTTTGAATGCGCAAGAGCTGTTTATGCAAATGCATTGAAAGTATTTCCTAAAAATGAAAATATCTGGCTACAAGCTGCATTTTTCGAAAAAAATCACGGAACTAAAGAAAGTCTTGAATCATTATTAGAATTAGCCGTTGTTAATTGTCCACAAGCTGAAGTACTTTGGTTAATGGCCGCTAAAAGTAAATGGCTTGGTGGTGATGTACAAGCTTCACGTCAAATATTATCCCGGGCATTCGATGTGAATCAAAACAAAGAGGAAATATGGTTGGCAGCCGTCAAATTGGAATCGGAAAATGCTGAATATGATCGTGCCCGAAAGATTCTGGAGAAAGCTCGTGAAAAGAATAGTACACCACGTGTGTATATGAAATCGGCTAAATTGGAATGGCAATTAGGAAATTTATCTCGTGCTATTGAATTACTTGAGATGGCAATCAATCACTGGGATGATTATCCTAAAATATGGATGATGCTTGGACAAATACATCAACAAACGGGTCGTATTAATGAAGCTCGTGAAATCTATCAACGTGGACTTAAATCAAATAATTCAAACGTTGCATTATGGATATTGTTGGCTCGACTTGAAGAATCTGAAGGAGCTCTAATTAAAGCACGTTCTGTACTGGAAAAAGGTCGTTTAAAAAATCCGAAAAATGATCTTTTATGGCTGGAAGCTGTTCGTGTGGAAATTCGAGCCGGTAATAAAGAGATTGCTTTGCCGATGCTGTCGAAAGCCTTACAGGAATGTCCACAAAGTGGTATGTTATGGGCTGAAGCTATATTCATGGAAAATCGTCAGCAACGAAAAAGTCGAAGCGTTGATGCATTGAAACGTTGTGAACATGACGTTCATGTGCTGTTAGCCTGTTCATTATTATTTTGGTGTGAACGTAAGATGACCAAAGCTCGTGAATGGTTTAAACGTACGTTAAAATTGGATCCCGATCTTGGTGATGCATGGGCCTATGCATATAAATTTGAAATATTACACGGTTCACAGGAACAACAAATGGAATTGAAAAAACGATGCATCCAAGCCGAACCTCGACATGGTGAACACTGGTGTCAGGTGTCTAAAGATATCAAAAATTGGAGGCTTAAAATTGGCGATATTCTTGAAATCGTTGCCAATGAATTACCCATTCCTACTTGATTTTTTTTTCTTTGATTTATTTTCTAAATTCGTTCAATAAAATATTCGGTTTTCCTTTTTATGTCGACAGATGGCAGCACTTGAAAAATTCATGTTTTTATGAATTCACAGAGAATTGATGATAATTGTTTTTCAATCTATTGCACAAGCAATTTCGGACAATCATTTGTCAACGGAATAATCATTTTCGTACCAGGTTCAATTATAATATCATCTTCGATACGAATTCCAATATTACGAAATTCTTCTTTGATTGGCAATCCTTGTGCCGGAAAATAGAGGCCCGGTTCAATTGTGAAACACATTCCTGGTAATAATGGCAACGAACGTGATACCGATGGCGTATCATGAATATCTAAACCTAAATTTATATGGAACGGAAATTAATTTTAATGACACATTTTAATCAATAAAATTCATTGAATTACCTAAATAATGTGAGACATGGTGTGGACAAAGACGTTTGATAATATTTCGTACATCATCATTTGAAACGGATTCATCGAACATATTGAATTCAGGCAGAATTCGTGCCATTATATTCAACATTAATTGATTGAGATCATTCAAAGAAGTATGGCCAATAGTGATTGAATTGACTAATTCATGTTGTATGCCAATCAATGCTTCATATAATTGTGATTGTAATTGAAATTTATCATTCTTGATCGAATTTCGATTCATGTCGATGGGCCATGTACGGCTTATATCACAGCAATAACCATCAACATCTTCACATCCTACATCGGTTAATATCCAACAATTATCATTATCATTACGGGTAATGATATGATCATTGCGGCCATAATGAATAATAGTTGCACGTGGACCGCTTGCACAAACACTTGGAAATGATTGATGTCGTGCACCTAATAACTTGGATTCAAAATTAAACTTTGCATCAATATGTGATTCAATGAAAGTAAATGATGGATTATCATTAGTGTTGGTTGTTGAAAACAGTCGTCTGCTCCATTCAATCGTATTGGTGAGAGCCAATGCACCAATATGACCAACACGTTTCATGGCTTTTACTTCTTGACTAGATTTAATCACCCGTAATTGATCGATAAATAAGGAAATATCACGTATATTAACCGATTGAATCGTTTGTCCTAAACTTGTTGACCATTTTTCCATTTCTTTGTCAAATGATGTTGTAGAAGATTTAAGATAAAATTTAAGATGTGTAACTAATTCAGGACGATATTCCAATGTTTTTCTTGATATAAACATATCACGACGATAAGGTTTTATATGTTTATTTATGAAATTCACTAATTCGGTCAATGGTTGACAATCATCACAGATTTGTTTAAGCCATAGTTCATATTGAACATTTAGTTCTGGTCCATGCCATTGTTTTTCACTTTTCGTACGATTCGATGAAAATATTATCGAACGACATGAATCGATACAATCAGGATTTTCAAGAAAAATTGCCAGAACACAATTACTTGTTAGTTGATCACTAGTACCTGAATGAAGTCCAGTCAGATAAGTAAAATCGGTATTTTGTTTACATTCATTCACCGGTATCTTTGTATTGCCTTGATATTGTGGCGGGGGTGTTGCAATCAATATTAAAGGTGATAAATTTTTGAATGATGGCTGAATTTTTCTTAAATGTTCACATGCAAGAAGCATAAGATTTTGTTGTCTATCTCGTATTTCTTGATGGCTTATGAACGACACGTATGCCGTATCATTTAATGATGATATAATTTGATCGTTTGTTTGCTGTTGTGGCATGATAAATGATCGTGAAATATCATGTTCATGTTGATAAAGTGTATCATTCGATGATAATAATATGCCACTAGTATGGATTCGACGTTTTATGTTGATATCATTATAATTGATGACTAGATTTAAATTACGACATTGTAATAATGATGCACGATGATGATGAAATGATTTTTGTTGAAATAAATTAAAAAATCGTTGACGATAATAGCGATGTAATTGAGCCATTTAGCTATCTATTGGATAGAAAAATATAAAAATATGAATAAATTTAATCGAATTGAACACCTTACCAGAAACAAATGAAATTATTTCTCGGTCAAATATTTCGCTTTTTATATGTCGATGATTAGGCCAAACAGAAAACCAATTGGTTGAAAATATCAAGTAAGACAAATATAACGGTTCATCATTTATCGCAAACATTGATATGACGACAGTAAAAATAGAATACGTTGTTGTTATTCGTTCATCATCATTTTTTTCATTGGAAACATTGTAGCTTTGGGTACAAAGAAAAAAAAATTCACATACACATCTGGGAATGCACAATCGAATGAAATCAGCTGAGAATAGCACAAAAATAAAAATTGGAAAAAGAAACCATTATAATTCCAATGCATTTGAGTATAATAATAATAAGTTTTGGTTTTCTCTTGATGAAAAAGTGAAGAATAAATTTTTTCCAATGTTTTTTTCAGATTACAGATGGCAAAATATTTTTATTTTTTGACGTCATATTTTTTTCAGCAACATAAATTCTGCCTTTAGGCCAATATATTTCTTTTTCAGCTTCAAATTTTCATTATTATTGACGACGACCACGATTTGAATTCTATTTTTGACAAAAAAAAATGAAAACTTTTCATTTCTAGTTATTATTAAAAAGATTTCAATGAATTATGATGAACGGAAAAAAAATTCAATTTAAACTTGACTTTTTTTTAAAAAAATTTTGCTTTTTGATGTGGCGCAGCATCCAGAATGGTTTTTTTTCATCACAATTTTTTAGTATTTTGAAAATAAAATAAATTGATTGTCATGATTTTTCAAATATTTGATCGAGATTTTTTTTTTATTTAGGTGAACCATCTATTTCAATCGAATCACTGTTTGACCGGTGATGGTCATTAGAATCAATTACCAAAAAAAAAAAAAAAAAATGACCACCATAATGGACTGTAAATAATTCGAATCTTATTGAACATTGTGCAGCAAAAAAAAAAATAATGAGACAATAATTTATACTATTGCCATTACAGATCAAATCTAATGTACACACAAGAGAGAGAGAGAAAAAAACAAAATTAATCTAGCAATAAATAACTGAACTACCAAAAACTACTAAATAAATTCCAATATATAATATATATTGATGTTGACGATGAAGAATTAATTTTCCTATTTTTATTACATCGATTCAAACTGATTATCAATTTTCGTTGGTTCAATATATATTTATCTATCTAAATACGGTGGTCTACATTTTTTTACTGAAAAAATCTAAATTGGAAATGAATCACAATGAATGTTTTCTGTTATACAGGTACCAGCAGCAGAACAGCAAGAATCTGCATAAATAATTGGTACATTTAATGAACTATTAACGGAAATGAATCAATGAATTCATCATAATAATTGGAATTTTCATTTTCGATTTAGCCAGGCAGACAAATTGCCCATTTTTTTTTTTTTGATTGTAAACAACAAAACAAGCAAAAGAAAAACAATAATAATAATAACCATCGGACCAAAATACACATAGGGATTCTTCTCTCTGTGCATTTGTGTGTGTGAATTCACTAATATAATAGTTTACCAAGAATCAGAGAGTTTAGTTTTTTTTGAGTTGAGTTGATGATCCGATTATCGTCAAAATCTTTGGAAAAAACGAATATATATGAAAAATGGAATAAACATAAAAACTAAACCTAAATTATATCGTATATGAGAATCATAGAGGATAAAAAAAGAGAGCTTAAGATAATTATACTAATGATGATGATGATGCGATTTTTGTCTATTGTCCATTTGTTTGTTTGGCCAATCTATCATTTTCATCATCATTCCCTAATTGAATGTTTTGTTTACGATGGACTTTGATAAATAGAATGAACAGCAGTATATAAATTCATAAAATCATGGATGTTTTTAAATGATAAAAATTTGATTTACATTTATATGATACTTACATTTAATATAAATGATGATGATGATGAACACTTGAAACAAATAATTTTTTACAAACACCCAAAAGAAATCTTTTTTAATTTTTGGTAAAAATAATTCGAATGTCATCATGTGACGTAATGTGTGAGCGTGTGTGTGTGTGTGTTTGCGTGTGCCATTCAAATATAATGTTTTCGAAATTGGTGATTCAATGGAAATTCAATTTTTTCAAGTATTTTTTTTCAAATTCTCAATGTTTGATTTCATTTTTTCTCTCTCTCTCTCTCTCGTCCCTTTCAAAGTTTGTTTGTATACTAATTCTGTCAATAATAGTATTGTCTTCAACAGTGAAAAAAAATGAATTAATAGAAAAATGTGTAATATAAATATGAATTCGTTTTTTTTTTTTGGTTCCGATATATTTTTGTGGGAAAAAAAAGTTCAACAATGATGAAAGAAAAAATGTATTCAAGTGTTTGTTTTTGAGAAACGCATGCGATTTATATTGGATATAGCACCTTTAAGATTCTATATACATATAAAAATCGGGTGCAAACGCAAATCAAATTTCATGGAATAAAGTTGCATGGAATATGTTGAACAAATTTCGAGAGAAAGAGAGAGTCAGCGCAAAACAAAACAACATTCAAACTCTGATGATCCATACAAGAAAATTTTGAATCGGATTGGTTCAGCAGTTGGTAACTATTCCTTTCATCATCATAAAGTATTCAGTATCAAATCGATTCATATACGACAACTAACGAATTTCATTCATTTTGATTTAGGTGTATGATGTGAATTGCCAATCAATCCATTGTGTTTGCTGAATTGTTTTCGTTCATTATTCGATCGTGCTTGATAATTGGTGATGATATTTTTGGCCTGCTGTTATTTTATCGAATTTTTCTTTCTCATTTCACAATTAATGCAGTTTTCATCCGAATTGCTGATCAAATTAGGATCAATCACTAAGAAACAAAATTGAACAATATCCATTTGCCTGATCATAGTCATCAAGAAATTTTTCTTCTTGACCGTTTTTTTTGTTTTGTTTTGTCGTTAATTGGGCCTTATTGTGTGTAAATGTTTAGCTGAAATTCATTCTTTCATTTCTTCTGTCCATTGTCCAAATTGATCATTTCATTTACGTTATTTACATCATCATTACATATCGAAAATGAGACGAAGAAAAAGTTCTTGTCCAAATATTGAACCACGACGTACATCGGCAACACCGAATCGTAGTAGTATGAAGCTTGATCTTTATATTGAAGATGATGAACTACTTCCAGCACCGGTACGTCGTAATTCACCATCACCAACATCTGTTTATGATCATCATCATAATAATCAAAATAATCGTCGACGATCATCATCATCGACAAACAATATTGAAGATACAGCCGAAGAGGTTCTTTGTCTGCGTCTTTTGAGCACACGTACTCGTTATCGTTTCGGTGGTCTTCGTGTAAATCTAATTAGCCCAGTGTTTAATATGGATAAATTATTCAACGTTGAATTTGATCAAGATAGTCAAATTGCATTGATTAAAAGTCAACAAACAAGTTTTGATCAACAACAACAATCACCGGATATGTCATTTTTTTACAATAATATAGATGCTCAACCGAAATCTAGTGGTGGTAAATGTGCAACAATAGTTATTGAACCAGAAAGTGAAGAACAAAAAGATGAAATCACTAGACAATTACCATTATTAACAGCTGATTTAACATTATTAGAAGGTTAGTGATGCAGAGTTTGCAAATTATTTGAAAATTGTATTTTTTTTTTTGCTAATCAGTATTAGTTTCTTTTGTAATTTATCATGAATTAAAATCCATTTATAGATACTTGTAAAACATCCACCATTGATCACAACACTAATAACAACCATAATAATAATCATGGTAAAAATCATCATCAAACAGCGCGTAGTCTGACTCGTATACCAGAACCAGAATCAACGGAACAATCATCAATACGACGATATGCAAAACGTCATCAATCAACATCATCAATAAATCACAATAATAATAATGATGATATTAAATTTGAAAGTGTTAAGGTTTATACAAAAGTTGAACCACCAGATCCAAATTTAATTAATTTGGAATTAAAAAATGATTCATTTCTTCATCTTCATCAACAACAACAACAACAACAACAACAACAACAAACATCACCATCGAAAAAGAAAAACGATAAAAAGGATAAAGGATCAAAGAAAATTAAAGATATGCGTCGTCATACACATTTCTATTGTCATATACCAACATCGTTGACATCGTCTTCGTCATCATCACATCATCAGAAATCATCCAATTAATTCTCGTGAAAATGAGGAAAGACAATCTGAAAAGGAAAAAAAATCATCAAACAAAAATTTAATCAAATGATCATGATGTACGATTGATTGATTTTTGTTCACCAGGCAAAAAAAAAATCAAAATGGTTCAATTATCGAAAAAATCGGGCCTGTTTGAATGAAAGTGAAAATTTTCAAATGAAAAAAAGAAAATTCCATCACTAACCGATCATCATTATTATTCGTATATGATATATAATAGTCCACCATTCATTCATTTATTCATTCAAACCCGATAGACTGTAAAAAAAAGACAGAAATCAATTATAATTCCGTTCTTTTCATCATCATTATTGTTATTTGCTTACAATTTTTTTTCCATTAAAATTCTTCACTTTTCATTGTATATAATTTGTAAATTCATCATCAGAATCATTGCGGGAAATGAAATCAGTCAACCATGTTTTTATTCTCATTTATTCTTTTCCATTTCAATCACTTATGATGATAAGGTGTGTGTGTGTGTGTGTGTGCGTGGATATAACATCATCATATGGCTTAAATTACATGTGTTGGATCATCAAAGAAAAATACCTAAATGTTAAACGGAGAAAAAAAAATGAATAAATGAGATTTACACACCCACAATTGTTGTTTGTTTCCATTGTGAACACAAGGTGCGAGTGTGTGTGTGTGTTGAATGTTAATGATGATGAGGATAATGGCACTGAATCAAGTGATTGAAGAGAATAAACAAAAAAAAAAAATTTATCTTGAAATCGAAAAAAAAATTTTTTTGTTGCAACAACAACGAAAAAAAAAAATGCCAAACAAACAAATCACAAATGTCAAACATTAAAAACACACACACACACGCACACAAATATAATTGTTGTTGTTGTTGTTGTTTTTAACCGCCATTATTTTCAGAATTTTTCATTCTGGAATAAAATTCTTGAAACACCAGATAGATAAAGAGCGAAAAAAAATTCCATATGATAATTTTTGTGTGAATATATGAATATAATAATGAATTCTTGTTAAAAGATGCTGCTGATGCCGTTTAAGCTTTTTTTTTTTTTTGTTACCAGGATCATTGCTTGAAGCTGGCTGTTTTCGTTGTCATCGTTGTATGGTTGATAATATGCTTTATTTTGATCTATCTTTCTCTCTCGCGTTTCTTTTTTTTTATCTACAAATACGTTCTTTGGGAAAAAAAAGGAATAAAACAAGAAAAAATTTTGATGAGCCTAGAGAGATCGAATGTTTATCAGTATTTTTTTATGAATAATAAAAAAAAATTCTGAAAACTCATCTTTTAGTATTTTTGGTCTGGAGTTTGTTTTCAATTTCAAAAAATGGGAACAGTTTTTTTTCCAGAATAAAAAGATGAATTTTTGATTTCATCGGAAATTGATTTACATTTTATCCATCCATCCATTCTAAAGAAAAATAATCCCTTTTTTTAGTACGAAATTCAAATTGCAAATCGTTTTCAATTTCTTATGCCATATAAATTTACATATTTTGTTTTTTCGTTGTTGTTGTTGTTGTTGTTGTTGTTTCTGATACCAATATGAATAATCAGCTCTCGATAGATGGAATTATCGTTTTGCATATTCATTAATCTTGTATATCAATATTTTATTCGTTTTAATTATAATATATATATACATCACGTCACGTTCGCCAATCTTCATTCACTATATTCTGGTTGAATGAATTCGGATAAATTCTGCAGGAAAAAAAAGCTGGATAAGTTTTGAGGCAATATCCGAAACCAATGTGAATGCACAGTTGATAATTATTTGATTAGTTTACTTAATCAATTTCTGTTGTCGTTGTTGTTGCTGGGCAATAAAAGAAAAAAAAATCAATTTACATCTGGAAAAGAGAAACGAAATCAATTTGCATATCATATCAATGGGTGGTAATTGTGCATTCCCAAACCTGATTCATTCATCCATTCATAATCATCGATATCGTTGTTTTGAAAAATTTTGGCTACCATCAATGGCCGATTAGCTATCATTGTACAAGATTGTAGGTACAATGTGAATTTCAAAATCGTGTGTAGCTCTATGGCTCTATTATTAGCTACATATATAATCATTATTGTTATGTTATTATCACCCAATAATGGCTATATTTGGAAATCGAATCGAATAAAAAAAAAAGAATTTCCAAATGATTGGCTCACGATATTATTTTTCGATTAAGATATAACGTAATATATGGATGTTGCACAAAATTGTTCTGTTGTTGTTGTTGTTGTTGTTGTTGTTGTCCATATCTTCAGATAAACAAAAACAGAACAACAACAACAACAAAAAACTTTTTCCACTTTGTTTCATTATTCATCAATTATTATTGTTTGGCAACAACAACAACAACAACAACAAGATGAATCAAGAATCGAAAGAGAAATATTGTGTGATTTACGATTTTTTCTCTTTGTTCTATACATTACGAATACTTTTCCAATCAGCCAATCATTATCCATGAATGATGATGAACAGATGGTAAGTGATAATGATAGCAATGTGTTTTATTTCGAAGGAAAAAAAAATTTCTTTCTTTCTTTTCATTTTTGTTTTGTTTCCATCTCGTTATCAAAAAAAGTTTGTTATTATTATAAACAAGTGCTGAAGTATATGTGCAGAATGAATGAAAAATCATCATCAATTGAAGATCACAAATTCTCTCTCTCCTTTCCATAATATTCTTTTTTATTCTTTGTTTCGATTTTTTTTTTCTCTCTATACATCTATTTTCATTATGCTGAAGTGATTTTTACTTTTATTTCGTGAATGAGAGAAACACATTTTACTTTTGGTTTGAAATTTTTTTTTCTCGTATATGTGTATGGAATTTGCGTTTACAGAATTTCTTCATTCACTTTTTTTCGCTTCATTTCAATTCAATTTGAAAAAATCGAATAAACGATTTTTTCTCTTTTTTTTGTTGTTGTTTAGCTTTAAAGCAAAAAAATCAATCAAATAGCAAAAAAAAAATGTTTGAATTTCAAGTGTGTGAACGAGAAAAAAAAGATTGATTTTTTCTCCTTCCTTTCTTTTTTTTTTTTGACCAAATTTAAATTTAAATTTCGCCATTCTCCTGAATGGAGAAATAAACAATAATAATATTCAATGAGACAGAGCTGGGAGAGGCTCGAAACAAAACAAAAAAAAAACTCGGCATTCGAAACTATTTTAAAATTTAAATTTCTTTTTGTTCCACTTTCTTTCAGTTTTACCATTGAATTTTTTTTTTTCTCATGTCATTTGCATCAATCTTTGATCGGAATTTTGCACTATTTTTAATTCAAATCAATCCACCGATATAGATTACAGAGAGTGGAACAGAAATGAAAACGAATTTAGAAAACAAAACACAACAAAAAAAACTTTTCAGAGATTTATAAGTGACGAATCACAAAAGATTAAATAAATGAACAATGAGTGTGTGTGTGTGTGTGAGTGTGAAAACTTTGAAAATTTTCAAACTTTGGTTTTTTTTCATTTTATAATGAATCTAGTAGCCAATTTGTAATCATTGTCGTCACTATTTTTCTCGTCTATTTTTACCAAAAGTTTTTTTTTTTTTGGTCTCTATTTTCACCACTATATATACATACATAACATATAATTGAAAAGTTATTATCGTTCAAATCATATGATATGACACAACTTTCATGTTAATAATTTGTTTGTTTGTTTGTTATAAATTGGCATATATGCATATATGCACCTATGCATCTCCATCCTGTTTTTTTTTCTGTTCTTGTTGACAATATTTACATGATCATGATCATGATCATCACATGACAGAAAGATTGAATATTAATGAACCATATACATATATATATCAACATGACAACTTGTTATACACCCATTTTTTTTATTATTCTTGTTATTTAAATTCAACAAACGTTTGATGTGTGTGTTGATATAGATAGATAGATGTGATAATTTACTTGTTAATTATTTATATAATAGTGAAGATGTTCAAGATTTTCTTACCATTTCCAAAAAAAAATTGTAAAATTTTGTCATTCAAGTATAAATTACCAATGATGATAATTATTCATCATCATCATCATAATTGATTTTCAATGTATATGTGTGAACACATTATTATTCAGAAACAAAAATTGGCTTTCAAGTTTTTTCCGTTTTGACAAGATGACGACCAACAACAATATAATATATATATATAATGACAAAGTGTGAATAAACATTTTGAACAATAACAATAACTATATTTAGATCAACAAGAAAAAAGTTTTGCATCGACCAAACTTGAATAATAAGAAGAAGAAAAAATTGTTTTTTTTTCTACAGAGATTTTATTGCACAATATTTCTCTCCTTATTTGTATGTATAGCAAAAATAGACGACAGCAGTTGGCTTTACTGAAATGCATTTTCTCATATCATTGATCGCCTTTGTGTCGTCGTCGTCGTCGTCGTCGTTTGATGAATAGTCATTTTTATCCACACACACACACACAAGCCAGAAGAAAAGGAAAAATGTTTCCTATTCGACCAACAAAAATAATGACGGTAAATATTTCCGATAGAGAAAAAAAAAGTTATCCTGTGTGTATGTGCGTGTGTTTTATTGTGAAGAAAAAAAAAACATTTACCAGGAAAGTTTAAGAAATGAAACATTTTCGTACATATTTTTTCTTGGAAAATTGAAATTATTCAATTTCTCATCATCATCATCTCTTTTTATATATTTATTCTAATTATTTGTTTCGGAATTTATGTTTGTCGTTTTGGTTCGGTTCGGTTCGGTTTGATTCTGGTTTTTTTTTTTATATAACTTTTAATAAGCTTATACTACAAATATTGACACAATGATAATAATAATGATGATGATAATGTTATTGGACTGTTTTATTCTAGTTTCAACAAGACTTTTTTTTTATTATTTGGTCATTGGATGGATGTGTTGTAAAGATCAAAAGATGCTTTTCTGTTGACATTTTTCTATCAAACAGTGGAAATATTTGATGATTGATCATCGTTTTTGTTTTTGTTTTTTTTTTTTCTCTTTCGATAATGTCTTTGTTTAATAATTTAATTTTTTTTCTGTTTTAAAATTTTTTTCGATCTTCATTCAACCATGATGATCATCATGATGCGTTATTTTATTTTATTTTTTATCTCAAATAAAAATTTTCCAACAATTTCATTTTCAAACTATAATAATTGGATGCTGTGATCGTACCAGATGTTGTTGTTGTTGTTATTTTTATTGTTTGCGAACAAAACAAAAAAGAAAGAAAAAAAATATAAAAATGAAAAAAAAATCATCAATCTTGTTGATAGAATGTGGAATCATCATCATCATTCAATTAATTTCCTTTTCTTTTTCTCATTTTTTTTCTGTGTGTCCATTGTTTCTATTATTGGCATTTACACCCTACACACACTCACACACATTGTTAATCGATTTGTCATAAAATTGAATGAGAATGTGAATCATATCTATCGATTTATTGTCCATTTCATTTCGCTCTCTTTTTTATTTTTCCAAAGATTTAAGCCTTCTCGATCCTTGTCGACAATAAAAAAAAGAAGAAAATAAATGAGAAAATTTTGGACACAAAAAAGTGTGGCGATAAAAACAAAACACACACACACACACAATGGAATTTAGTGTTTGTTTTCTGTCCTTATATATTTCTTTCTTAAATGTATGATGATGATGATGATCATTATACAAAAATAATAATAGGCTTTTATGTGTGTGTGTTATATAAGAATTTTGCCACAATTTCCATTCATTTCCACATTGAATGTAACACAGCTGTTAACATAGCAGCACAGTTATATTGTCATTGTTGTTGTGCATATATACGTATTACGTAATATCGGGTAATTAAGAAAAACAAAAAAAAAAAATTAATTAATGAACATGAATCCATTTAGATTTTATTTTTAGAAAATTTGTCCAATAATACAACAATAATTCGATTGTTGATCATTATGATTAATGGTGATTTGGAATCGATATGAAAATCTGATTTTTCGATGTATATATATATGCTGTGTGTTATTTCAATATATTTTGAATTTTATTGAACTTTTTTTTTCATTCGAATTCAGAATTGATTGAACAATTTATGTTTTTATCTTTGTTTTTGACATTTGATTTTGTTTTTTTTTTCTTTCCACATGATGACTCTCTTCATAAATAAGATCGGGCAAATAAATTTTGTACCTACTGCCTATACATACATACATGTATTAATGATCATTTCTGCTTCTGTTTTTTTTGCATGATTTCTATTAATAGGTCGTGTGTGTTTTTGTGTGTGTTTGTGTCTAGATAAGGTAGATTTCTCATCGTATATATATGAATAATGAGTATTTCGATTTCTATAATTTACACAGTGGAAAAGAAAATGAATTGCCATCGGTGCCATTTTCTTTTCCTTTTGTTTGTTTTCGATTTTTTTTTCTCTGTTGTAAGAAATGTTTTCGTATTAAGATCAAAGACGATGAACATCAAGAAGAAGAATTTTTGTTGTCGTTGTCGTCGTCGTCGTTGTTGTTGTTGTTGTTGAGAGTTAAGTTCTTTTTTTTTCTTACTTTTGTTGTTTGTTTAACATAAATATACAATGAATTTATGCATGGTTTTGGAGTGAGTATAGATGTATTGATGATCTAAGAACTATAATTTAATGATGAAGATGATGATGACAGAAAAAAAACCGAATCTCAAGTTTTTAGCTTCTCCAAGTATCAATGTGTTTTTTTTTTCATTCGGTATATCGAACCAATAGAGATGAAAAAAATGATAATGAAATCAACCGAATTCGAATTTAGATTTTTTATTTTTTATTTTTTGAAGTAAAGTGGAGACAAAAATAAAATGAAATTTTATTTTTGAATGAAAAAAAACGAACCATCGAACGAAAGAATTTGTAGAATATATAGTGTAAAATATCATTAGTTTCAGGCAACAAAAATATCAAAAAAAAAAAAAACGACGACGACGACGACGGTAACGAAAAGAAATCTTTTCCGTTTTTTTTTGTTCCGTTTGTTGTTCGCCTGTGACTATTGTGTGTGTGTGTGTGTGTGTAAAATCAAGATAAATTCTTGTTTCTAGACTATTAATGTTCTCGCTTCATAAAGAGAGATCCTATTGAAACCTGAGACAACAATACGACAACAACAAACGACTAGCAATATGTTTTGAATGAATTCATTCTTTTGGCTATTCATTTACAGAATAATTTTTTTTATTCTTTGCCTATTTCGATATATTACAATCAATTACAATTATATATTCCTATATATAAATGATCATGGTGAATGGTACAGGTTTAGTTAATAATGTCTTGTGTTTTTTTTCTGATAAAAAAAAAACATCATCACGAAAAAATTTTTTTAATTTCATTGGCATGTATTTTTGTCTGTTTGATTCTCTCTTTCTCTCTCTTTTTTTGACAATCGAAAATTGAACCAAAAGCGAAAAAAAAATTGTGCCAAAACAACAACAGAATTGATGTGGATATCATCATCATCATTTTTTTATTTTAATCCTGACAATCACATTTAGTTTTTTCGTTTGTTTTTGTTTTTGTCTGTCTTTGTCAAACATGAAATGATGAGTCAATTTCAAAATTGGATTTTTTCTTCTTCATGCATGCATGCATCCATTTCATGATTTTGATTTGCGCAAAATGAAAACTTTTCAGACATAAATCACTCACACTCTGTCTTCGATATTATGACAAAATTGACATTTTTTTACTTTATTTCTAAATCTAATTATTTTTATTTATAAATTGTTTTTTTTTCTCTCGATAATTCAATTTGAATTGTTTATCCATTTTTCATTGAATATGATATATTCATTCTTTTGGGAAAAAATATTTTCATGGAATTTCAATGATTGAAATTCGATACAAAAAAACTGAAAAAAAACTCATAGATCATTTTACATCATACGATTAAGTGTAGAAATTAATTGTTTTTTATTTATTTCTTTTTTATTTTGCTAGAAAAATGATACTTTAGAAAAAAAAAATTCTTTGTATCTATAATTTGCTGTTTTTTTTTTTTTTTTTTGGTTCAACTATTCTTTGAAGTATTTGTTGTCGATAAAAGATTGTTAATTTGGAGAATTTTCAAATGACCATATATAATGACGATGATTTGAACTTGTAAAATGGCAAAAAAAAAATTCAAAGTTTCAAATTCAAGTTTTCTGTTTATTCGATTTGATGATTCGATAATTCGAATTTCCAAACACACACACACACACACACATGTGTGCGTTAGGTATTTGTGTGAAATAATCGACTTTTTTCTTGAAAACTTTGGAGAAAAAAAAACAGAAAAATCAAATTTTCATGATGAACACTGAGGATCATAATAATCATCATTATTATCATCATAATGTACTATCTGCGGATTCTACAAACGAAAAAAACAAAATTATTGTTGTAGATGATAATGTTTCTACAACAACAACAACATCATCATCATTAATGATGCAGCAAAATCGATTCACATTCCATTCGAATCCATCGTCGTCAACATTTACAACATTTGTGTTTAATGGTGGTGCTAGTAATGCTAATGATGATGATGATGATGATTCGAACAAATTTATCCAGTCATCCATTGCATTTAGTGGTGGTAGCTATTATCAGGCTGTTGATAATAATCACCATCAACGACAAAAAGGTGAATATCAACAACAACAACAACAGCATATGTCATCGTTCGGAATCATCGATGATAATCAACCGAATATTCGACCTTGTACCAATAATGAAAAACAATCTACAACATTTCAATCAAATGTTAGTCTATCTTTTTTGTTCATTTTCATTTTTTTTGTATTCCGTTTTTTTTTTTTTTTCCTTTTCGGTAATCGATAATTTGATTTTTTTTTGTTTTCTCCAAATATTTTCCATTCATTAGATTTTCAATAACATCAACAACAACAAAGACGACGACGGCGACATTATTATGAAGGTGATACAGGATAAAATTAATCAAATTCAACAATATTTTGTACAAAATTGGTCCAATAATAAAACTGGTTCATGGGGACAATTTTTCCGTAAAAAACATTTCAGTTTTCCATCATCATTGACGGAAATTGCACGAAGATGTCCGGACAATTTACAGGTTTATTTTTCTAATTATTGTGTCATTAGTATCATATTATTGGTTTATTGCCTGATCACATCGCCATTATTATTGTTTGGTATTTTAATATATTCCGTATTATCGTATACGATTATTAAACGTGATCAAGAATTGGAATTATTTGGTAAACCATTTTCACGTAATCAACAATTGATTTCTATTTCCGTTGCATTCATTCCGATATTATATTTTCTTGGTTTGACCGCAACATTTTTTTGGGTAACAAATTTTTTTCGTTTTTTTTTCTCAAACTTTTACTTCTGATTTGGAAAATTGATTGACTAACTGATTTTTGGAACACATTTCTTTTAGCTGGTCGGTGCCTGTACATTTGTAATTGCATTACATTCAATATTTCATGAATCGATGAAACTTCCGGCAGATCAAATGAATGGTGTAACGGTTAACAGTGGCAGCGGTGGTGGTGGTGAGCCATCAATATCAAGTACTAGTGGAACAGCAACATCTGCCAGCACCAATGTTGATAATAAAGATGAACAGGATGATGTACCAGAACCACATCCTAGACGAAAGAGTGAAACAAAAAATGAAGTATTTTCCGTTTAAATTTTATTTATTAACGGATCAAAAATATTTTGCATTTACCTTGGATTTCATGGATTGAAATGTGTATGAAAAAAATTGCCTTGACCGAAAGAATAATAAACAAATTTAATTTGCTTTTGTTTTTGTCAATAATAAAAAAAAAATTCAATTTTTATTCTAACAAACAAACAAACAAATTTTTTTTATCTCTGAATTCAAGAATTTCGTGATTTGAATTTGAAATTTTTTTTGCAAAAATATTTCGATTCGAATTTGAAAAAAAAAACAATATCCATATAGCGACATCTATCGTTTAATTTTCAAACTCTAGTAACGATACTTATGAATGATATCAATTTTTCTGGTAAAAAAAAGGTGACCGTGTGATGTTAAACGATTATCAACATGCGCATTGATGATTTGCCCTACAGCTTTCTCCTTGCCTTTTCGGTGGTCGATTTATATGTTTCCCTGTTTTGTGTGTGTGTTATGTTGTGTTGTTCTTCTTTGTAGCACTTGTCTGTCCGGGACGGCACATCGCTAAAAAACTCGAGAACAAAACCTCGATATTTTTTTTTCATTGATCTTTTTTAAAATTTGATTTTTCTTTTGAATTTGTTCAATTAGCGTTTCAGTTTCCATAAATCAATCAACAATGTTGAGTTTATATCGAAATTGTAGCAGTTTGGCTCGTGCATCAAAACCGGCCGTACAATTAGCGGTTCAAAATCAGACCGCAAGAAATGCTGTACCAGCATTATGTGATCAATGTAAGTTACCTTTAATTTTTTTCATAATTTTGAATGATTATGAATTTTAAATTTTTAAATTTAATAATAGCTCAAAAACGATATGCAGCAGCCGCTGCTGCCGCTGCCAAAACCGATGGTAAAATGGGTAAAATTGTTGCCGTCATTGGTGCCGTTGTCGATGTACAATTCGATGGTGAATTGCCTTCTATCTTGAATGCTTTAGAAGTGGTCGATCGTAAACCTCGATTAGTTCTTGAGGTTGCTCAACATTTGGGTGAAAATGTTGTCCGTACCATTGCCATGGACGGTACTGAAGGTCTTATTCGTGGTCAAGATGTATTGGACACTAATTCTCCGATTACAATTCCCGTTGGACCTGAAACTCTTGGTAGAATTATCAATGTCATTGGTGAACCAATTGATGAACGGTAATTTCTATAATTTTCCTTCTGTTGCTGAATACAATTGAATTTATTTGTGTGTGTGTTTTAAAAAATAGTGGCCCAATTAGCACATCCAAATTCGCAGCAATTCATGCTGATGCTCCGGAATTCGTAGAGATGAGTGTCGAAACCGAAATTCTTGTCACTGGTATCAAAGTTGTTGATTTATTGGCTCCATATTCGAAAGGTGGTAAAATCGGTCTTTTTGGTGGTGCCGGTGTAGGCAAAACTGTATTGATTATGGAACTTATCAACAATATTGCCAAAGCTCATGGTGGTTATTCAGTGTTTGCTGGTGTCGGTGAACGTACTCGTGAAGGAAATGATTTGTATCATGAAATGATTGAAGGTGGTGTCATTTCTCTCAAAGATAAAAACTCAAAAGTCGCACTTGTATATGGTCAGATGAATGAACCACCAGGAGCACGTGCACGTGTCGCTTTGACTGGTCTTACCGTTGCTGAATATTTCCGTGATACCGAAGGACAAGATGTGCTACTTTTCATTGATAATATTTTCCGTTTCACTCAAGCTGGTTCTGAAGTGTCTGCTTTATTGGGTCGTATTCCATCAGCTGTAGGTTATCAACCAACATTGGCCACCGACATGGGTTCTATGCAGGAACGTATTACGACAACCAAAAAAGGTTCCATCACCTCGGTACAAGCTATTTATGTACCGGCTGACGATTTGACTGATCCTGCACCTGCTACTACATTTGCCCATTTGGACGCAACCACTGTATTGTCTCGTGGTATTGCCGAATTGGGTATCTATCCAGCTGTCGATCCGCTTGATTCCACTTCACGTATTATGGACCCAAATATTGTCGGTGCTGAACATTATGAAGTTGCTCGTGGTGTGCAGAAAATTCTTCAGGTATTTTTTTCAAAGCTAACAAATTTCGATGCACAACTCAATCTTGATTTTGTTTCAACCTTTAATTTAGGATTACAAATCATTGCAAGATATCATTGCCATTTTGGGTATGGATGAATTGAGTGAAGACGATAAAATCACCGTAGCTCGTGCACGTAAGATTCAACGTTTCCTATCGCAACCATTCCAGGTTGCTGAAGTTTTCACTGGTCAAGCAGGAAAATTCGTACCATTGAAAGATACAATTTCTGGATTTAAATCAATTCTGAATGGTGAATATGATCATTTACCGGAGGTCGCTTTCTATATGGTTGGTCCAATCGAAGAAGTTATGGAGAAAGCAGAAAAATTAGCTAAAGATGCAAACTAAAAACATACATGATAATTTTTATTCAAATTGATAACAAAAAAAAAAAAAACGCAAAAAAAAAATACAATTCAAAAGCAATGGTATCACAATCAATTATTCTGAATGTTAGAATCTGGTGTATATTATCAATAAATTTTTATCAACAAAAAAAAATTTGTAATTATTTCATCGAATGAAAAAAAAAATTTTCTGATAGATTTTTTCGAAATCATTTTTTTTATATTCTTGATTACGACATTTATTCATGGACCAAAATTGATTTGTTTTCGACAAATTGAATTCGGTTTTGTTTTTTATTTTTTAAAAAATATTTTTCAACAACAATGAATCATTTAGTATCGAATAAGATTGTTAAAAATGATAATGGTAATGTACAACAACAACAACAACAGAAAATTGATGAACTGGTATCAAATTCATCAACACCATCACATTCATCGTCGATTAGTCGAACTCAAAGTTCGAGTTCAACTAGTTTTATTGCAACATCACATACAAATTGTTCACGATCATTATCGTTGGTTGATTCAATTGAATTTAAATTTGATGGAAACATTAGTAAAAATGCATTAGCTCTTGGTGATTGTGATAATGATGAGGTATGATTGTTTTTTTTAGAATATCGATCCTTTATTTGACTAGTTTCTCTTTACAGAAAAATGAATTGGTTATCGGCACTTTGAATGGCGAATTATTGATCTATAAAAATGATTGCAAAAATCCTCAAGCATCGACTAAAGATCTTGGAATGGTTGCATGTATATTGGTTGGTGATATTTTGAATGTTGGATCGGTGAGTGAATCAAATTGAATTGTCCCCAAATGGTAATAATTATTTTCATTACAGAATTACATCATCTCAATCAGTATTGAAGGCTATTTAAAAATATTTCACATGTATTATGATAGTCAAATTGATCTTCTTAATCAATCAAACGATTCGGCCATAAGGCGTCAGCCAAAATTTTCCAATTCATCATTACAATTATCAAATATGAAACTACCACCAACCATTTCGGATAATGAAGTGTATTCATCGACAACTAATTTGGTTCTCGTTCACACCCAACAAATGCAATCGAATACTATGTGTGCTTTATTAGTTGATTTTGATCATGATGATAAACAAGAATTATTAGTGGCACTCAGTGACCGTGTTGTTCGCTGCTATCGTGCCGTTAATTATAATGAAGAAATCAAACTAATCGGTCTTTATAAATGGGAATTTTCCGATCAAATTGGTTCAATTACTTTACATCATTCATTCGATTCGAATACCGGTGATTCATATCTAATGAATGATGATAATAAAAGTAACAATTCATCAACAGAAGATAAAAAATCCATTTGTAAAAATAGAATTTGCGTACTTGTCTCACAATTTGGCGGTGTTTTTGCCAAAATCACCTGTTGCGAACATCTGGCTGCTGCTGATGCTGAAAATGATGATGATCATGTTAAAAATAATGATGAAATTGAACCTATATCAGTGGAATATTGTGATACTATTGTTCAATATACTAGAAATCGACAGACTAGTGCTGAAATTCTTTCCAATATTCGTCGAATTGATTCCAATGAAAACCTGATAGCATTAGCCACTCATGATGGAACATTGATACTTCTTGAAAGTGATCAAAAAACTATTAAATGGCATCTTCAACTTGAACATCCAATTCTTTCGCTACATAAACATGATTTAAACAATGATGGCTCAGATGAATTAATCATTACCGTTTGGAATGGACTTGTCTATATCATCGATTTAGATGGCAATATAATTACTTGTCATTTTAATCAACCAATCAATGCTTTTACCGTTGGTCCATTTTATCTCAATGATAATCTTGAACAGATTGATTGTTTTGTATATACAACATTTACTAATTCTGTTCATTTATTCTACAATATTGATTCCACTTTATTCAATAATATCGATATGATGGATGATTATCCATTGGAAGGATATATTCGAAAACATAGACCAGAACTTTATAAACAAATGGAAAATTTGTTGAAAAAATTGAATAATGATAATGGAAACAACCAATCGAACAAACAATTGAAAATGTCACCAGATTTAATACATACACTTCTTTATGAAATTCCATTTCAATGATGATTAATGAATCACATATCATCGTGTTTTCAATCATGCTCGATGACAGATGTTATTCATATTCAATGAATAGTTTTCAATTATTCATCAAGTATAAAAACATCTGTTGCTTATTGTTTTTGTTTTGTTTTGTTTTGTGATATAAAAAGACGAAAATAAATTGGAAAATTTTTTATTCAAACAATAAAATGGCTGCTTATCGTAATAAGAAATATGATTTTAATGGTAAAGTTGCATTGATTACTGGATCAAGTGCTGGTATCGGTGCAGCTATTGCCTGTCAATTTGCTGAATATGGAGCAGATGTTGTTATAACTGGTCGTAGCTTGCAAGGTCTAAACCGGATCGCTCAAAAGATAATGAAAAAAACTGATCGTGAACCATTGGTAATTGTCGGTGATCTACAAACCGATGAACATCTTCCATCGAAATTGATTGATGAAACCATAAAGAAATTTGGTCATCTCGATATTTTGGTCAACAATGCTGGTACAAATTTTGCTAATGATACGTTTGATAATCCAGAATTGATAACGGAATTTGATAAAATGTTTGCATTGAATGTTCGAGTACCGCTATGTTTATGTAAATTGGCTGTCGAACATTTGGCAAAAACACGTGGTAATATAATCAATATTTCAAGCAATGCCAGTGCTGAACCGGTAAGTTTTTGTTTTTCAAATGTTTGGTGAAAATTGTCAATTTTAATTCATTTTTTTTGACCATAGATTTTATTCACTTACACAATGTCGAAAGCAGCATTAGATATGTTGACCAAAGGCGCTGCACAAGATTTAGGCACCAAAGGAATTCGTGTCAATTCAATCAAGTTAGTGTTGTTGTTTCGATAAAATCAATTTCTATTCAATCATTTGTATATTTCGATGTTTAGTCCTGGACCAACAATAACAAGTATGGGTCGTTGTCTTGGAAAAGATGTGCATCATTTTGAAAAATGTAAAGATATATTTGCTAAATTCACAATACTGGATCGTATACCTTATCCGGATGAAATGGCAAATATAGCATCATTTTTAGCATCAAATGATGCTGCAAACATTACCGGTGCAATCATTGTTAGTGATGGCGGTATGTTGGTGAAAAAACGACAATTTTTTGCCGAAGTTTAATAAAAATTTTATTGATTTCATCATTTTTAAAAATCGATATTGATTAATTTAATAAAAAACATAATTTATAATTTGGCAATTAACAAAATTTGAAATTATCATTATTATCACTTGTTCTTAGGTTGTTAAATTATTGAATTTCTATGTCAATAATTTCTGGATTGTTGAATGGACCATCATCTTTTGTTTGATTATCAATTGTTCATGATTTTGATTATTGGATTTAACCTTTTCTCGTGTATATTCAGCCCAAGCTTCAAGTTTTTCTTCATCATCCAATTCTTCTTCCGGATGTTGAGCTAATAATGAATCATGTTCATGATATGAAATGATTGAACATTCACAATCATGCATCAATAATAGATCAGCCAATAGATTATCGTTTGGTAATTCAGGAATAGCTAAACGATTGGGTGAATCTTGAAAACGATACATTTCTTCCAGTTGAGCACGAGTATAATTACGAACAATATGTTGTTCATCGATCACACGTTTCGATAATGATTGCTTCTGTACTTGACGTTCATAGATTTTCCATTCCATTGTACCATACGATACTAGCCGATAAATGTACACTGGTTTTGTTTGGCCTAAACGAAATACACGAAATATCGCCTGTGAATCGATGGCCGGATTCCAACTACAATCGATTAATATGGCACGATTTGCACCGACCAAATTAATACCAATACCGCCAGCACGAATTGAGATCAACATTAAACGAGCACGATGATTTTCGGGATTGTTGAATTTAGCTATCACATCATGACGTTCGATGATTTCCACTTTGCCATCGATGCGAAAATAATCACGATTTTTGGTCCAATTATGTTCATATAACAATTTTTCCAGATAATCCAATGTGGGAATACTTTGAGAAAATATAAGAATTTTATCACCAATACGTTCACATTGAGCAAGTATCGAGAATATTAGGGTGAATTTTGAGCCAAGTTTCATATCAAACATTTCCTTCTCCTCTAAAGGATCAATCACTTCACGCCACCAAAATTCACGATGATTATCGACACTTTCCTTGCCATATCGTTCCTGATGATACTTCAATAGCAAAGAAGGATGATTACCAATCAACATCAAGATACGTGAATCATTTAAAAGATTTTTTCTCGTTACAATAGTAACATTTGATATGTAATAACGATACAAACGCGATTGAATGGGAGTCATACGAACACCGATTACATATTCAAATTTCGGTGGAAGATATGGTACCAATATTTCGAAATCACAACGATGTACATAATTTTTTAACATTTTCGTCAATACATGAATTCGTTTTTTCATCAATTTTACTTCTTCATTAGTGGAATCAATCAATTGTCCATTGTTGATCGGTTTTTCAAATCGTAACTTGAAACGTTCAAGTTTACCCAAAAGTTTTGGTTTGATAAAATCGACCATGAAAAAATATTCAATTAGGTTATTCTGTAACGGTGTACCGGTAAGTATGATTCGACGTTCGGTTTTAATCTTGGTCAATGCTTTATAGAAAGCAGTCTTATTGTTTTTCAACAAATGTCCTTCGTCGACAATAACCAAATCGGGATTTGTTAATGATTGTCGAAATGATTTCTCATTAATATTATCGATCATATTCGTTGCCATACGACTTGTTATGATCATTACTCCACCGTAAAAATCCCAATTCACCAACAATTGACGACGTCTAGCTACCGATGATTTAATTTCATACATTTTCCATAATCGAATCTTTTCGTATCGTATACATTTTCCTAACCATTTTTCGAATTCATCGTGCCAATTTTGTGCAACATTATAAGGAACAATTACTAATACTTTTCGAATGTATCTTTTGGTGATTGCATTGCTCAGAATGCAATTTATGAAAGCAACAATTTGAAGAGTTTTTCCTAGACCCATCGAATGAGCCAAAATGCATCCATCCATGGAATGCTGATCATTTTGTTGTAACTGTTTCAGTGAACCAATCGTACAATTATACATGAATTTAATACCATCAATTTGATGTGGTTTCAAAATGGCCACAAGTCCTTCATCGATTCGTATGGAGAAATCAGCATTTTCTTCCAGTAAAATTTCCTTGACACTATCATCACTATTACAATCACTTGAAGAACTCGATGATGATGATGATGATGATGATAATCTAATACATTTGTTACTTCTTTTATCACAGGTAGGAGAGCTTTTTAATACCATCGTTTCTTCATCAACAATTGATCTGAAAATAAGTTAATTACGAAACGAAAATAAAATAACAAAAATAACATACAAAGATATTTTTTTCGTTGATAAATTATCATTTTTTTCTGATAAATTTTTTTGATACTATAGTCGCTATTACAATTACTCGAACTTGATGATGATATTAATTCAATAGATTCGATACTAATTTCATCATCGGTAGAATTATCCAATACAATCAATTCTTCATCCACGATTGATCTGTAAAAATTGATTAATTTACAAATGAGAAAATAAAATTAAAAAAACAAAAGAATAATTCACCTAGACATTTTTTTCATAAGAATAATTCAGAATTGATTAACAAATTTCAAAATATTGTCGATGATGACAGCTTTCTTCTTGTTGCATATTCAAAATTCAATTTTCAATTTTCGTTTCTATTGGCTCTGTTCATAAAAGACATCATCATCATATATTATGCAGGTAAAAAGTGAAAAATTTAAATTTAAAATTTTTTTTAATTGAAAAAAAAAAAATCAATTAAATTTTGATTTTATTTGTTGTTCAAACACACAAACATTTCAATTATTTATTCATTTGTTTTCCATATTTGTTTAATCAATTTTATTGACAATGATTTTCCCGTTGGTTGGTCTAAAGTTCGAAACGATCGACTTTGACTTTGACTTTTCATTCTTTTCAATTGTTGTTGTTGTTGTTGTTGTGATATTGAATTTGACGGTAAATTTTGTTGTTGTTGGGATGATGCTGGCGGTGGAAGTCTAGATTTATGATGTAATCGTCGATGATGATGATGATGACCACGTCGTTTTGAACGTTTTTTTTTACTTTGACATTTACCTGTGCTGGTTAAAGCGGCTCCTGTCATTGTCGTAGTCATTATTAATGGTGGCACATTAGCTGATGGATTTGTCGTTGTTTTAATTGGCATTTGCGATGATGATGATGAAGACGATGATGATGATGATGATGATGTGTCGTTGGCAAGTTAATTTAGCAAAAATCAACGATAAATTACAAACCGAAATGAAGATGACTAATGAGGATAAAATTATTATGATTAGTGACACTGGTGAAATTTGATCGGATGGTGAAATAGTCCAAGTCGTCGTATTACTTGTCTTCTCCATTCGACGATTCGAAATTTATCGTTTCAAATTGTTTTTGAATTCCAGATCGATTTATATCAACTGGCTAGTCGCAAATAATTCGATAAGTATGAATTTTTTTTGATTTTGTTTATTTAAATTAATTTTTTTTCAACAATTCTCGTTTATTTGTAGCGATTAATCTATTTTATTTATATTATGATGATCAACGTGTTGTACCACCACCACCACCACCGGTAAATTGTTGTCCACTTGTTGATGCAAAACGTCTTTTTGAAGTTGATGTTGTTGTTCTTCTACTGCTACTATTTTGACGTGATGAAGATGAACGTTTTGTACTTTTAGAATGTTTTTGTCTTGTACAACAACGAAATATAATTACGCAAGAATTTATTAATGATACCAAAAGAATCAGAAAAATCAACATGAGAATGATGATGGTCGAAACAGAAAAACCTTTAAAGAAAGAATCTAATCGTCGTCGTCAAAAAAAAAAGAATCAAAACAATGAATTGTGCAAATTTTTATTATAATTACCGTTTGGATTGAATGGTTCCGTTGTATTTTTGCTCATCCTTGGAATTTGTTATATAACAAAACGGTCAGACTTTTTTCAGCTTTTTTTTCTGATTATCGATTTCTTTAAATCATCAAAATTTCTAAATCGAATTTGAATTCGATCACAGACATACTGCCATCTATTGATGTCGATTCAAAGGACATTGTTTTACTCATTTGAAAATTTCATCAAGACAAAAACAATTGTTTACAAATTGCAATTTGATATTTGTCCGTTTTGAATAATTTGATTTAATTCAAAATGAAATTTGTAAGTAATTTTTTTTTCATTTCTTTCATTGATTTTATTTCATGTTTTTTATTTTTTGTCATTTTTGAATAATAATCAGATAAGCCTAAGCGGTAATCCTAATTATCCGTGTAATGTGATTAAATTCAAATCTACACATATTATGTTGGATTGTGCATTGGATTCAACAACGGTTTTATCGTTTTTACCAATGACATTAGTACATAGTAATCATTTCAATTCATTACCAAGTTGGAATGCAACCAAAGAATTTACTGATCCGTTATTGGAAAATGTATGTTTCATTGTTCAACTTTTCATGATTATGATTGATTTTTTTTTTCGTTTTTCGATATGAAGGAAATCAAAGAATGTTTGGGTAAAATTTTTGTGGATAGTGCACCGGAATTCTGTTTACCAGAGGTATTATTTTGTAATGATTATCTATGTTTTCAAAATTAAAAATCTCTATACCATTTTTAACCAGTTTTCTTGTATCGATATGAAAAATATCGATGTAATCCTGATATCAAATTATCGTTCAATGTTGGCATTGCCATTCATTACGGAACGATCTGATTTTTCCGGTTTCGTATATGCAACTGAACCATCAATGAATCTTGGCCGATTGTTTATGGAAGAATTGGTCACCTATATTGAACGAAATCCAAAACTTAAACGTGCAACAGCATGGAAAAATTTAAACATTTTTCAACACTTACCATTCCCTTGTTTTCCTGATTCAATTTTGCCCACCGTATTGGAAAATATCTATTCAATGGATGAGATTAGTAGCTGTCTATCTAAAGTGAAACCAGTGGCTTTTTCGGAAAAAATTGTAAGTATCGTTTATTCTCTGTAATCATCATCTAAATCAATCACATATTTTTATAGTGTATTTTTGGATCATTACATTGGTATCCAGTCAGCACTGGCTATTGTCTTGGATCAAGTAATTGGATTATTGAAAGTGCACATGAAAAAATTGTCAACATCTCTAGTTCATCCACATATACGACTCATATTCGTCCTATGGATCATGCACCACTTAAAAATGCTGATCTAGTGATTCTTACCTCACTATCATTAGCACCGACAACAAATCCAAATACACGGCTAAATGAATTCTGTGATCATGTTGAGAAAACATTGAAAAGTGGTGGCAATGTTCTTATTCCATGTTATTCATCTGGAAAGATTTATGATCTTTTCGAATGTCTCAATGCGCATCTTGATTCCGTTAGCCTTGGTGGTATACCGATTTTTTTCATATCACCAATTGCTGAACATTCATTAGCATATTCAAATATAATGGCTGAATGGCTTTCTGAATTGAAACAAAATCGTGCATTTATACCCGAGGAACCGTTTCCACATGGTCAACTGGTTAAAAATGGTCGAATCAAACATTTTGTCAGTTTAAGTGAAGAATCATTTAATAATGAATTTCGTATGCCTTGTATTGTTTTCACCGGTCATCCATCATTACGTTTTGGTGATGTTGTTCATTTTATTGAATTATGGGGTTCTAATCCAACCAACATGATTTTGATGACTGAACCAGAATTTCCTTGTCTCGAAGCATTATCACCATATCAACCATTATCAATGAAAATAATTTATTGTCCAATCGATACACGATTAACATTTATTCAAGCAAATAAAATCATTCGAGATATTAAACCAAAAAATCTGGTATTACCATATCAATATACTCGGCCATTTTCACAAGCAGAAAGTCATAATAAACAACCATTTGAAACAATGATTGAAGCAGATTGTAAAATGTTTCCATACCATCGAAAAGAAACGATAAAATTACCAATCAAATGTAAATATGAAAGATTATTGGTCGATTCTGAGGTAAATCATTTATCATCATCATTTGAACGAGAATAGTTAATATTTTTGTTTTTTGCCCATACAGCTTATATCATCATTGACAACACATGAAATTGCTGATGGTATTAAAATCACAACAATCACCGGCATTCTTGAAGCTAAAGACAATAAATTCCGATTAGGACCAATAACCAAAAGTTATCGAAATGAATTTCGTAGTCAAATGCCAACACGAACTTTGCCACCGAATAAATATCTAATCGGTATGATTGATATGAATGAATTATTACGATTATTGGCACATCAAGGCTATCTGGATATTGTATTGAATAAATTTGGTGATAAACGATTTCGTATAGAAATTGTATGTCTCTGTTGTTGATTTATATGTATATATGTGTTTAATCTGATTGATTTTTTTCCAATTTTTTTTTAGCGTTCCAAAGGAATTACCATCGATATTGATGATGAAACCAAATCGATAATGATTACAGCTGAAGATTGGCAAAATGATTGCCGATTAGCAATACGTAAATTATTGGCAAAATGTCTTATTGAAATTTGATTGATTTTATTAAAATGAACCGATGAATTTTGATTAAAACAATCAAATTAAATAAAATTAAATGAATTTTCAAAAAAAAATTCAAGTATAAATATTCAACAATTTTTGCCACTTAGATCAAGCTTAATAATAACCGAAATTTTTACAATAAAAAAAACAATAAGCCATGATGATAACCGGTACTGGTCTTTTTGAACTGCCAATAACAATTATCGGAATTATTGGTGCCATTCTATTTGCAGTGTTGTTGTTGACTTTAATGTTGTTCCATCATTACGTTGACAAATATTCGGCGTGCAATAAATTGACCGAATCGCAAAAATTATTGAAAAGATCAGTGTCGCTAACAACAAAATTGTCAAGAAAATCGTCACCAAAATTGTCAAAAAAATCACATTCATCAAAATAAACCAAATTTTTATTCATTTCAATTTTAATTAATTCAAAATAAAAAATCCATTGAATCAAATGTGGTCTATTATTATTCAACGACAACATTAGTCTTTTCAGAAACATAGATACCATCCAAAAATTTACGAATATCTTTGTTTTTTACCAATGTTGATTGATGGATCAATGCAGCTAGAAAAAAAATAGAAAAAAAAGAGAGCAATTAAATTAATGAATGTGAATTAGCCTTAGTGTTCGCAAAGCTATCAACAACACAAAGCTTTCAAACGTGGAAATAATTCTCGATTTAATTTTTGGACACTAATGAAACCATTAAAACATTTGTGATATATATCAGAATCAATAGTAATGAAAAATAAAGTCAAAAATTTGACCAAATTTTCCAATCTAGTGCCCTAATTACAAGTGTGATAAATATTCGAAATCTTACCTGATCTTGAAACGGCTTCAATATCGTTTCCTTCGAGAATCAATTCATCTTTTTGTGCTGTTGAATTAACGCATGTAACACCAGATGCCATTTCCACACGACGGATATATTTTTCACCCAAAAAATTTCGAATTTCTACAACAGAATTCTTTTCACTTGTCGTAACATTGATGGGAAAATGGGCATAAACCGTACGCATCTTATAAAGATAACCTTTGGTAACACCGACAATCATATTTTCGATATGTGAACAAATTGTTCGAACGGTGGCCAATTCTTTACGATTACCAAACCATTTTTGGACACGAAGTTTTTTCTTTCCAACCATTGCAATGTCCAATTGTTGTTTAAATTGTCGTATTAATATGCCACGTGGTCCTTTGACACGAACAATACGATTTTTGACCGAAACATTAACTGAGCAGAAACGTTTGTTTTTGTTTGGAAAATTAGAAAAAACAATTCGATTCAAAATCAAATGTCAAACAATAAAAAAATTTTACATACCATTTTCGGGAATCGTAACAATCTGACTGGCTTGTATCGTTTTCATTTTTCAGAAAAATTTATTTTTCAAAATTGAAATTAAATGATTACGGTCAGGTAAAAGAAAAACAACGTGTAGACCGTCAACACACACACACAGACACAAACACAAGCCACAGGAAAAAGGAAGATTGCTATTTTTGCAGCAAGCAAACACACACACACGTTTCTAAACAAGCTTTTGCGCATGAACATTTTTTTCGTTCTCATGTGAACTATTCATAAACACTAGTACATATTTTTTGAATTTTATTTTTAACAATTTAATTATTATAAAGTTTTTTACTCAAAAATTTTATAAATTTTTTCGAATATGGATTCAAATTGGATTCCAATATTGAATTCTGGTAATTATTCGAAGTGGAAAGATCTTGTATTTGATTCCAATGATGATATTGTTGCAGCTGCTGCTGCTGTTGTGGTTGTTGTTGTTGTTGGGGTTGTTGATCGGATTCATTTGGGCCAAGATTCGGTTTAATAAACCAATGTGAATGAATTTTATTATTTGAAATTGGTGAATTTTTCATTTTTATACGATGTGATTTCACTTGACTTAGATCTCGTTGTAAATCATCATATTCTAAGCCGTGGTGTTTACGAAAAATTTTTCCAATCGATTTTGGTGATGGCGATGATGATGTTTGCCAATGTTTCATATAACCACCACCACTTTACCTTGATAATCATCATCGGATAAATGTAAAATTTTATGTGGATAATAAACATTCGATAATGTTGGATTTGTCCATTTGAATAATGTTATAATATCACTACTTTTATATGGACGATTTTCATTCATTGAATCCAGTATTAATCCATAATTTTTATGATTTATAATTGGTGATGTTCGATTCGTTTCGATCATTTCTGGATAATAAAATGATACATGTTGTGGTTGAAATTTTGATTTTTTCATCACCATTGTTTGCGTTGGCGATGAATTAATATGCAATGAATCCAATTTAGTGAATGGACCATTGAAATAATTTTGTGAATTTTTTTTGTTGTTGTTGTCATCATCATAAATGAGAATTTTTTTACGTTGTTTTTTCTTCAATAATAAACCATTCAGATCAATATCATTACCATGACGAATAATTTGTCTGATGTGTTCTTTTAATGCCGTGTCCGGTGTATAATCAGCCAATGTTTCATCATCATCATAACGTCGTTCACTTGTTGATTTACAAGATTTTTTATCTTTACAAATTTCTCTTCCTAATGCTTTTTCAAATTTATAACCCTTTTCTCGGGAATATTGGCCATCCAAATCGTAACCATAATGTAAACCATAACCATTGCCATAAAGATTTATCGATTTATTTGTTTGATTATCGTTTTTATTTTTATCATGTATAGCTTGATGATGAAATATCGTAACACTTACATCGGTTTTTTTATTATGAGAATCATTTACAAATTCTTTGGATGGTCCTTGTAGAATGGATTTTATAAATTTATCTGGATTAACATTATCATCATCATTTTGTTCATCGATGGTCGTCGCAACGGTTGTCGTTGATAATGATGGTAAACGATTACCAATCGATAATGATTGTAAAGATGTGCCACCATAATCATCATCATTATCATAGATGAATTGATCCGGTAATTTTACATTGAATACCATACTCTTAGTAGTATTGCCAACAAATGCCGTTCGATTCAATCCTGATGGTTGTTGTGGTGATATAACATTTATATTGACAGCCATTGAATGAATGGAAAAAACATTTGTAATCCATATGGATATTATGAATAAACAATCAAAAAGAATCGTCATTATCATCATCATCATCATCATTGCTGTTGTTGTTGTTGTTGTTGCGGTTATTGAATATTCAGTAAAACAAAAACATTTTTTCCAATCCTGACACCAAACAAAAATCAACAATATACCGAATATGTAACAGAAATTCAGAGAATTATCAGGCTGTAACGATCATCATCATCATCATCAACAATAACAACAAAAAAGGTGAAAGTGGTCAAGTAAAAAAAAACAATCACACAACAGCAACAAGTGGAGAAAAAATTTCAAGTGGAAAATTCAAATTCAAATTGTAACAAAACAAAAAAAAAATTTGGATCAATTTTGTTGGAACACACACACACACACACGCACACGCACACGCACAAAGTTATTCTTTTTTTGACAGAGAGCACAAGGGAAATGTGAAAAAAAACAAACAAACAACGAATGTAAAGTTCAAATCTTCAATCATTTCATTATATATAACAGATAAAAAAAACTCAACAATCTCTCAATTTGGTTTCTATATATGATATGGTTGGACGATTCTGCCAAATAATAGATCAAATAACTAACTAACACCATGTTTATCATATATTAAGTAAGATTTTGTTGGATCATATTTCTTCGTGGAATGGACCACGTTTTATTATTATTATTGCAGAGAAACGATAAACCAATCTTTTTTGTTTTGTTTTGTTTCGATTGTCCAGAAACAAACAAAAAAATAACAACTGGAACTGGTCTTCTGGTCAAACTACGTATATTTATGGCATCATTATTATATTATATTTATAATATCCAACTGCCTGTTGAATGTATGAATGGAAATGGCAACCACACACAAATAAAAAAAAACTTTAACCCAATAATAGGTATTTAGATTCAAACGACGATAATACTGATTGGTTCATTTTAATAACAATAAAAACGATAATTTCTGGATGAATAGAAGAAAAAAAAACCTTAGACTTTGTGAGTGGACTTTTTTTTTCTTTCCATTGTCCAAAAAAAAAAAAAAAACAGAAATCCGATCATCATCGACTGGCCACAATGATCATCATCATCATGTTGGTTGAATAAAAATAATGGCAGATTACAACAACAAAAAATTTTTTTTTGTTTTGTCAATCCTTCGATTTTTATTGAATGCAAAAAGTGTCCAAATCAAGTTTCAAGGTAAATCTATGAATCATACGCGCACTATATACATTATAATTGATGTCCGAAAATAATCCAAATCAATTCATCAATCAACAACAGCAACAACAAAAAACCTGTTGATTGAAATCAAAAAAAAAAAAAAGCCTAGAATTAACAGCGATGAACATGATGATTTTTATTTTCACACAGCAGACAAAACAAAAATTGAAAAATTGAAATGAATTTTTTTCCCATTGTAAATCAATGCAATTCATAATAATAATTATGGTCATTTTCTCTCAACAATCTAATTGACCCCAAAATTAAAAAAAAATGAAACAAACTAAAAAAAAAAAAGTTGATACAGACATGTACCAATTCAATCAAAAATGTTTTTGATTTTTTTTTTTTTTTTTTGACGAATTCAGAAATCATCGAAAAAAAGTGACAGTAATAATAATGATGATGGTGGTGGTGGTGGTGTCATTTCCGAGAGCCAATCGAACAACAATAATCATTCAGTAGTCAAACATCTTGAAATTCGATTCAAACAAAAATAAAAAAAAAATTTCAAGGTCTAATTTTGTCAACACGTGTCAACATGTGTTTTCATTCCAATAATAGGCTTTGAAACTAAATTAGCGTTTTTTGGACATTGGACAAAGATGAAAAAAAATGCTTTGACCTAAAATTGTCAAAGAAAAAAAAAATTTCATTTTTTTTTCGCTGATAAATTAGCTACAATTTGCATTGACATTATGATGATGATGATGATCATCATCATTGTTTTAAACGTTTCAAATTAATAATTAAATGATCTATTATGGCCATATCATGAATTATTATTAGTTAATGGTCATCATAATGATGATGATGATGATGATGATGATTAAAATCATATTTTGACAACACTTATTCTTTGGTTTCAATTTTTTTCTCTTCTTATCTTTGTTTTCATCATCATCATCATCATCATCAATCGGTCAAACACATTTGCATTATGTACATGTTATACATTTTCATATATTCAAATTATCATCATCATAAAATGGATTTGCGAAACAATTTTCAGCAGACACATGATTCAATGATTGAAGAAGAGAAATTTGAAATGAATGAATGGAATAGAATTGAATCACATATGCAAATTATCATAAAAATATACACGTGAAACACACGTTAATGATGACAAGTGTGTGTGTGTGTGTGTGTTGAGAGAGTTTAGATGTTTTGAAGAGGAAAAAAAAAAAAAAAATTTTCTGCCTATATAAATATACATCCAAATCTTGTTCTTACGTTTTTTTCATTCATTCATTCATTCAATGATTCCAATGGTGATTCTCTGTGTTTGTTTTTAATTTTTTTTTCTATTCATCACCATAAATGATACACACTATTAATTGATTGATTTGGATCAACATGGAGAGGTTTTCAATTATTCAATCATCAATCAAATTATTGATTATTTTCATTGCCTTTTCATCATCGATTGTGGCCATTAATGGCGATAAAAGTGTCCATAATAATAATAACAATAACAATAACAAAAATGATTTAAAAACACAAGAATCATTCGATTCATTTACAACCGGTGCATTAGGTCCATTACTTCATGATAATCATCATCATCATCATCATCATCATGACGATCAACATTTAGATAATCATAATAATAATGATTATGGTATACCATCAAGCTATGATGATCTTTATAAATATGGAGGTATTGTTAGCAGTGGTGGCGGTGGCGGTAGTAATGATAAAAATATTCTCGGACATTATGGCGATGGTGGTGGTGGTGGTGGTATGTGTATTTTAAATTTTTTTTTTTTGACACTTTGATGATGATGTTATTGTTGATAACGATGGAAATCTAAATTTAAATACAAAGATGATGATTAGATTAGATTATTCAAGCAAATAAACAAAAAAAAAAAAAGTTTACGAAATTCAAATCACGTGAAAATTTTTTTTTCTTTTAAATTTTCAAAATAAAAATCTAATTATCTTGTCGTTGTTGTTGTTGTTAACGAAAAAAAAATTAATTTGTTGAAAAATTATCAACAACAACAACAACAAATTATTTGATCTAATCTTTCTCTCTCTCTCTCTCTTTTTACATTTAATCTATCTAGGTTATAAAAACTATTATGGTGACACTGAACATTTGGATCAAGGTTAGTCGTTTTGTTTGTTAATTTGTTAATTTCGTATCCATATATATGAATAGAACGTGCAAGTGTTCATTTATTATTCAACTATAGTATACATAACAAACAAACAAAACTTTAACTCTTACCTTGTTGTTTTGCCACAGGTTTAAATAAATATAATGGTCATCATAAACGGGATAAATATGGTGGTAAAAGTGGTAATCATAAAGATTATAATGATCATCATGTTTATACACGTAATCGTGGTTATGGTTATGAAAAACATTATATGTATGATAAAGAATATTCTACGGGAAAATCCACCGGAACAAAACAAGGACATCATTCATATTATGGTGATCATGATCATGGTTCAAAATCGACAATAGATTTACATAAAAATTATGATAGTAAAAAATTTGGTAAATCGATAGTGGATGAACCACATGTGGATGATTCGAATTATGACCAATATAGCAGTAGTGGTGCACATGGTCACGGTCATGGTCATCATGGTCTTGGATCATTGGATAATTTGAATAAAATGAATCTATTGAAACATAAAAAAGAATTATTGAGAAAACATCTTGATCATGAACATCATCATCATCATGGTCATAATCATCATCCACCATCGATACATCAAACATATTCTAAATTACATGATTACATACCAACTGCTAATATCGTGGAACATCATCATCATCATGGTGTTGGTAGTGGTGGTGGTGGTGGTGTGAATAGTTATTCACATTTAACGACACCATTTCTCGGTACAACATATGGATCATTATTATCACCAAATTCTCATCAATCATATGACCATTCGATGGATTATATACCACAACATCAATATGCAACAAGCTATTTTGACAGTGGCAGTAGTAATCATCCGGATGATTTGGGCCTTTATCTATCGAGTAGTAGTAATAGTAATGTAAAAAAATTAAAAAATAATAATTCCACTACCAATGCATTAATTAATACGGATACGGAAGGTGAAAGTATTAATACATTATTACCTAATGATGGTAGTGGCAATGATGGTGATGGATCCAGATCAACATCATCATCATTGATGATAATGAGAAATAATAATGGTAAAATAATCAATATGGCACCATTAATATCGACACGATTATCATCATCAACATCCATGGAACCAATTGAAATGATGATGATTAAATCACCACAATCACCACGTGGCGTAACTGTTGCCGAAAGTTTTGCACGCATACAGAATGCTGTACATGCAACACCACCGGTTATTGCGACATCACATCTTTATCAACCAACTATTAAGCTTTAGAAACCAAAACAAAAAAAAAATTCAATCATTCACTACACACACACACACACAGAACAGTAAAATATTTCTAAATGAAAGAGAAAAGAATTTGTTTTTTTTATAAAATAAAAATCTATATTTAAAAAAAAAGAAAGAAAAAAAATCAAATTTATTGTGTCGGTGTCAGTGTGGTTGGGTGGATGGATGTTGTGTTTGTGTGTGTGTGGTGGTTGATCCCAAATGGTTTGTTTTTTGTTTTTTTCTTGTTCAATTTTTTTTTTTGCATCGTGGATCATAAAGTGGTGTGTATGTTGTTGGTTGGTTGATTGAATGAAATATTCCATCGGTTTTCTTTTCAGGAGAAATCTGATGAATTGTGTGTGTGTGTGTGTGTGTATGAAGGAAATCAATATATTTAGGTAATAATTAATAATTATAATATAATGAAATGTGTACGTTGATAATCCAAGAATTGATGGCTATTTGGATGTTGTTTGTATCTGATTCTGGATTGATTGATTGATTGATCGTGAAACACACACATTCATATTATTATTATTGTGTTGTATTGGTTTTTTTCTGTCGTTTTTGTTATTGTTAAATCATTCAATCAATCAATCGATTATTATTAATATTTATAAAATCAAAATGAAACATTTTAAAGAATAGAATAATAGAGAGAGAGAGAAAGAGGGAAAAGAAAAAATGATGAAAATGCTTCATTTCTGATATTTAAGCTGATTGGAAAGCCAATCCAATCCTTCGTAAAGACCATCACCAGTTGTAGCACATGTTGCTTGAATGTACCAATTTCTATTACGCAATGAATGAAGACCAAGTTTATCGGTAATTTCGGCGGCACTCATTGCATTGGGCAAATCCTGATTTTTTTTTGAAGAATTAGAGATCAGTTATATATGACTTCAAATATACTTACTTGTTTGTTTGCAAAGATCAATAGTACAGCATCACGTAGTTCATCTTCAGCCAGCATCCGCATCAATTCTTCACGTGCTTCGCCAACACGTTCACGATCATTACTATCGACCACAAAAATAAGGCCCTGTGTATTTTGAAAATAATGCCTCCATAATGGACGAATCTTGTCCTGTCCACCAACATCCCAAACGGTGAAGCTAATGTTTTTATATTCAACCGTTTCAACATTGAATCCTATATATATGAATTATGATTATGAGAATGATGATTATTCAACCGAAAAAAAACATACCGATAGTTGGAATTGTAGTCACTATTTCACCAAGTTTAAGCTTATACAAAATGGTTGTTTTACCGGCTGCATCTAAACCGACCATTAAAATTCGCATCTCTTTTTTGCCAAAAAGGCCTTTGAATAGATTGGCGAAAACGTTTCCCATTTTTTTGTTTTGTTTTAATTTGAAACAAATTACAATTCAATGATTTAAAATTTGAACTAATGTGAATTATAAAAAATGAGCACCATCAACAAAAAACAAAAGAAAACACGACTATTCTTTTTTTGTTGTTGTTGTTGATGATGGATGATGATGAATGATTGGAAAATGGCGAATCAAATTTATATTCACAAAATCAGAATAAAAATTCGGAATGACTAAAAAAAAACACCAATATCAATTAATTAGAATGGACAGGAAAAAAATGATGCATTGATAAGATACCTGTAAAGTTTTATATATTGTTGTTGCTGCTAAGTGTTCGAATCTGATGGGCGTGTGTAGAATCTAATTAATAAACGAAAAAAAATGATAATTAATTTAACGTGTTTGTAATCAAATTGATTTGTTGTAAGGGGCCAATACAAAATCAAAATGGATTCCTCCTCCTACTACTCTCTTCACACGAGCGTGTTTATATAATAAAAAAAATAATTCGATCATCAACTACTCATAACACACACACACACACACACACAAACGCCAAAACCAATACATACAGATGGAATATAAGCTCCAGAAATATATCTGAAAACTTGAATCAATCAATCAGTTTATATAATTAATCTAATGATTGAGAAATAGAATGAAAAAATAGGACGAACCTGTAAAAAAAAAAAAGAAAAATTGTTGATGAATAGATGAGCCAAACGACTAAACAGCGTGATAATTTACGGTACAAAATATGATAAAATGATGACCGATGTTTTGAATTATTATGATGAATAAAATTGGATTTGAAAAATTCCAATTTTTATTCAATCAAAATAATAATAATGCAAAAAAAAATAATAATTTCCGAACAAAAATCAACCAAAAAAAAAACATACAATTGCCGTTGTCGACTTTACGATGATGATGGTGATTTCCACGTCAGATTTTGTAGTACAATTGTGATAAAAACACAGTGGAGCTACTGCCGCTGCTGCTGCTGCTGCTATTGGCAGAAACCAATGAAATTCACCACAAAAAAAAAATTGACCGAACCAACAATAAAATACAAATGATGATGAGTAGTAAGAAAAAAAAACATAGTAGCATAGATTAAAGATAGGAAAACTTTCATACCCATCATACATATTTTCAGCCGGTGATTCACAAACACACACACACATTTATGAATGTTTCCTTACTTTTCTAATCTATGCTACTACCACATACATTGGCGGTGTCTAAAAAAAAAACCTTTATATATATGTGATTCATTCATATAAAACGTTTCAATTTTCAAACATTTCAATTTCGTTCGATAAACACTAGATGATGACACAATTGATGAGAGAGGATTTATGTGATTTTTGATGATTTTTATTTTTTGAAATTTTTTTTTTACATTTTGTTTTTGTGTTTTAATTTGATTTTCATCATTTCATTCTGGCCAAATACCATGTGTTTGTTCAGTGTTAATGTGAAATAATAAATCCAACAACATGTGAGATGATTAGATGAGAGATAATGTTACAGTTGTTTTTTTCTACATAGAAATTCGTTTTAATCTGATTCCAGTAAATTGACCCAAATGTTTTTTCTTTGTTTCGGCCATCAAATGTTGTTACAGTGAAAAGGATTTTTTTTTTAGATTTCGTTAATTTTTCCATGTAAAGAAACATTCGAAAAAAAAATTTAATGACAAAGAAACACGATCTGTGTGTGTGTGTGTGTGTGTGTGTGTGTGTTCAGGATTGAAAATCACTGTTACTTTTTTTGTGGAGAAAAAAAACATTGACAGCTTGCTTGTGATTGTCATTCATGTATTTTTTTGACAATTCAACAACGACAACGACAACAATCATCACATGTATCGAGAATTCCTGTTGGAATTCACATTTTTGTTTTTTTTTTTCACTTGAATTTTTGTTTTTATTTTAGTGATGCAAATTTTTCAAATCAAATTCAAATTCAAATTCAGGAAAAAAATGTTTCCAGATGTAATATCATAAACCTACACTAAAACAGATTGACGATATTGTTATCGTTCATTTCAACAAATCAATATAAAAATCGATTGGAAACAAGACAAAAAAATTTCTCTGCAATACCCAGGTAAGTGAAAAATAAATGCAAATGTATTGTATATTTGTTTCTTTTCGATTTTCACAAATGTCAATCAATTATAAATTCATTTTATTATTCAAATCGAATTCACAATTTCTTTTGAATTGATCTTTTTTTTTATTTCTAAATAATCATTTATGCTAATAACAAATCTAATGGGTCGTGTTGTGTGTGTGTGTGTGTGTGTGTGTGTGTGCAGAATCTAAAACCCAAATTCTTTTCCAAATAAAAAGAAAAGTAAATGGTGAATTTCATGTGAATCAAAAACAATGTTTGTACCAGAAATTGTTTTTTTTTTCATTAGAAAACTATAACAATTTCATTGGAAAAAACAAAACAAAACAAAGATGTGAAATTCACCTCTATTACAGTGAAAAAAAATTCAATCAATTCAATTTGATATTTGTTTTTGAATCGATCAGCAGGTTAATGTTATGATTGATTTAATTGAAAACACACACACACACACGCACATGATAATCACATTCCAGAAATGGGCAAATTTTTCTCTTTTTTTTTTACCACAAAATTGATTGAGTTTGCGTCAATGAAAAAAAAAAAAATTCTTTCATCCCATTCAATATCGTCATAGAATATTCGAAAATGGGGCAATAATAAAAAAAAAATTCTTATCATCGTTAACATTATCGAATATGCGCACGTGCAATAACATTTTACATGATATGATGGTCACAGAATATGAATGGCGCGGACCAAAAAACTGTTTTTTTTCCATTTCATATCGATGGAATTTGCCTGTGTGTGTGTGTGTGTGTGTTTTGTCAGTTTTCCATAAATGAAACACAATTTTTAGTCAATTATTAACCAAATTACCACATTGACAAAAAAAAAAACACGATTTTGTTTATTGTTTACGAAAAAAAATGTGCCTTTCTCTCTTGTTTCATGTGTTTGTTTGTTTTGATTTAAAAATTTTAAAAAAATTTGTTTGTTTGTTTGTTTGTTGAAACTTGAACTTTGTTGTTGTTGTTGTTGTTGTTTGAACTTGAAATTTTTTCATCCTTTTCCACTTATTTTTTCTCAATCAATCAAATTAAATACAGTATATATAATACATACTTGATCATGAGAATAATAATTCACACCTGCTGTGCTCCAAAAAAAAAAATCTTGTTATTGCTGGTAATTAATTATTAATTATATTATTATATGATTATGATGAAAACTGTCGAGTGCAGAAATTTTGTTTTTTTTATTCATCATCCAAATTCAATCACAAGACGATTCCTTTGATTAAACCCTTTGATTACCATAATAAAATGATCAACCAAGTTGGCATATATCTCGAAATGAAAAACAGAATGGTTGTGTGAAATTGTATGTGAAAAAAGGAAATTATGCTAAATCATCATTATCGTCATAATTTTTTTTCTGATGGTGAAAATGTTGGAAATTTTCTCATTTCCTGTCATATATTTTGTATGATGTTTCTACGTTTATTTATAAATATTTAAGAAAAATGGTGAAAAAAATACAGACAAGTTTAGGCTCTGAAAATTTCCATTCATTCATTTATTAACTTTCTGGTTTTGATATTGAATTCTGTTGAATTAAGATTGAAATGCAGAAATTAAAAAAATGTTAGCTTTACCGTCGAAAATTATTCCAGTCTCTGGCAAAAAGAGAAAAAAATTTTTGAAATTATTATTTATATATGTTCCACTATTGAGATTTTTTAAATTGTTTTGGAATGTTTTGTTTGTTTTTTGTTTTGTATTTTGTTTTCAATTTATTCCACAAGGAAATGCCTGAAATGTAATGTGAATTTATTGTTGTTTTTTGTTTTTTTTTTGTTTTTGTTTTTGTTTTTTTTTTTGCTCTCTCAAACAAAACACATAGACAAAGGTCATTATTATTCAGACGGTACGCAATCATTTCGTAATCCAATTGATGACATTTTCAACATTTAAAAATCAAAATAAATGGATTAATTTTTGATCATCATCATCATCATCATCAATTTTTTTTGCCTAGCCATTTTCAGTTGAAAATTGAATTCAAAAATTTAATGCTTTTTTCTGGAGTTTTTTTTCCGTTTTTCATTGTGAAAAATGCAATTTCGTTTATCGTATTGTTATCTTTTTTTTTCATTCGAAATTTTTTTTTTTTTTGGATATGTTCAATATTCTCAATAATAGTGATTGAAAGTTGTTGAGAAAAATAAATAAGATGATGATGATGATGATTATATGATTGTGAACTGTCTATGTGTGTCTTTTAGGAATATTCTTAGCCGGAAGAATATTCTACATAAAGTTGATGTGGTAACATCTGGAAATTTTTTTTTCTTTTTGTTGTTTTGTTTCGTTTGAATATGGTAGCTAGAGAAATGCATGAAAAACTTACTTACAGCTATCGATATTATTCGAATGATTTTTTTTTTGCAATCTAACATACGATTTGTATATATGAATTTATTGTTTTTCCCATATCGATGGAATTGATTGTTGTTTGTTTCGATTAGTTTGATGATGATGATGATGATTTTTTGATTTGCAATTTTTTTTTCTAGCTCATATCGATGAATGAATAATGAAATCATCTCTTTTGCAATCAATCAACAATCGTTTAGCTGATTATCAATTCAATTTTTTTTCGTCCTCTTCTTCGCTAACGATTCGTTTGAATTTCTCAGGAAAATTGTTTCAACTGTATTAATGATCATTGATTCTTTGCATATGATGTGAATTATTAATAATCAATTATGGATCATACACAGAATACAAATAATAATAATAATAAAACGAGCGAAAAATCATTGGAAGCATTAGATGAATCATATCAAATATTTTTGATAATTTTATATTCATTCACTGCTTGTTTTGCATTCATATCGAATCTATTGACAATAATTGTCATGTGGAAAGGAAAACGTTGTACACGTGATCTAAGAAAATTTCTAATCAACCTGTCCATTGCTGATTTATTGATGGCAATGTTTACTATACCATTTACATATACATATTATATGTTTGGCCATTGGATATTTGTCCCATCAATGTGTTCAATTGTTAATTTTGCTCAATTAACAACAATCACTGTCAGTATTTATACATTGGTTGCCATCGCTATTGATCGGTAAGACTTTTTTTTGTGTCATCATCATCATCATCATCATTTTTTCTGCGATTTTGTTTCCAATTCTATTCTAGTTATATGGCCATAATGCATCCATTGAAAAAATCAAAATCATGGTTCAAACGTCATCGTACATTGATTGTCATTTTAATTTGGTTATCCGGATTATTATTAGGTTTATTACAATTTTTTGCTTCAGAAACAAAAACATTTATACATAATCAACGTGAATATATATCATGCGATGAACGTTGGAAACCAGAATCAATGGAAGGTAAACTTTATACGGCGTTTATATTTGCAACAACATTTGCATTGCCAATGTTAGCACTTTGTATTATTTATACGGCAATGGGTTGGAAATTATTTCGTTATCGTGGACCTGAACAGCAGCAGCAAAATTTTGTTTGGACAAAAATTTTGATAAGAAAACAACATGTACTACTACTATGAGAAAAGCAGCCGGTAAGAATTCCATGAATAAAATTCTGGTGTATTGATAAGATTTTTTTTATTATGATCATGTTTCCAGTGTTGACAAATAAATTGAATAATAATGCTAATGATGATGATGATGATGATGTAAATCTAGAATCTGAATCAATAATTATCAAGATTTCTGAAACAAATGTTCCTGAAATTAGTAAGTCATTTTAACAATGTGTTTGTTTACACCACATTGTAATTGATTTTTTTTTGTTTGTTTCATTTATATAGAAAAATTAGCAACAACAAAACAACAAGCAGATGATCATTTTGTTTGTCTAAAATTATCATTATTGAATCATCGAAAAAAATCATCATCATCATCATCATATTATCATCGACATCATTCAAAATGTTTTAATTGTAATGGTAGTATTTCAAGTTTTATGATTGATCATAACACTACTACTAATCAACGTTCATCCAAATTGATCAATATTCGTCGTCATAAGGTATTTGTTACATTTTCAATTAAAATTCACATTACCCAAATGTGAAAAATATCAATTTCGTTGAACAAGATAGACTCCATCTAATCAAATTTTTGTTCATTAAAAATAATGATGATGATCACAAATTTTTTCCCCATATAGGTACTAAAAATGCTCATAATCATTATCATGGTGTTTACCGTTTGTTGGCTACCAATACAATTGTTCAATATATTAATATATTTTAAAACAAATTTTCTTCACGTTGATTCAGAATTCAAATACTATGCATTTGTTGGTAGCTACTTTTTTTGCCATTGGATATCGATGGCACATAGTTTTATGAATCCAATTATTTATTCATTTATGAGTAAAAATTTTAGGGTATGTATTTTATTTTCATGATAATGATGTTTTATTTCCATTTTTTTTTTTTTTTTTGATCCAACTAACCAAAAAAATAGTCAGATATGAAAATGATATTCTCAAATGTGTGCCATAATAATAGTAATAATAATTCCATGAATAAATAAAAAGAATAAGCAAAATGAAATTAATCAATCAACACCAGCACCAGCATCAGCAAAACATGGATTCATCAAGTATATGCAAAAAGGTTCGTATTGAATGAATTGATTGGTTGACCAATAATTAATCTTGACAAATTTTACTGTTGACATTGAATCATTGTTGTTGTTGTTGTTGTTTTGTATATTTAAATTGAAAAATTTTGAATGTCAAAAACATGTGTGTGTGTGTGTGTGTGCGTGTTAATTTAATTTAAATTTTTTTTTCTCTTCTCTTGGTCTTGGAATTTAAATATGATATTTGTGTGTGTGTGTGTTTTATACGGAATTTTTTTCAATTGAATGATTTTTTTTGTCGCTCCATTATTATTGTCGTTTAATGGGAATTTTTTTTTGTTCGTTTTTCAATATATTTGATTAACAGGGTGTGGTGTGGCTTGTTGATGATGGATTCAAGAATTTGTTTGGTTTTAGTTGATTTCTTGTTTTTTGTTTTTGAATTGGAAAATTAATTTATAAATTTCATGACAGACAAAAAAAAGGGTGTTTGTTTTAGTATTGGTGAGAAAAAAAACGTTCGTTTGTCGATATATCACACACGGTGTTTATGTGAATGTGAGGAATTTTGATGACAAAAAAATTTAGATTTTCACATTTAAGTACGTAAAAAGTGTCTGAACATGCTCCATTATTATTGTCTACTGACTATGCAACAGTTAACGAAATGGTGAGAAAAAAATATCCAATCCAAAAAAAAGAATGTCCTTTAGAAGGTTGCCGTAGTCGTTTGCTTTCAATATTAATAATCTTCATCCTTTATATCATCAAGAAATAAAGTATATATAAAAAAATCTATTTCACTTTTTCATATTATTGACAATGCATTATTCTAATTTATTTAAGAAGAGCATCGTGTTCTAGGAAGCCCACTGATTCATCGAATCGACAAACTTCGGAACCACATGACCAAGAAATGATTGAACCACCAAATTTTTTGGACCAAGAAATGATTGAACCACCAAAATCACCAAACTTCGTATGACCAAGAAATGATTGAGCGACCAAGAAATTCAAGAAACGAGATTGTTGCACTGTTCCTATGTGATAATGAACAAATAGGATTCGGAAAATCAAGAGCATTCAAATTCTATTTATGATGACCCGGTTAACTGGAACGATTCAGGAGGATATTCCATCAATTGAATGATTTTTTGTCTATTTCCGTCAAGAATGAACGATACAACTGATCAAGAGTTGTTTATAGACTGGTAAACTTCGAGTTGTGTTTCTTTCGACGACTTCATTTATGGAAAAACGGAAGAAAGTTTTTAGCGGTTATATGTCTTGTTCTAACTGCCGTTCCATGATCGGAATTTTCTTGTTTCGATGCATTAAACGACCAAATCCCGATTCACACTCCGTCCCAAATTTCATGGAAAAAATATTGAATCCCTTCATACAGGAAATGAAAAAATTGGAAAACGATGGGATCAATTTTAATAATGGGGAAAATCCATGTATAGCAATATGATTATTTACAAGATTGCCGGAAGTATATATTTTTCGATGAATTTCATACTTTTACAAGTATCCGGAGTTTACGAAGATTTTTTCGATAGTAAGCAGAAACCAAAACAATTTATCTGATGTGATTTAAGCAAATGATTTGTCCAACGAAATTTTTTCAATTGAATGATTTTTTGTCGCTCCATTATTATTGTCGTTTAATGGGAATTTTTTTTTTTGTTCGTTTTTCAATATATTTGATTAACAGGGTGTGGTGTGGCTTGTTGATGATGGATTCAAGAATTTGTTTGGTTTTAGTTGATTTCTTGTTTTTTGTTTTTGAATTGGAAAATTAATTTATAAATTTCATGACAGACAAAAAAAAGGGTGTTTGTTTTAGTATTGGTGAGAAAAAAAACGTTCGTTTGTCGATATCACACACACACGGTGTTTATGTGAATGTGAGGAATTTTGATGACAAAAAAAAATTTAGATTTTCACATCACTCAATGTTTTTGTCATTGTTGTTGTTGTTTTCAACCAATACAGCGGCAATCTTTATTGAATAAACCTTGACATACACCATCTTTGAAGCCATTTTCTCGACAATGTTTACGACATAATGAATTTATTGGACAATTAAAATCACCAGCTAAAGGTGATTCCGGTAGTAGTGAGTCGTAGTTGGTTTCTGAAAATATTTTGAAATAAAAATGATTAGCAAAAAACAAAAAATTTCCAATCAATTACCAGGAATCGGTTTGGCCGTCGTCGATTCGATGATCATCATTGTGGCTGTAAAATAGAAATAGAAAATGGACATTGAATTTATTTGAAAATTTTCAATTTTTTGTTTACCCAAAAATAATCCTAGACAGGCGATTAATTTCATCGTGTGTGTGTGTGTGCGCGCGCGATCAATGATGAACATGAAACAGCAACCAGTCAGTGATCAAATGACAAACAAAACAATCAAAACGGTTGTTTTTATTATTTATTTTTCGCTAAATTGATTAATTATCAAAAGTACAAAACATTGAGTGGTTATTTTAATGATGATTTCCAATATTGAATCAAATCAGATGAAATTTATAGATTATTGATAGGCAACACACTTTGGAAGGGAAAAAAAAGCACTTTTGTTTTCTATTACACACACACACATACACTGCTAAAAAAGCAATCCAGTAAGTAAAAAAAACTAATCAAAGAAAGAAAAAACAAGTTTTTTTGATCCTCTCATTATCGATAATTTGTTTAACGAAACAACGACAGCAGCAACAGCAGCAGATTGATTTGTATCGAAAATTACATTTTTTTTTTCTCCAATAACAAAAACCAAGTCAGGTAATGATGATGATGTAATCGAATTAATAATTTTGAAATGTTGACTTTTGTTTGATTCTTGTAATTGAGTGGTTGATTTGTTTTGTTTTTTTTTTTTGGAGATCGGAAGTTGTTAGAGTTTTATTTTCTTTTCTTTTTTTTCTTGTTTCCTATTTTTGATTACACCATAATCATTTGATTGATTTTTGGGTTCATTTTGAAAAAATCACAATCATCTCATTGCATTCGATTCGATGATGATCGTGATTTTTTTGGTAATTTTTTCGTCTTGAAACAATGATCCAAATAGCCAAAATAATAAAGAAGTACTGATGCAAATATGAATGCAATTAATATGCCACCAATTATGCCAACAATTGGCAATGAATTAAGTGATGGACCAATTTTGGCCGTAAAACGAGGTTCAGATGTTTGTGTTTTATATTGCAAACGATCATCAAGCACAGTCATGGCTTGTTTTTTTTTATTACTTGAAAATTGTGTTGAACAAAAAAAAAAGAAAATCAGTGTTCTTAGTGTGTTATGTATATAGCATATTTAAGCTTGAAAATTTAATTTTATCGAAAATTTAATGAATTGGAATTTTCGGACTTGAAAACAATCAAACACTCTATATGGTGTTGAAATATGAACAAAACACATATGACCAATGTGGTGTTTTTTCCCACTGTTTTATATATTCAAATGATGAAAATTCAATCAATAATCATGAATGGAAAAATGTAGCATTTGTTCGATTTATAATTATCATCAAAAAAGAAAATGAGAAAATATGGAAACCATGGAAACATGTTTACCATTATTTTTGACGATAATAAATTCCGGACAATAAAAATTGTGTGTCTGTATGTGTGTGTGTGCAATTCATCCATACACACACATCATCATAGGATTAAAATGAAGATTTCTAGTCAGACACTAATTCATCTAAACCCGGTCATAAAAATAGATTAGAAAATGATCATTTTAAGATTTAATCATGTTTTCTGGATGCCTAAGATTTTTTTTCCTTTTTTTTTTTTTCCAAATCATTGTGAAAGTCGTTTGTTTTAAAAATTGTCTAAAACGTTGATGAAAATGAGTGAAAAATCACCAACAACATCAACATCGAATTCATTGAATCAATTTACATTCAATGAATCGTCAACATTTCCGTTGGAAGGTGCAGAAATTAAAGATTCACCATTTATATTGATACAAGGTCTTTCAATTGCTGCTGGTAAGTTTTTAGATTTTTTTTTAGTAAATTTTAATCATCAAATGTATTAAAATAGGAAGTTTTGGTCAAGTATATCTAACACGTAATGTAAAAACAAATGAAATTTGTGCCACAAAATTAGTCCGGAAAGATAATCCAAATGCAAAACTTCGAAAAGAATATGATTGGTATCGTATCCTGGGTAAGTGGTGGTGGTTTATCGTTTTATGCCAAAACTAGACTGATCTGATTGTTGAGTTTTGTTTTTCCATTTGTTTATAAACCAGGACCATTACCTGGACTGCCAAAAATATATCATTTTGGTGAATGCGGACCATATGATGCTATGGTTATGGAATTATTAGGACCAAATCTTGAAGAATTAATGGTGACAAATAATTCACGTTTAAATCTACGTACAACAACACAGATTGCCATTATGATATTGGAAATAATTCGTTCTGTGCATTCGAAAAAAATTATTTTCTGCAATGTTAAACCGGAAAATTTCTGCCTTGGACGTCCAGCCACTCCTAAAGCAAATCAGGTTCATATGGTTGGTCTTATTAATGCCAAGTTATTTGAAACAGCCGATTCGAAACATATACCGAAAATTTCAACAAATAATAATGAACCGAAAAAATTCGGTGTATATGGTACACCACGTTATATGAGCCTACATGCACATAAAGGTAAAGAATTAAGTCGTCGTGATGATCTTGAATCCATTGGTTATATGTTATTGTATTTTGTACATGGTAAGCTACCATGGCAAGGACTTCCGGTGAATAATTCTAGCAATACAGGCAATAATGATAAATATGAAAATATTTTCATTACAAAAAAAATGATACATCTCGATGAACTGTGTGCCAATCTACCACCAGAATATTATCATTATATGCTTTATGTACGTAGTTTGAAATTTGCACAAGAACCAAATTATCGTTATTTGATTACAATGTTTACCAAATTATTATATCGTATCAATATGGATCAATCACGGCTGGTATCACCATTAACCAATGATTTGGCAGCAATTACAATGGATGAACAATCATCATTGAATAATAAAAATGAATCCAACAATAATAAAAATAAAAATCATCAAACTACAATCGATTCATCATCATCATCATCACGAAAACAAGTTTCATTCAAAATTGATCATGAAACATTAGATTGAAAATTCAGCAAAAAAAAAATTACCAATTTTTGTCAAACTTGATTTTTTGTTTACATTTTTTAATAATCAAGATGATGAAATGCAGTTTTGACTTAATTAGATTAAAATTTTTCTATTTTGTTTTGTTCGATATATACAATATTTATTAATCCCTTGGTTGAATTAATTTTTGTAAATTTTTTTCCACAAAATCATTGATACCAGCATAGAAATGATAAAGTTGATTGATTGTCGAACACAACGTGTACATTGTATCGCGTTCAATTTCATTATGAGCTATTTGATAATCAATCAATTGTGGATTGAGCATACAATAATTTAATGATGATCGTCGTCTTGAATAATAGGATTCAAGTGTTAATAATTGTCCACAACAAGAATGATAAACATCGGCCATATAATACATTGCTTTCGTTTGTACAAGTACGCCGAAATTATGGCCATCCTGTATTTTAGGTGATAAAATTTCTAATACAAAATTAATCTTGGAAGTTAGATCGATTAAATCGATTATGTATGGTTTCAGCTGTTCGATCAATTGATTGATTTTTTTATTTGTTTCGATCATCATCATCATTTGGCCATCATGACGATCATTATTCGATTGGAAATGAAATAAATATGGTTTATTTTCACCATTTTGAATACAATTTCTTTGTTGTTCACCATCAATATCGATATTACAACATTGTTTAATAATCAATCGATCGACAATGTTTGTAATCCATTGCATATTTGCTGTTTTCAATGTTAAAATCGATTTCCATTCAAAGTTCTGTCGTAATTTATCAATTTCTTTGATTTTTTCAGGAAATTCATTCAGTACAATGGACAAAACTTTTGCTGTCATTTGTTCACATAGTTCATCCACTTCATTTGTATTCTTTTCAACGTTCATTTTATTTTTATTTTTATTTTTCATCAAAAATCAAAAATTATGATTTTTTATATGTAAATTTGTTAATAAAATTAGTCACTATGCGTGTGCACAGTACCAGACCAACATTGACGAAGAAATTGAATAAATTCTTCTGGATTCTGGCGATAACGATCCACTTCAATTTGTTCCCAATTTTCATTTGATGATGAGGATGTCATTTCAGCAATAGATTTGCCAAATGCTTGCCTTAAAATTAAATCCAGTAATTCATTTTCTTTACAAACATCATTTGAATTTGTTCCAATAATTGCTGATAGATTACTATTGACAATATCAATACTAGAATTGTGTTGAATACAAAAGAAAAACGAAAAAAATGATCAGAATCCTTTAAGCATTTCAATCACCCTGAAGAAAAACAATCAAATCTTCTGGTGATGGTTACCTTTCCATTCCAATCAAATGTGTATCTATCCGTTTTTCATGTAATGAATATCTAAGCGCCAATCTAGTTAATGGTATCGATCCATTTGCCTATGGCAAAGAGTGAACAATAAAAAAAATGAAATGAAATGAAATACTTAAAATGACTGATGATGAATGGCTGATTACCATACAAATTTCTCTTGCACGTTGACAACGATCACGAATCTTTTTCGATGCTGGATGCCATTCAGGAATGGTTGAATTATCATTACCTAATAAACCCATGCCGAATATTGCTGCATTTATGATTCCAATATTTTTCGACTATGTAAATCATTTAGTAGTAGTAGTAGTAGTGATTTTTTGTTGTTTGTGAGTAAAAATGTAACTATTGCTTACTTTGAAATAATCCAAATAATTGACAAATTCATTGTCCCAAAGTGAATGACGACAATAGCTAAGAATGATGTCAATTTTTACCGAACTTTTTTCGACAATTTCTCTGTAAAAAAAATTTTTTTTTTAATTTTTTCAATAACTAAAGTTATCATTCTAATACATACCTAAGCAATGATAATGGATAGCCCGAAATGCCGATATAACGAATTTTTCCAGCCAAACGTAACCGTTCTAATTCGGGTAATGTTTCCCGTAATAATAGTTCCAATGGACAAAATTCAACATCATGAACATGTACGATATCCACATAGTTTAAATTTAATTTTTTCAAACTTTTGTCAATTGATTTTCGAATAGCATCTCGGCTATAATCAAAATTGCAATCCGAATGTCGTCCAATTTTGGTCGATAAATAATATGCTTGACGTGGAACTTTTTTCAATGCCTTTTTTGAGAGAAAAGTAATCAAAAAAAAAAGAAAATGTTATGACAATTGAAAGAAAAATCAAATTTCAATTTTTTTTCGGTTACCTGACCGACAATAATTTCGGACAATCCCATTCCATAGAATGGTGATGTATCCACTAGATTAATACCGAGACGTATTGCCTGACAAATTGCATCAATAACTTTTGGCGATATATTAGAAATTTCAATTTGATTATTACCACCATCATCATCATCATCATCATTATTATTAATATTTATACCACGTCCAACATGTGCTGCACCAAAACTTATTAATGAAACAAACATATCAGTATGGCCAAGACGATTATATTGGATTTTTTTGATTGATTCAAGATTGGACCATTCTTTCACATAAGTGGATGGTGTTGGTGATGATGAAATTATGGAATTCATTTTGTTTTGTAATCATATATACACTTTTGTTTACACACCAATGAATACCACAAACCAAATACAGATTTGATTCAATGATGACAATCAGCTGATTTTTTTTTCTCCTTGAAATTATCATCACCATCATCATCAAGTTTATCGATTACATCAATGCACAACATTCAGCAATGGAAAGAATTTTTAAAAATAAAATAAAATTTTTTTTTTTTCTGAAAAGGACAATATAATAATTGAAATACCTAACAAGTAAAAAGACAGATTTTTTTTTCACAAAAAAAAAAAAAAATATATATATGGAAACATTGTGAACATCTGAATTGATTGGAATTATTTTTTAAGTAAAAAATAATAATATTTACGTGAATGAAAAAAAAAGAAACCTTCTAACAAATTAGTGTGAGTGTATTCGGGGCGGTGTTATTAGTAACAAATTATCATCATCTACAATTATAATAATATATAAATAAAAACCAGTGTAATTTATATGTATATTTTTGATTGATTCGAATAAAAAATGGTTGTTTTCTCTTGATGATTTTACAATATTTATATATTTGGTTGACTAAAATTAAATTTTTTTTTTTTTCGTCTGGAATGAATTATGAATAGTGAGAGAATCAGAAAGTTCAGAGGTTAATTTTGAAGATTATTTGGTCTCCGTTTGTTTTTTTTTTTTGATTCGTTTTGTAGCAACCATCATCATCATCATCGTTATTTATCACAGAGACAGACTACCAGATATATGATTTTTTTTTTTGAGGAAAAAAAATAACCTAATCATCATTGCCATCATAATTATGAAATTCTTCATCATCATCATCCTTATCGTCAACAGTTTCAGTTGAATATTTGATATTAATCTTATCGCCAATTTCATTCATTACATTCAATGAACGATCTAACATATCTTTGGTATGGGCAGCTGATATACAGAATCGAACTCTTCCAGTGGTCAATGATGTGGCAGGATAACCAGCACCGATAAATCCAAGACCTTTATCATGGGCCATACGGATTACGGCTCTGTTAATGAATAGAATTTAATTGGAAAAGAAAACATTTCAATGATTATATAAAACTTACGCAATTTTTGAACAAAAACAAAGCAATAACGGTACGACAGGTGAATCATCATGACCATAAATAATAAAACCCATTTGACGTAATTTTTTACGAAAATATCGAGAATTGTGTGCTAATTTTTGTATACGTTTTCTTCCATCATCAGTACCATCTTCACCTGACAATGATCGTATTACACAGCTAATTTGCATTGCAATCGGTGCCGACATTGGATTAGCATAATAATGGCTAAATGAATTGATTCGTATCAGATCAACAAGATCCCGACGACCGGCTACATAACCACCGGCAGCACCAAAACTTTTTGTAAATGTTCCCATCAATATGTCAACATCATTTGGATCGCATCCAAAATAATCGATTACACCACGTGCATTGGGTCCAAGTGCACCGATTGAATGTGCTTCATCCAGATAAATATAGCATTTATATTGTTTTTTGATTCGTATTAATTCAGGCAGATTTACAATTGTTCCTTCCATTGAATATATTCCTTCAACAATAATAATAATCTTTTTCCATGGTTCACCAGTCTTTGGTTGTCCATCAACAATATATCTACGAATTTTACGTTCTAAATCTTTCATATCTGTTAACGAATAACAAAAATTATTTGCTTGTTATTTTTTGTCAAATAATATACTCACTATTATGTTTAAATATACGTATAGTGGCACCCGAAAGACGACAACCCAAAATCAGTGATGCATGATTATTAGAATCACTCATAATTAGGCATCCTTGGCTAACAAAACATTGTATATTAGTTGAATTTGTTGCAAAACCCATTCCAAATACAACACATGATTCGACACCTAAAAATCTAGCCACCAATTGTTCTAGTTGTTTAACATGTTCATTATGACCAAATTCATTGCGTGTCGAACAAATACCAACACCATCATCTCTAATTGTTTTGACAACTTTTTCATGTATTGGTCCACTATTTTCAGCATAGCCAAGATAATTATATGATCCCATATTGATTACACGATATTTTGTCCCAGGAAATCTGGAAATACAAAAAAAAATTCCATCATCTATAAATTGGTCATGTAAAAAAACCATTGACATTTACACATACTCAAATGTCCAATTTTCATCCGATGAATGGCGATCAACAACATCGATTTCAGCACCGGGTACACTTGCAATTGGTCGATTCCATGCATCACGTATACGACGATAAATATTACGGGTATAAAATGATTCAAAACTTTTATATAAAGATGTATATCCCTTGTTTGATTAAAGAAAATAATAATATAATAATATAAACAAAACCAGAAAATTAAATAAATAACCAATGGCAACAATAAACTTACCTCACGATCACGTTCAACGGCCGATAAATTTTTTTCCAATCCAGTTTTACGCATAAAATCACGAAGATAACCAAATATAATTAGTACAGCATAACTAACATAACAAAGGAAGGCAATATGATATGGTGGTTCTTCATAACGATTAAAACGATTATCAGGTGTCGATTTAATTTTTAATCTTGTATTAGCTGTTTTTGTCGTTGAACAATAATATGATTTTGATTTTGATATTTGTTTATTGTAGCTATTTTTTTCATTTGAATAATTTTTTAAAATGCTATTTTTCTTTGTTTCAACAGTTGAATAATTATTATTATATTTTTTGATTGAAGACAATTGCAATTCAGGGCAGTGTTCTTGTTCCGTATCACTATCATCATTAACAATAGGCTGTAGATAATCTTTATGGTGATGATGGTGATTGTTACAAATGAATCCGTTTATACCATTTGGTCGTTTGCTATCATCATCATCATCATGATTGTCGTTGTAATGGATTGCATTGGAAATTTTTCCATTTTTATAATGATGGAAACCATTCATTGGGCCATTTAATTGACCATTTAAATAATCTTGATCTATTGATGACTTATTCGTATGTTTTATATTATGATAATGATGATGATAGCCATTCAAATGATTTGATTTCATCATCATTGTTGATGTTTTTAAATTATCCATTTCCATATCATCACCATTCAATCGATTTCGATTGTCATTGGGAAACTATGGATATAAAGAAAAAATGAAATTTTGTCATTTTTAAAAATGATGATATAATGATATTGAAGAATTTTCAGGAGATTTCCTAGAATTTTCCGATCTGAGAACAACTTGAAAGTATACTGGATAAAATAAAGTTTTGACAAAGGATAATGATTGAAAAATTGACAAAGTACAAGAAGATGTTCTAAATGTCAAAAAAAACATTATGAAACAACGACAAACAATTGAATACTACTAATCAACTAAAAACCAATATTCAGACACACGTTTAACAAAAAAAAGATCAATTGATTGATCATTGGTTTTTTTTAAATTTAAAAACAAAATAATTTGTTTCCGTAACATTTCCCTAATCTAACAAATAATGGATTTTTTATTGTCTCATTCATCATCATCATCATCATTGAAAATGTCCGGAAGAGAAAATGAACAAAAAAAGATTAAAATGGTATGGCAAATGAATTTAATATATATGTGTTGAACAATAAAAAATTTCCTTAAAGTTTTATTGTTGTTGTTGTTGTTGTTTTTTCACCAGGAAATAGGCCATTTATCATCATTAAAAAAAAGTGACCATTTAAAAAGTTTACATAAAAATATATTACAACTATTACCCATGTGAATATTTGCACTTTTCTATCTCAAATCTGATATATTGTTAGTTTACTATTAAATAAAAAAAAAAATTAAAATGACACAACTATGATGAAATGAAAAAAAAATTTCAAATCACAATTCATATTTTGGTTGTTTTTTCGATATATATAAATCAAAACTCGCATGAAATTAAAAGTAAACACATACAATGGATAAATAAACAAATATTTCACAATTTGGTATCAAATGACGATGAAAAATCACATACACACGCACGGAAACGATGATGATGATGATGATGATAATCAAGAAAAAAAATTATAATTCAAACAAAAAAAAATAAAGAATGAAAATGACTTTTCAGTTTTTTCTCTCTTTTTTTCGATGAATAAATAAATATATAAATTTCATACTAAAAGTACAATCATCATGCAAGGACTCATTATTAGATTTTTATATAAATTTCTTTTCTCACCGAGAAAAAAAAAAACCCAAAGCAATATTTTTTAGTAATAATAAACCATGATGATGATGATGATGATGATGATGATTGTAAAAAAAAGGATGGCGGGTAACCAAGTCAACACAAATAATGATGAATGATTGAATAACAAAAAAAAATGCTAAACTTTCTCTCTCTCTCTCACACACGAACGTAAATAGATAATATATGAAGCAGACCAAAATGTACTAAAAAAAAATACCAAATCGAGTAATTTAAAGTAAAGAAAAAAAAAGAGAAACTTACCTTATCATTGCTATTATTGTTGATAAATTTAGCTAAATTATTGTGATGAGAAATTGGAATGATTTTTCCATTGGAATGTTTATGATTGTAAGGTTGATCGTAATCATCATCATCATTATTGTCGTTGAAATGATTCATAATCAAATTGGTTTTTGTTGGAATTTGTACTGATTCAGTCATTCGATTATCATTATCATTCAATGAAATTGATTGATCAAACAAGATTTCATTATTTGGTCCCATTATTATTATTATTATTGAGATAGTGTATTTATAAAATGTTTTTTGAATGATCTGGTTTTTTTTCTTCTTCAATGTTTATTTATTCTAGGTTTTGGTCGATCGATTTTGTTCAGGTTGATTGATTGGATCATCAATGAGAATATATATTGGCTTTTGTTCGTTCGTTTATTTTTTTTATTTATATTTTTTTCATATTTTCATCGATTTGATTGATCGATACAAGAAATTTTGATGATGATGATGATTTGGATTCACAACCTTAAAAAAGGATGATAATTGAGAGAATTTGTTTTGTCAATTTTGAATTGGAAAAAAATAGACACAATGTCAATGTAGTTTGATATGATAATAGTGTCTTATATTTGTGGCTTCAATATCATCGTGTTTGACATTTGTTTTTTTTTTGTTGAAATTGGCGAAAATCAGTAAATTTTTTTCTTCTAATCATCACGATGATTGATTATTTATTGCACACGACATGTTGTTTTTTTTCAATAACAATTATCTCTTGAAAATGTGCCCGCTATATAATAATGTAATAATAATAATGATCTTGCGATATTGAGTATCGTCGATTGATATAATTATTTAATCAATATGATATTGAAAACATGATTATGGTGATTATGACACAACAACATATTCAATGACTAATACAGATGAATGGAATGATGATGATGATGATGATAAGGATGACAATAATATGGATGAACAACAATAATAATAACAACAGAATCACAGTAACAATTCAATGATGATGATGATTAATCCAATTTCAATCTCTATAAATAGAACAAATAAAACAAAAATAAAAAATTTTAACATATTCAATTTGGTTATAAAAACAACACAATTAACGAACCAATTTTTTTTATCTATTCTTGTCATCATCATCATCATCATTATTATTATGTATGATGATAATTGGCCACGCGGTTGCGTTACTGATGATAATATGAAGATGTGATGTTTCTTCTTCTTCTTATCCTTGTGTGTTTGTCTCGACGACGGCAACGGCGACGATGATGATGATGTGTGTGTGTTATTGTGAATAGCCGAAACCGCGAGTATTATATGCAATAAAAAAAAATAAAGCGAGCTTAAAAATAAAAAGTTACCGCCGTCGTCGTCGTCGTTATTGTTGGAATGATATCGGCCGCTCCCACACATACACAAAACACACGCATGTATACAACAAACAACTTCTACCACAAAAAAAAATTTTTCGATGATGATGAGAATCTTGGTTGTTTGGTAATAAAATATAACACAATCATCAAGATAGTAATGAAAAAAAAAGAAAATTTTAAAATAAATTCATTCATGTCACTAAATTTTCTCTTACCTTATTTATCATGGTTATCAAAATCAATTTGTTTGTCATTGATTTCAGGCAATCGATGTAATAAGATGGATAATGATTGATAGTGAAACAAAAACAAAAAACAAAAATGTTCGAATATGTTCGAATGAATTCGAAAAAAAATTACAATTATAATTGAGTGGCGCGAATGTAGATGGAGGTGTTATAGAATATTCTTATAATCAAAACCATCTATTGTCAGAATAGCCATTCTATTTATACACATGAAAAGAATATTCTACAATGGATTGTTTGTTGTGATTCGAATTGTCAAAAATTCGAGATGGTTTTTTTTTTGCTAAAAAAACATTGGATATTATTATTATTTTGATCTCAATGGATTAATCGATTCATTTCGATTTCAATCAATTTTTTTGTGTTACATTCTCTCAGTTTTAATTCTAGTCATGAAATCTGAAGATGATCAACAAAGCAATAATCATGGTACAAATTCCATTTATAAAGGTAATTTAACGAATCGATAATGAATTGGGCATTAAAATTATCATTTTTATTAATTATTTTAGCCAATAAATTGACAAGAAAACGTGTGATGAGACGAAAGAATGCCGTAAGACGTATACAAATTCATGATGAATTTGCCATTGTCAATAATTTCAATGCTCATAATTATTCGAATGAAGAAAATTTTGCCACTTCAAATATTGGTTTACCTAAAAATGATTTGGCCGATGATTATGATGGTGATGATTCATCAAAATTATTATTATGTACAAAAACAAATCATAATCATCATCATCATAATCATAATTCATCATTATTACAACAACAAATTATTGTATTTACAACAAATCCATCCTATCATCGAATATATTCCATTGTTAAACAGGCATTTATATGGCAAAATTTCTTAAAACAGTATTCAATTAGTTCTAGTCATAATAATCAAAACGTCACCAATTGTCAATCATTGATGTTAAATGCCAATAATAATTTAATCAATCAAATTGCACAAAATGCAAATAATCCACAATCATTTGTTGATCGTTTATTATTCGACGAAGAATTCAAACAACAACAATATGGTACTGTGAAAAATATACCGAAAACAATTTCAATGGGATTAAATGTTGTGTTGGATATAATCAAAGATACATATGAACAAAATCCTAAAATATGTATACGATCATTAGAATCACTTTATAATCTATTACAAGGATTGAAACCGGAAAGTCTTAAAAATGAACCACCATCAATGATTGAAAGATATTTTCATCTAATTGAATCAATGATAACGATGTCTTATTCATCAATTGGCCGTTCATTGACAAATTCCATACGTTTGAATGAAAATTATCATTCACAAATTCTTGAACTTTCATTATTATCATTGATAACATTATCAATAGCCAGTGGTGATACTGGGAAAATATTGAATTGTATTAAAATTCTTTTAATCGAATGTAATACTATTCAGTCTCATCATCATTATCATCAACAACAATCAACATCGACAACAACAACAACAACAACGGCAACATCACAATCTGGATTTGAAATTGAAATACCGGAAATAATGATTTTATTGAATAAACATACATGTTCATATTTATTGGGTAAACATATCGTACCAGAATGGTCTCATTATGGATTTCCAATACAATCATTATGTGAAACATTCCATATTAATTATGTTTATCATCATCATCATCATCATCATCATAATCATTCTCATCATCAAAGAAATTCAATTAATAAACATAATACAAATAAATGTTCCAAAACATCATTAACATTTGATGGACAACATCTTTTCCTATATCGTTGTAATCATATATTTATTATCGGTTCTGGTTATAATTTTACAACTCAGGGACAAGAAATATATTCTATAACATTAGACATATCAAATCAATTGAAAATGATTAATAATCATCATCATCATCATCATAATCAGTATTCAGCATTACAAAATCATGATCAATTCATCACATCTGGTGAACAATCAATGGATATGCAATGTTGTAATGGTGGTTGGATTGGCTACATTAATGGTGATCTATATGTTAAACCAGATTCAGATTGGTCCACACAACAAATTATACAGGTAGATTCACGTTCATTGAAATTTAAAAATATTATCACATTATTCGGTGATAATGGTGAACAACGAAAAACATCATCATCATCATCATCAGCATTGGATATTCAATTTAATAAACCAACATTAGCTGCAACAGATGGTGATTATCTTATATTAATTTCTGTGATCCAAGATGATTATTTCCACGTACGTGAATTGAAACCGATTAAATCGGCAAATTTTGGATCATCACAACATAATACAACATTCAATCTTGCATCTGAATTTACTGTACGTTTATCATCCGTTTGTTATTCATATTGTGGCCATTCTGTACATAATAATCTACAGATTCCATATCAAAATTATAATAAAAACAACAACAACAACAAAACGGTTAAAAAATCTTTAAATGAACTGATGGCACCAACATTGAAACTGATTGAAACGAATAATTATTTTGAATTGAAAAATTTATCAACACTACTAACTGGAAAAGATTTTGCATTACTATTAACGAATCAAGGAAAAGTATTCTATACGGGAAATTCTCATAGTCTCGGTATACGTCATCTATATTCATATGATAAATGGTCATTATTGAATATACCGAAACCGGTGAAAATCACACAGATTGCAATCGGTCATGATGGTAATCATTCTTTATTATTAGCTGATGATGGTACCATATTTTTTGTTGGCATTGCAAAACGTGGTGAAGATGGTGATCAATCAACACGTAGTGTATGTCGTTTTAATTATAAACCAAATCGTATTAAAAAATTGGCAGCAAAAATTGATACGAATCCATCATTCGTTGCATGTAATCATGGAACAAGTGCAATCATTACTAAATCTGGTGATCTTTATCTATTTGGTAAAGATTCCCAGCATTCAAACCAGAAAGGTTTAGTGACAAATCTACCAAAAGATTTTAAAGTTGAATCCATTGTATTGGGTAAAGCACATATGTTGTTGTTATCTACAAAAGGTCAAGTTGTAACCAGTGGATTTTCCAACAAAGGCCAATGTGGTTTTATCAATAATTTTCAACCATCATCATCATCTGCATCATATCATCATCATCATCATCAAATGAAATCAATTTCAAAATCATTGAATGAAGCTTGTTTGAAAACAAGTCTTGATTCACGATTACAAACATTCCATTCTGGTCATACTTTCATATATGGAAAATCACGTCGTTGTATACGATGTTTTAATTGTACTGAAAATGGTTCAAAATGTCCACCCTTATTATCAATCGTCAATGATGATGATGTGAATAAAGAAGAATTCTGTAACTGTGGCTATGGCAATAGTGGTTGTGTTAATTGTGGAATATGTTCAATTTGTTCACAAACATATTCTATTTGTCCAAATAGTAAAACATCAATTAATGAAGATCATTTGATCACGAAATCATCACGTAGTTTATGGAGTTCAAAATTAAGCAATTTGGAACTTGTTGAATCTGATATTGATTGTCAATCCAAAATGACTTCAATAGCACCGACTATACTGCCATTTAGTTTGACCAATACGATCATACAAATTGCTGCCGGCCTTCATCATTCAATTTTGTTGACCAATAAAAATGAAGTATTCACATTTGGTTCAAATCAATTTGGACAACTTGGTGTAGGTGATTTACATAATCGATTTCAACCTACAAAAGTTGAATTAGAATATGTTTGTCAAGGATACATTACACAAATTGCAGCCGGTTCAAATCATTCCATATTGCTTACATCATTGGGTGAAGTACTGACATTTGGTAATAATCAACAAGGACAACTTGGCCGTCAATCATATGAACTTTGTAATCTGAATACATTTCAATGGAATACATTCCCAGATCGAATGGCACGTATTGGACCAGAATTTGGAAGAATAGCCACACAAATAACGGCTTCAGGTGATTTTACATTCATAAAATATGATGAAATTCTATTGAGTTCAGAAATGTTTGCCAAAACTAAATTGATAGCTGAAAAAAATAATTTAATATTGATTCCACCGAATTATTCATCCACTAACATCGATGTTGTTGAAGGTGATTGTGAAATTAATCATCATCAACAAAAAACATGCCGTCATTTGTATTGTTGTCGACAGAACCAAAATAATGATATCGATTCATTGAACAATTCGACAATGAACAAAAATTTATTCAATAATCTTAATTCAAATATATTGATTGTATCACGTATGAATGGAACTTGTTCAATATTGAAACAACAGCAATCAACATCATATAAATCTGGCATTATCATTGATAACCGATCAATCAATTATAATCAATACTCATCAATGTTTGTGGATAAATTTTATCAAAATTTTTGGACTTTCAATTCGGAAACGGATGAATTTTCCCGTTATAGTTTAATTTCATTGGAAATTTCAAAGAAAATTGAAAAAATTGTTCAAGATCGTACGAAAACATCTATTAAACATCATCATTGTGGATCGTTACCAACTTCATTGCTTAATTTGAATCGAATGAATAACAATAATGATTCATCGAATGTACAATGTATGATGAAATATATGCCATCAGTTATACAGCCAGATATTTCCATCCCATTATCTGATAATTGTTTATTGAAAAAAACATCTGAACAACTTGCATTGGAATTATTCTCATCACTGGTATCATTAACGCATACACATCTAATGGGATTGACAGTGGATGATAAATTGAATCAAATGACAAATTTATGGGCTATAAAAAATCTATCACCTGAAGAATATTATCAAGTTTGTCGTTTCGAAGATTATGGTGGTGGTTGGGGTTATCCCCAAAACAGTATGGAAGCTATTCGTTTTTCAACCGATTGTGATATCATACTTGGTGGTATTGGCCTATATGGTGGTCGTGGTGAATATAATGTACAGATACGTGTGTTTGATATTGGTTTCGATTCAAGTGAAATTGAACGTGATGGTGATCTTTTGAGTGAAACAGATAACATACATTATGAATGTTTACCACGGCAAAAATATCAAATATTTTTCGATGAACCATTATTAATACATGCAAATCGTTGGTATGTTATATGTGCAACAATTAATGGCAGTAGTTCAGATTGTGGTTCAAATGGTCAATCATTCGTATGTACAACCGATCAGGTTATGTTTCATTTTAAATCATCAAAATTATCCAATAATGGAACGGATGTAAATTCTGGACAAATACCAACATTATTCTATAAACAACTTAAAACAAATGAATTATCATCATCATCTTATCAATATGGTAGTGGAATTGGTGCAAATAATCCATTGAATTTTCCAACATTGAGTATCGATGATGAAGGTTCACCATTTACAGTGTCAAAAGATTTTGTCATTCGAATCAATTCAACATGTTTGGATTCAATTATTGCTATTATCAAACATCTTTGGAATCTATTAAGACATTCATTGTTACATCAATCAAGATTTGATGAAATTTTTTCATGTTTTGATGATGAAAAAATTTTGGAGAAATTTGATCACATTATTGGGCAAATTCGTCGAAATCTTTATGTTGCTTGTTTTGGATTTGAATTATTACGTATCTATGTACGGATATTAATGCCTACGAATAATGAACATAACGGTGGTTTTCAACGTAAAACTGGTAATACGACTATTATCAATGATCATTATCTTCAGTTGCGTAAATTTCTCCATTATAATTATGATGAATATAAAAAGATTGCACATTCATTATACGATGTTTGTACATTATTGAGTGAAATTCTTCAAAATCCTATCGATTTATCGGGATATTTGACGAAAAAATTTCATCATCAACTTGTCATCAATGATAATAATCATAATAAATATCGTAATAATATGATTCGTGCTAAATTATCTACATTGAATAGTATGGAAATATTTTTTCATAATGAATGTTATCAAACATTTCAATCATGTTCACAAGAATTTTATCCAACTGGTCAACTTAAATGGAGTATATTATGTCATTTGCTTGCAATACCATCATCAATCGATCATCAATCATCATCATCATCGGATAAATCGATCATTAAACATTTGCCATTATTTCCTGATAAACAGCTTTATCTATTATCAGCTATAGCTAAATCATTTGGTACATTAAATTCCAACAATCGATTAACATCATTTTTTCCAATATTTCGTGGATCACTATATGATTCATTTGAAATGAATTCTACAATTGATAATCATCAAATGGATTTAATTTATCAGAAAATTGCTGAAAAATTGACTTATTTATATTCATTTGAAACAAATTATCTTGGTAATGATTATAATTGTAAATTTATTTATGAAAAAATGCTTGAAATTATTGTGAAACCATTGCGATTATCAATCGAATCATTCAATAATGAATTGAGTGATACTATTGCTATTGTGAATCAACCATCATCACAATCGATTAATATCGATAAATGTCATAATAATGATAATTATCAACAACTAAATAATTGTACAGCTGAAATTCATGATTCATCATCAAGCTCAAGTTCATCATCATCATTAACTTCATCACCAACATTATCGTCAAACATCAATGATGATGATAATAATGATGAATGTTTGAAAAATTTTAATCTACTTAATCCGGGTATTTCGTCTACATATCCAATGAATACATCTATTATCCAGATGGATCCAGATTCATTGGATACAGCAACAACCACTACAACAACAACAACAACAACAAATGGCAACAACTTTTGAATCATTCAACATTAATCATCATCATCAACAGCAACAACAACGAAATATTTATGAACAAAAACTGGTCAATTCTATTTGTGATTTAATGCTGAAATTTATTAGCGAATTTCATGCTTGTACAATGGGTTTTATCAGTATGGAATCAGATAATAATGAACGAAAAAATCTGTTTCAACCACAAAATGAATTTTCAACACCATCAAGATTTTGTCGAAGATCATCAACAAAATGTTGGAATACTGGTTCTGGATCACCAGAGGCTATTTGTTTCTCCATAAATAAACCAGATATCTACATATCTGGCGTAAGAGTATATACATCGACCGTTGCACAATTTAAATATCAGCTACAATTGTTGGATCAAGCATTCGATGATAATCGTATGGAAAATAATTTTAAATGGAAAAAAATCGCCACCATATCCGGTGTTTATTATCAAGATGATAATCATTGTAATAATCGATTATTGAATGATTTATGTGAAATTCGTTTCGAACGTCCAATACCATTATTGGTGAATGTTAAATATGCATTGGTTTTTAAAAATCATAGCCAATATTCATATAGTGGTGATATGGGCCTAGCACAAGTCCGTTGTGATGATGATACCATATTTACATTTATGGATTGTTCATTAAGTAAAAATGGAACGAATTTAAATCGTGGTCAAATACCACAAATATTGTATTATAATGTACCGCCATCATCATCATCATTGAAATCGACATATGGACAACAACATTCATTCAATAATTCATACATGTTCAATGTAAATGAAGCACATAAAAGCGTTATTCTAATGTTTCTGATGGCTATTGATAATTGTAAAGAATTACTTGGATCATTAATTGAAAGTATTGAAAATAAAACTACCAAAGAATCCATCATCGATGGTACGCATCAATCATCGACCTGTGAATCGGATGATAGTGGTTCAAATGATGATAAATCTTTCAATAATAATCATATATCATCAACAACAACAACAACATTTATTGATTGGAAAATTTTAACATTGTTAAATCAAATATTTGATTCAATATTTTTTCGTGAATTTCTACCAATCACAATGATTTATATGAAAATGTTAAAATTTCATCCAAGTTGTCTGCACATATTAGCCATTTCGTTACGTAATCTAATTGAATTGATTTCCCGCCTGAATCGTTTGATACATGAACATTTTGATCATAAAAATTTTCAAAATCATCATCATGAATTGAAAAGAAAATTTCCACGTGAAAATACTCATCATATAATTGTTGAATCCGACCATCCTTATAAGTCAGCCACTGTTACTAGTCATTTGATTCGTTTTCCACCAAATATAAAATTTATGACCATAGAATTTGATCGAAAATGTTGTACTGCACAACCAGAAGATTATCTTGAGGTAAGCGCCGTTGTTTTATCATGAAACTAAATCTCTGTTTTTTTTTATTTATTTATCTAGATTTACATACCGAAAGAATATCTGCAAAATTTCAACATTAATTTTGATTATAAAAATAATGATGATAATGATCGATCAACAAGTTTATTATCACCTATTTACCATCGTTTTAGTTGTAAAGATTTCAATGATATGAATGATAAAATTGAAAAATCAAAATTTTCACCAGAAAAAATTAAAAATGGTTCTCATTGTTTATTTATACCTGGTAATGAAATGACATTGATGTTGAAAACATCATCCGATTATGTACATTCATCGATTGTAGATTCAAATTATGGTTTCAAAGCTGAAATAATTGGTTATGAATTACCTGGAGTAAAATCAGTTAATGATTTAATGAATTTTGAAAATCTCGATCAACATACAATGTTTTACTATATTGATCATATGATACAAATGTTTGAATGTAATACAATCAATTTATTTGGTTCTATCATTGATTCATTGATGAATTGTTCACCAATGGAAATAATGTTGGAAAATTCCATTATAGATAAACATCAAGACAAGCTTATCGTCAAGAAATATTCTGAATCTGATTTGAAACAAGCTGAACAAATTTTCGAAGAAAATTCCAATTTACTTCAAAAAGGTTTCGATATAGAACCATCTTTATTGACAAAAATCAAAACAATCGATGATCTTTTCGATAATATTCAACCAAATATTCATCCATTTTTAGATGATTTCATTCAACTGAATATTGATACATCTGGTGCAAGATTAGCATTATGGTTACAAAATGAAGCATTTATTTTGCCAAATTCTTGCCTAATGAATATTATAATCAATGATAATAATGAATATTGTCAACAATGTTATCAATTGTTAATTGAAATGAATCCGATGGTGAATCTTATGAAAAAATTATGTCATCGTTGTAATTATGAATTGTTTGTCAAATCAATATCACAATCACATATTAATCAATGTACTATAAAAGTTGGTCAAAAAATTTTAATCAAAATTCTTACACGTGATCAACATGAAGAAATTGCTTACGATCCGAATGCATGTATTGAAATTCAAGTTCGTTTTATTTCATTCAATTCATCATCATCGTCATTATTAATTGATGATACAATTGTAAATCAACCAGAATCAACTGTTTTGCCAAATGAATCAACATCGTCAATTTCACAAATTATTTCACAAAATCAATATCAGATTACTGTAAAAGATAAAACAAGATATCATTCAATAACGATGATGAAAATGTTTGAAAATTATTCATTAGAAGAATTAAGAATGGAATGTCCAGCAGAATTGTTTCACGGGAAAAAACCCCAAGATAAATTGGCTTCATCATCCTCTAATGATTTATCGACCATAACGTTACAATCATTTAATAATGGTTATTATCTGGCTTGTTGGTCTCCTACATCCATTGGTTCATATCGAATTGAAATGATGGTTGATGGTGAAAAAAGTGAAAATTCCGTCATTATAAATGTGAATAATTGTGTTGATGATTCAAAATTTTCATATAAAAATAATAATGTTCAGCCAATCATTCATCATCACCATAAGGATCATAATCGAATATCGAATAGTCAGGATTTTTTAAGCTACGAGAAAATGTCCGAAATTATCCAATGAAACATTTGATAAGAAAATTCATCTGTTCAGATAGTGCTGGACTTCGTATCCGTTCATTACCATCATTACAATCGGAACAGATTGGTATTATATCGATAAATGGTCTATTAACAATTATTGATCAATTAGAAAATGATGATGGCATTTGGGTTCGATTATCAAATGAAAGTATACAAGCATATTCAACTTCGAATACAATATCAATTTGTGATGGTAATACAGCAACTAATAATAATGCTATCGCCATTGTTGGTGGTCAATTACTTTGCAAAAATCAATTATCGAATAATAATAATCCAAAAGATTTCTATATGATTGATAATTTTCAAGAATCAAAAAATGCTGACGACAATAATACAATGGTAATGTCATCAATAACAAATAATAAACAGCAACAACAACAACAATTTATTGATAATAATATGAAACATTCATCAGCAACAACATTTACAATGCGTACAGAAGCATGGGCATTACAATTTAATAAACATTTTAATCGTACATTATTGATGGCTATCGATTCCGAAGATAAATTGAATAATGATGATATTGATGTTGATGATGGTGGTAGAAACAAATCTAGATATCTATCAATTGAATCATTAATTGTACCTGGCTGGTTTCAGGTGATAATGTGTGATAATAATGATGATGGCCATATAATTCGAAATTGGCCATCATTAGATGATATATCAATTATTATTGGCATTATACCATTGAATGATATTGTTTATGCTGTTGAAATTGTCCAAAATGAATTTGGTTACTGGATACGTTTATCACAAGATTCATTACAATTATATATGAATACATTATATCGATCATCATCGGTATTTGATAATAATTTAGAAGCATGGTTATTATTACAAAGTATCGATGGTTTAATTTATCTACAAAATAATATTCAACAAAATTATCTAACTTCGACCATCATGATTGATGAACAGAAAGATTGTAAAAATGGTGGACAAAATCAATGTCATCATCATTATAGTAATAATAATAATAAATATAATAATGATTCTACGTGTGATTTACCAATAAGAATGGCCATTTCAAATCGTTCTGCTCAATGTATACGAGCCATATTTGCTGCATTCATATGGCATGAAGGAATTCTTAATGATTTTCTAACGGCTGCTTCGTATCTAAAATTTAATGCTGATATTACTAAAGATTTTATACGACAATCAAATCAAATTGATTTGACCAAAGACAATTCACAACATCAACAACAACAACAACAACAACCACAAAATAATGCAAAGACCAAAATTAGACGTACCACTGATCGTGGATTAAGGGAAAAAAATGTTGATCGTCGCCATCAAAAGATAATATTTCGTCATTCAGTTGAAGTTAGTCAATTGATTAGCCTATATCGTACATCGGATGTAAATTCGAATGTAAATTTTCTTGAAAATAATAATAATATTCAAAATTCGGTTGATAATAATGAAAATCATCACCGAAATGATGATAATAACATGATTATAGATGTTAATGACCAAACACCAACAGTTGATGATGATGATGACGATGATGAACAAACAGGAACCATACCAGAAATTCTAATTAATCTTTTACAAATCTGGGAATTTGTATCCACCGAATGTTTGCGGCAAATTTCATCCATAAGAAATCATAAAAATTTGGTTGTGACATCGAAATTGACAGAATTAAAATTATTGGTAAATAATGATGAAAAACCCGATGAAGATAAATATTCGAAGCAACAATTATACAATAGACAAAGTGATGATCTATTAATCACTACCCAAACGCACAAACAACAATGTGAATGTGATGAAACAACCAGTATGGATTTGAATAAAAATTCTCAAAATGATATGAAACAAGATACTGTTATATGGGCCAAACAAACGACCGATAATCTTTATCAATCATTAATGGCCAATGTCGATTTTCTACTATCGTTAACGCCATCTAATGATGAAAACACATCGGCTACAGCGATGGGTATGGATAAAATTCCATTAGCAACGGAAATTTTAAATCGAAATTTATTCGATCAATTTACCGTAATCACCAATACTATTTTACCCATTCATCTATTAAATGATCGCAGTATACGAAAATCTATTTATGAACAACGATTAGCCGAAGAGAATCGATTATCGGATTTAGCAATAATTTGTGATGATGATGATGATCATCAACATTTGCTATCGCCAGATATTTGTAGTTTTGATAATTTTGGCAATAATGAATCAATTCATTCTCATCATCAACCAGCTCAAATGAAAAAGAAAAAACCGATAAAATTTTATCGTTCAATATCTGTTGGTATGAATGATCAACATGGTCAAAATTATGGTCTGAATAAATGTCATTTAGTTGTAAAACCAGCTGATTATGATCAAACGAATTCATCATCATCCTCAGATTTGGTGGCAAAAAAATCAATTAAAAGTAATGAAACATTATGTTTGGATTCAAAACAACAAAAGATCAATATGCCATTCTTATGTAAACCATCGTCAAAATTAATTGATTTGATTGCTAAATTTCAACCAAAAATGGAAAGTGAATCACAACAACAACAATTAATTTGTTCAGATGTCATAAAATTCATATTCACTTGCAGCAATATTGATTCATATAATTTATTAGTGAAATATTCGTTGTGTTCATCAGCATATCGTTCATTAGCACTTGCCATAATTAATTGGCTATTGATTAATGCATCAAATTTACATTCAATTCATGATCTTATGTGGATTTTTGTTAATTCTTTATTGCCCAAAGATGATTCTGAAACATTTCCGGATAATAATAATGATGATGTGGCCAACAACATTGATAAGAATGGAAAATGTAAATCATTGAAATCCTATGGAAATCATGATGATGTTTGTCGTCATCCATTCGATAATCTGAAAATGGCTGGTGAATTGGCCAATCATTGGATCAGTGAATCATTACATCGATTGATGAGATCAATTTCTAATCTATTGCCATTATTACCAATGGGATCACCATTACAACGTATGGCTATAAGATGTTTTGGTATGGAATTTACATCCAATGATCATAATTTCTTACATGAATGTAAAGTTTTCTCACATATATCAACAATACTAACACGTTCATCAATAGAAATGGATAATAATAATTTTATTCATTGCCATACTGATTTATCAAAAATGAATGTTTCCACTTGGCCAAAAGATGAAAATGAATTGGCCGTAATGATAACGAAAGATTTAACCCATTTGTTTGATTTACGTACATCAAGCCGACATACAATGATATCTAGTCTTAATGATAATTCTACTGAAACATTCTGGGAAAGTGGCAATGAAGATCGTAATAAAATTAAATTCATTCATATTCAGAGAAATGCTGATTATGCAAAACAAATTCAAAATGATAATAATGCAAATCTACGATTCATTTGTATTTATGTGGATAATACACGTGATTTAGAATATCGTATTAGTCATATTTCGTGGAAAATATGTGGTGATAATAAAATTGCTGATTCTGCAATAATGTTACGAAATAATTGTCCTGAATCGAACAATTTCCTTAATGCCACAATTAATGAATATGAAAAACTTAAAACAATTGAAGTAGATTCAAAATTTTGTGGTTGGCTTCAATGTGAATTAAGTGCGGAACAAAGTTATGATCTATTCAATGCTAATGATGATCGTTATATTCTAATCGAAATGAATGGACCATTTCCTTGTTTACGTGTACGGCAAATAAAAATGTTGGCCACCATTGACACTAATGATTCACTCAACCAGCTACCAGAATCCAATCGTTTTATGATTTTGAATTCTAGACAGGTTCAAACCACATATTGTGAATTGGAAACATTGCGTGTATTTCGTTTACTCACTTCACAGGTATACATATTCAACTATACGGTTTTTTTAACATTTATTAAAAAATTCTTTTTTTTTCGTTTTTCAGGTTTTTGGAAAATTACTATCAAATGACCAATCATTCAATAATAATGAGAATAATAACAACAACAATGACAAAACAAAACGTACATCATTATATTCGAATAATGAAAATAATTTACGTGAACATATGGTTGGAATATTATTTTCACAATCAGGAAAACTATCTGAATTACAACGACAAGTTTGTACCCATATTGTAAAGGAAATACATTATGAATCACGTCGTGTATTCGATGAATGGGAAACTATGTTGTTATTATTATCATCAAACAATAATAATAATAATAATAATAATAATGAAAATCAAGCAAAAAATTATGATGAAACTAATGAAATTATAATTCCAAATGATTGTTATTGTTTTGAATTATTATCATTGGTATTGGCATTAAGTGGATCAAATGTTGGTCGTGAATATTTATCTGAACAATTGGAATTATTGAATGATATACTTACATTATTGCATACGAGTTCAGATCGTGTAAAACGTCAAGTTTTATCATTAATACGACGTGTTATTCCACGCATCAAGCCAGAAATATTTGCAAAATTATTAGACGGTGATGGTGTACCTACGAATAATGATAATAATTATTGTTCATTCACTGGAATTCTGGATATATTTTTAACTTGTATCGCAAAATCTTTAACCATACAGATAAAGATTAAAGGCAATAGATCATCATCATCATCATCATCATCACGTTATGAGCAATCAATTTATCGAATGAATACCATTTATATTGATTGTAATTATGATGGTAGACAGCAGCAACAACAGAAACGATGGTTAAAAGGAAATCAAAGTAAACAAATCGGACAATCAATTATTGGACTAATCAAAGATATGTGTACAGGATTATTTGGCCAAGAATGGTGTGAAATTGCACGATATTGTTTGGTGGAAAATATTTTAAAATTAACCGAATTGGATGAAAATATTCGAAATTCAGATAAATGTATTGAATCATCTCTACTATGGATGGCATTAGCATCATTGTGTGTTATTGATGAAAAAGATGTTGAAAAATTATCAACAAATAATCTATATAATAAACATAATCATCATAATGACGATAAAACAAATGGAAATTCTTCTTCACAAGTAAGTAATGTGTTTGTCAAATAAATGTGAAAATGAATAAAAAATTTTTTCATCCTTAGCATTACTGTGATAATCATGATGATGGTGAAACAATTGCTTCCATTCAATGTAACATCTGTGGTCATCTTTGCATCGATTGTGATCGATTTTTACATTTGAATACGGCGAAAACACGAACCCATAAACGTCATGTAAGTTTTTTTTGTTGCTAATAAATTTAGTCATTTTATTTTTGTTTATGATTTTCAGATGTTTAAAGATGATTGCGATTCATTAAAAGTAGATATTCATGAAGGATGTGGACGTGTTAAATTTTTTCGTTCTTTAATCGTAGCTGATTTAAAATTATTGAAAATTATGATTGAATTTCGACAAAATAATTATCGATCCGAACATGGTGATAATCAAACATTGGATAATAATAGTATGCTTATGCAAAATAATAATAATCAACAAAGAATTTGTCGATTCTGTAGTATTGAATATCAACCGATTGATGATGAAATTATTTGCAAGAATGAAGATTGTCAACGTCATGTTTTACAAGCATGTACGCGTACATTGAATTGTGGTCATTTTTGTTGTGGTATACGTGATGAATCACCTTGTTTGCCTTGTCTAAATGGATGTACAAGTACGTTGAAATTAATTTATTTTACATCAATCTTAATCTGATTTTTTATATTATCATTTAGGCGATCTAAAACAAGATGGTGATGATATGTGTATGATTTGTTTTTCTGAATCACTATTTTCTGCACCTTGCATACAACTTGTTTGTTATCATATATTTCATTATGATTGTGTCAAAACTGTATTGGAAAAACGATGGTCTGGTGGCCGTATAACATTTACATTTTCACTTTGTCCAATATGTAAAATTCCGATTGATCATCAATCATTATCTGAATTATTGGAACCGATACATAAACTTTATGAAGATGTCCGTAGAAAATCATTGATGAGATTGGAATTTGAAGGTCTTAAACAGTGTGAAGCAATCACAGCACCCAATGCTCGTTTCTATCAAGATCCAACTGGTTTTGCTATGGAAAGGTCAGTGTATTTAATTTACATTTCTATTATTGAGTTTAAATATTTGTCTTCGACTTTATCTAGATATTCTTATTATCTTTGTTTCAAATGCCAAAAAGCCTATTATGGTGGTGAAGCACGATGTGATATCGAATATGATGGAAATAATTATAATCCACAAGAATTGATTTGTGGCAGCTGTTCAGATGTAACACAGGCACAAATTTGCCCTAAACATGGTACAGATTTCTTGGAATATAAATGTCGTTTCTGTTGTTCAGTGGCCGTTTATTTTTGTTTTGGTTCCACACATTTTTGCAATGCTTGTCATGATGATTTTCAACGATTGATCTCTCTGAAAGAATATCCACAATGTCCAGTTGGACCACATTCAATACCAATAGATGATTGTGATGAATGTCCATTACATGTACAGCATCCACCAACTGGGCAAGAATTTGCACTTGGCTGTGGAATTTGTCGCAATACTCATACATTCTAGTCATTCTCTAGTCAACAACCTGGTCGAATTGAATAGATGAAAACTATTTGCCTTTGATATGATCGAAACAATTTGTGACTATGTTGTTCAATTAATAACGTGCCAACAAATGGTGAAATTTTTGATATTTTAACACTCGATTGTTTTCAAAACAATATAAAAAAAATTCAAATTCATTGATTGAATTTGAATAAAATTAAATTTTAAACAAAAATTCAAGCTTAAATATTCCATTGTGTAAATAAATTTTTCGTACTTACCAAGAACTTCGTTTTTTTTTCTTTCTTTGTTCAATAATAACCGATATATAAATTGCAAGTAAAGAAAAAGCTGAAAAAAGGTCACAATATCAACAACAATGATCATGTGGTTGGGAAAGGTAACTCCTGTTGGTGCATTAGCAACAACCGTTAAGCCAGATGATGGTGAAAAACCCGGTGGATTGAAATTCATTGGCACTATTGCTGCCATAATATTTCTAGTGGTCATCGTTGCATTGATTGTCTATTATTTTGATTTATGGAAACAATGTTGGAAGACAAAGAAATCATCATCACAAAAATCATCGAAAAAATCACGATCTTCGAAACGGACATATTGATATTGTTGTTTTTTTGTGGAATTTTCATTGAATTTGAAATTCTTTATTTCTAAAGAAACCAAAAAATAAACCAATTTTTTAATCACATTACAGACGCGGCATACTTTACTTTTGTGATTTCGAATGAATAATGTTTGTTCTGTGCAAGCTAAATGGTAAAAAATGATTGTCAAAAAAAATCCGATATTATTTTAGTCAATAGATGGCAGCACGTATTTAAAAAAAAACATTTTATCAGATTTTTTTTAAAAATTTGGCATTTTTTTTATCAGCTCTCAAGAATTCAAAAACATGTGCTTGTCATCAAAAAAAAAAAAAACAGAATGAGAAAAAAAGTTTTAAAAATGGAAAAAATTTTTTATTTAGTAGTACTATTCATAATTTAAGTGAAAAATAGATATACCAGACAAAATTTTTCAAAATACACACTTTCGTTGTGTGTGTGTGTTGAATACTCAAGAGTAAATTCAAAAATTTTTTGTTTTCTCCCTACACATCACTAATCGGGTGAGACAATAACGTGGAAAAAATTTCTTCCGTCATCATCGTCAATGAATAATGAATGTCGTTTCGTTGATTATTTTATCGATGCTGATTTGTGTGTGTGTGTGTGTGTGGTCGGGTTATTTTTTCACACAAATTCAAGGCGAAAAGGGAAAAAACAGAGAAAGAATTATTTTGCGAATAAAAAACAAACTTGACAAATATAATAAGTTCTAAATAATTTAACACAGTGATTTTTTTTTTTTTGCTCACGTCATTTATCGAGACAAAATGGAAATAAAACTTACCGATCAAATATAAGCAAATCGACACCATTATCCAATAGATTCATTACTATTTGATGGCTATTGATTTTATTTCCCCAAAGATATAAGCCAAGTTTACGTTGTTTAACATAATCAATATATTTATATCGTCCATTTGTTGTTGTTTTTGATGTCAAAATAGGATCGACAACCGGTACAATAGCTTTGATCATCATACTTTGTGCAAATGCTACAGCTGATTCAATGGAAAAATCACGAGGATCTGTTGACCAATGTTTGGCCGATGTTAGAAAACCAACATGATATTTATTCTGTTTCAATCGAATCCTTTGGGGGTAAACAAAATTATTAATCAATCCAAAAAATTATTGATCCAATTTTTTTTTTTTCATTTACATTGAACAAAGATCTGCATGAAATGATGTTATAAACATTGGCCGTTCACCACCATATTTGAATAAAATGTTCAATATTCGATCAACATATTCATTCAATTCAACACCTAATTCACTTTCATATTGTAGATTTTTCTTCTGTGATGGATATTTAATCTCCACATCGATACCACAATTTGGATCAGTATAATTCAGCACTTGTTCCAATGTTTCAAATGATTGTGAAAACATTGACACATTTTTGGACACGTGTGGCATAAAATTGGTTGAAATCTAATTTTCGAATACAAAAAAATTAAAATTAAAATGAATCAACTCGAAAAACAAAATTTTACCTGTTGAAGTGAATGTAATGTAAAATCTTTCAATGGAATTTTTATCATTTCATGTTTCTTACATTTATGGCGCTAATGTAAAAAAAATTTCATCATCATAACCACTTGATAAATAAGCCTAAACTGAATTGAATTGAATTACATTGACAAAATTTGTTTGAACTTCAAAATCATGATAAATGACTGGTATACGATCCAATGATAATTGTACATCCAATTCAATCATTTGTGCACCCTGTGGGTTTTTTTCAAAAATGTAAAATTGTGATAAAAATGATCAGATCCTATACGACGATACATTACATTTTTACATGCATAATTGAATGCTGATATCGTATTCTCGATAAATTTTTCTGGTCTATAAAATATGGGAAAAAAAAATTTTCAGCATAAAAACATGGCAATAAATATAGAGAAAAAAATTCATTTACAAATCATAACGTATACCGGTGCCGGTACCACGATGACCGGCAACTTGGATATCATCGATTGAAATATAATGATCTGATAATGGATTGAAATCATCACCTGTTGGACGTATGATTAAATAATTGACTGGAATAAAGTGAAAAATAAAAATCAATCAATCAATTGGTTATTGATTTATTAATGGAAAAAAAAAATCATCACCTTCAATTTCACCAACAACATTTTGACTAGATGAATTAAGTAATGGAATTTTTCGAAAACCATTCGTTTCATTCGCATCGAAAGGTCTTATATAGCCATTAACAGTATTCTGTTGCACTTCATCATCATTATTATTATTGATTCGTATTTCAATAATGAATGCAGTGTTTGAAACATCTGTTGTTGTTATATTCGACCAAAATGAAACAAATTCCTTTGGATTGTAAACAATTCCAGATTCTGGTTGCCGAATATATGATGATTGATCTGGTATTAGGCGTGAATATTTTGTTGTTGTTGTTGTTGTTGTTGATTTTTATCAAGTAAATTTTGTGTAAACACTTTATATGTAAGATTCATATGTTCATTATTATCAACATTTTGATTGAATAATTTTATTGTCGATGATCCGGGATAGAGACGAAGTTGTATGGCCACTTTATTCTGTAATATAACTATATGTAATTGAAAACAAAAAAAAATGATAACGAAATTGATAATTGAATATATCTAGTGTTCATACCATCATTATCATCATTATTGTAAGCAGTGGTGATAGTGGTCGATGATGCCAAACCAAATACAATAATCAATGGTAATATAATCGATACAATCATTATGACCAAATTCTATGTAATGGTTATGATTATGTCATAGTGAGATATATTTATTTGAAATCAATCAATCATATCATACCTAGCCAACGAAAACGATAAAGTGTTTATTTTTGATGTGTATGGAAAGGATGATGCGACCAAAAAAAAAAAAAAAAAAAAATTAATTGATTTAACACGAAAATTCAATGTGTCTGGTGTAATTTCCTGACAGTGAATTCTTTTGCTCAAAAAGAGAATTGTAATTTAAAAAAAAAAAAATAATTCCATCAAACACATACAAATGGGGAGAAAACCAGATTAATCAGAAACCAGACACAAAAAAAAAAAGAATCACTTAACCATCAAATGGGAATGTTTGTGTTTTTTGATTGATTGAATGAACAATGTTCATGTAAGTAAAATCAAACAGTTCTATTGGCAATAAACATATATATAAGTTTCAATCAATTTATATATGATGATGATGATGATGATTGTTAATCAAATTAATCCAAAACAATAACATTGATTAACATGGAGATATAGATAAAGACTACAGTTGTATGTTTTGAAATTTTATTGCCAATACTTAATGATAATGATTGTGTGTGTGTGTGTGTTTTTTTTTTTCTGTACAATTTTTACAGTGTTGTTGACTTTTTTTTTGTTGTGGATTCATAATTATGTTCAATGATGATAATAATGACGGAGATGGAACAATAAATTTTTTTTTTGTTAAAAAAACATCAGTGATATTGATTGTGATTGATTTCAATTTGTTTTGGATTTCACATTTAAAAATCACAAAAGCCAATATTTTTTTTTATCGTTGCTGTTTATCATCATCATTAATTCTATGTAATTGATTGTTCTTCATTTTTTTTCTCAATGTTGTTGTTTATCATCATCATCATCATCATCATCATTAATATGGTTAATGTGGTTTTTCATTATCTTTTAAAATGGATTTTTTTTATGGTTACTTTTATGGAAGGAATAAAAAATGAAAATGAAAATGAAAAAATGTATCTAATCTATAGACAATAAATAAACGTTACCATTTTGAATGATGTTTATTTGGAACAAAATTATTTAAACAAAAAAAAAAGACACATGGTCATCGAATTGTGATTGTTTATATCATGATCATCATCATCATGATTGTCAGTCACTTTTGCTTTTTTTTTGGGTTGACATTACACATTAAAAATGGACAGAAAAGTGGAGAAAAAGTTATCAGATTTCCATACATATTTACATTTGAATAGACTTTATTTTCTCCATAGGCAAAAGCTGAACTATGATGAATGAAAAACAGCAACAACAACAACAACAACAACAATAACCTGAAAATCTTTTTAGCCTGTCATTTGATTTTTTTTTTCGTATATTGATAAACGATGAAATGACACACACACATGACATTATATTTTGATGATGAGATACATTTTTTCTTTTTCTCTTGTTTTTTTTCCATTCATTTTATCATCACCAACTTCATTATTATTATTAACTTTTTCATATAATAATAACACACAATTAAGACAACAGTGGGGAGAAAAAATTTTATTTTCATTTTTTTTTTTTCTGTCTGAAAATTGATTTTTTTTTCAACTAAATACATGGTATAAATATGATAAATATACAGCATTGGCAGCATTCAATTGTGTCAATTTAAAATCGGTATATATGAGTGATGGTCATTTTTGTTGTTGTTGTTGTTGTTGTTGTTTAAAAATTCCATTTCAGATATTGGCCGCCAGTCTTCGTCGCTGTGAATTGGTTAATTGAGATGGATGATGATGATGTAATTTTTTCATTTTAATTGAAACAATTGAATTATTATTATCCATACGAGACCATGATGTTGATTCATAATGTCGATTTGATGTCGATGTTTCATCAGGTGGACAACAATTTCTTACACAATCAAATGGACAGATAAAATAAAAGCATCTAGGAAATGAGAAAAAAAAAGAAAACAAAAATTGATCATTATTATTTGGTTGCACAATGAATCCGAAAACGATAATATTGTCGATGATGAAGAAAAGAAAACTACTCAAAATTTGCAATTATTTGATCTGATTACAAATATCTGTTTACATTTCGTAGACAAGAGAATTTGTTGTTGTTGTTGTTGTTGTTGTATTATCGATGGTATATAAGCAATTAAATCAACAACAACAACAACAAAAAATGCTGAAATGCATCTTTATGATTTTCGAAAAATAGAAAAAAAAACGGATTAAAAACATATGACAAAAGCGGGATAGAATTTCAATTTCAAACAAAACGGAACAAAAAAAAAATACTTGGCCTCTACTAAATGGCATCTATTTATCCACTCTCTCTAATACCAACATGGACATTATGTCATGTATTCAGGAATGAATGAATGAATGAATGCGACACATAAGGAAACGAAAAGAAAAGCAAAAAAAAAATTGATGGCCACCATTGTCTATTTGTTTGTTTCATGGACACTTTAATTTCGTATTTTCTATGCAATTTTTTCATTTTGCCATTCATCTATCTATCTATCTATCTATCTATGTACTATCAAGAATATTCTTAAGGGAATGTGGAACTATAAAATCGTTTATAATAACAATAAAAAAAAGCCATAGAGAATGTGAAAAGAATGAGATATTGTTGTTGTTGGTTTTTTTTTCGTTTCGTTTTGCCTGTTGATGATAATGATGACCCATCATGATAATTTTAATGATGATGATGATGACGATAATAATATCTATATGTACCATCATCATCATCATCATAATAAACGCAGAATGATGATTATACCACATTATGCACCATAATGAACAAATTCATTTCCAATTTAGTAAAAAAAAGATGATGAAAAAAATGAAAGATTTTCATTTCTTGTTGTTGTTGTTGTTGTTATCATCAAGCTAAATTACTGGATTCATTAGATGAATAGATTTTTTTTCACGCCTCGTTTGTCCAGTGTGTGTGTGTGTGTGTGTTCAAGTTCAAATTAGAGATTCATTTCATATTTTTATTGAGAATAAAAAAAAAATTAATGTACAAGTAGACTAATAACATCGCAAAGTGTGAATTATATATAAATATTCTCACTTACCTATTCAATGCATTTTTCATTTCTTTCATACGATACGTATAGATAAATGGATCGATAATTGCTTTCAATATGACTAAACCATTTGTTATGAAACTAAATACAACACGGCAACGATAACTAATCGTATTGATTGGATAATAACATTGATCAATACAGGTTAATGCAAAAAACAGTACGGCTGGCATCCAACATAGAATATATGTTCCCAATATTGATAATGTTGTAATCAATGCTTTTGCATTGGTATTATTATTATTTGTGGTTATTGAACTGTTTGCATTGATAATTGTACCACAATTTTGTTGCCGTTTTATTGATTCATTTCCATCCGAATAATGTTGGCCATTTATTGTTCTGTGATCATTTTTTTGATGATTGATTGATGAATTTTGAAATTTGGATGAATAATTATCGTTTTCATCATCATCATCATGATCATTACATGGATCGTTGGTTATTCTTGTTGCCGTTGTTGTATTGGTAGTTGATGGTGAAGAATTTGGTAAGTATTTCTGCCATGATTTTTGTACAATACAACTACGTTCTTTTTGATTATCAAATTCAACGATTTGAACATTTTTTATCGTCGTCGTCGTCGTCGTCGGTTTTTGATGATGAAGATCATTATTCAATGAACAAGTTCTATTCATATTGGGTGTTGACATTTCATGTCCATGTTGTTCATGATGGTGGTCAATAATTGATGACATAAACGATTGGCTATGTTCTTGATTTTTGTTCGATAAACAGAATTTATCTTGCTTTTCATTGTCGTTGTTGTTGTTGTTGTTGTTGATAAAAAATTTGTCAACAAAATTCTTTTCCAATAATAAAGAAGACGACCGTTTGGAACAAGAAGAATAATAATGATGATCATCACGAATATCAATATCATTATGTTGCAATACTGTTGTTTTCTCATCATCATCATCATCAACATTATCGTCATTTTGTGTGTCATTTGCATTTGTTGTTGTTGTTGTTGTTGTTTCTGTTGTATTCAATGTCATCATCATTAATTTCTTCTTCTTACTAATGCCAATACCACCACCACCACCACCACCACCACCACCACTGACACCAGATTTATTCTGATTCATTAAACGTTGTTTTTGATGTCTTTTAATAATTATAAAAATTCTTGTATAAAGATAAAGCATCAATACTAATGGTATAAAAAATGCAATTACAATCATGAAACGAAAACGAAATGTTTGTATGAAATATGAGCGACAAGTTTCATGTTGAAATCCTATTGAAAATTTGTTTGAATTGGATTGAATTAGTGGACAATTTTTTTCTTTTTCAAAATTATTCATCAATAGTTTTGACTCAAACCTTGACATGGTATGGAACCAAAATACGATGCAATCACCACCGATGGTAGTAGCCAACAGATGAACGATATCAGATAAATGCTACGTGTTCGATGTTGAGAGCAAAAAATCATCGATCTAAGGAATAGAAACCAAAAAAAAAAAAATTCAATTGCAAGAAAAAAAAATTGTCATTCACACTGGATGATGATCAATGATTCACACAATGAATCGATAATGATGATGATGACAATTTTTCTTCAAACACTGAAATCTGATGCCGGCAATGTGTGCGTGTGTGCATAAAAAAAATTTGTCAATCTTTGTTTGGAAAGAAAAAGTAAAAAAAAAACATACTTGACGTGTCAATACACACACACACACAGTGTATCATCATTGCATTAAATTGATTTTTTTTTCTCGACGATTGTGTCACAAAAAAAATGAGAAAATTACTTACGAAACTTATGAACCAGAAAAAAAAATAATTCAATCAATTTCCATCATCAAACATTTTCATTTTGATTATAAAAGAAAAAAAAAATTCAACAATAACGACACAGAATCAAAGAATTTTCGTCATGAATCGTCATTACTCCATTCCAAATGGTCACCATCAAATGGACATCATGAGCATTGATTCATCACCACAAACCATTGTTCATGGAAAATTTTTTAAATTTTTGAAATTGAATAAATAAATTTTCTTCACAGTTTATTATTGGTTCGTTTTCTGTATTCAATGCAATCTCATCAATAGAAAAACTTGGTATATTAGATTACTCGGTATTAGTTGTTGTTGTTGTTGTTGTTGTTGTACACTAGGACTATTTTCATCCATTCTTTTTCTTCATGTTCAAAAATCAATTACATTTGTAATCAGACTCCTTTGGGAAGCAAAATAAATTCGGTACAGTAATAATAATAAAAATAGAAAAATTTCCATGGAAAAAAATTTCTATTTTCATCGATTGATCAAATTCAATCAAAATTGATTTTTTTTCATTTTCATCCCACTCGGAAATGAATAAAAAAAAAATTTTCATTCCACCAAATGTCACGTAGTTTTGTTTTGTTTTTCATTTTGATTCAATTTCTCATTCGGTTGCTGCTGCTGCTGCTAATGTCAATATATAGTGTATAAACGTTTTTTTTTGTTTAAAGTAGATTTAAATCCAATGAATTTAAAAGTAAAGAATTCTGGTGATATTCTGTGAGAAATTGTCCGAAAAAAATTTTTCGTTCACATTCAAAAATATTTCCAAAATACAGCTTATCCAATGTGGTCTGATTAATCGATCAAAATAATTCTGATGAAAAAAAAATATAGTCGCCCAATACGATCTTTTTTTTGGTTAGTAAATCAATCAATATTTATTTTTTTTTTTTTTTTGGTATCGAAGTTAAAAGTGTTTCAAGTGCTATAAAAAAAACGAATGAATGAATGAATGAATGATCACTGATCAATTTTGTTTATTTTCATTTTTTTTCCATCAATTCATTCATTTTGATTGGAAATGAAAATAAAAAAAAAATTGCACAAAAAAAGGAATAATTTTCTTCATCATTGACTCATGTGATAGAATATTCTTGTTTAGTTTAGTTTGTTTTTTTTATATTCCTAAAACCATACACACACACACACACCGAGGGATGGAAAAGGAAGAAGATTACAGAATTTTTTTTTTTATTGCCACCACCATTTCTCATCAATATATCAATATGTGATAATCGTTAGATCATAAAAAAAACTGATCATCATCATCATAATAATTTTCGTTTTTTTTCCACCAATAAATAAAAATATTACGTCTGTAATACACACACAAACAAATAATTTATAGTGTGAAAATAAATTGACCTTCAATATATAAACTTAATGAATTTTTTTTTTTATCGAAAACATCATAATAAACACAATATATACAAGTGACAAAACATCTGGAGCCAGCCAGCCAGTTGGCCGGCCAACCACATTATTATGATTATGATTATCGGGGAAAATTTTCAATTTCCGTTCATTTTTTTTTGCACCATTCAAAATGGTCATTATTTATATGAAAATTCCTGACCATTTTTTTTTCATTTACCTGAATAAATTAATTATAATTTTTGAAGGGAAAAAAACTGGACATTTTGGTGGTGAGTGTGGGGGAGGGGAGAAAAATTTCAATTAATTTTGTACGCAAGAATTTCTCACGATTAATCATAAGATTCGTATATAAATATTCACAAGAGGAATAAAGAATCCTGGCCAGCTCGATTCTAATTTTGTATGGAAAAAAAAGAGAAGAGAATTTCGTGTGTGTGTGTGTGTGTATGTAACATCATTTTCAACATACATGGATGATAAAAAATATGATGAGAATGACAAAAAAAAAAAATTTCACCCATTCACTTACCGATAATGAAGTGGATTAACAATACCCTTATAATGTACTAATGCTAATGCAAGCAAATGTAATGCCGATGCAATCAATGCTGAAAGACGAAATATTTCCAATATTAATTTAAAACATAAATTTGTTAGATTAATGCCCAAAACTACTGGTAAAAATGAATTTATTAATAGACCAAAACCCATCAAAAATGATGCAATACTATCGGTGGCCGCTAAATTCAATGATAATAATAATATTGGTGAACGTGAACGATTTGAACGTGATAATCTGGATTGTATTATTGTGCCAATAATGACCAATACGGTGTTCAATATCAGGCTTAATAAACAACCAGCAAGTAATATTGGTACGAAAACTTTATATAAATAAACAACCGATTCTAATGAATCGGAACTTTTTGTCTGTTCAAATTGTTTTAATGTTTCATTGTCACAATAATCCATGATTGATTGAGTTATTTTTTTGTTTCCGGTTGAAGACAATGGATGAAATTTTTCCACACAAACACTTCACAGGCATATGAATTTTGAATATTCGTCGCCCGATTGATCATTGATAAGAACTGAACTGAACTGAACTGAACCGATGTGAATCAAAATCGGTTATGACCGAACCAGAGAAAGCGACAACAACAACAACAACAACAAAAATTTGGCCACCACTACAAACCCGAAAAAATAGTGGCATAAAAAACTATAGTGAAAAAGAATGAACGTGAAGTTTTTCAATTTCATTTTCGCGCATTTTCTTTTAACCAAAGATTCAATTGACAAAAAAAAAATTTGAAATTTCAAAAATATCGAAATTGGTTCCGCCATCTATCGAGCGGAGCAGGAGTTGTTGCCAAAAAAAAATTAATTCAAAAAGAGAAAATTTTTTTTCCAATTTCAAGGAAAAAAAACCTGAAATATCAAAATGTGAAAATTACTACAACTTTACCTATTCACTCTATTTAGCCATAAATAATCAAAAAAAAGGTAAATTTTAACTATATGTGTGCGTTTTATGGTGTAAATATCCGGTAAACATTGGTGGAACTGTGTGTGTGTGTGTGTGTGTATGTTATTTTTTTTCAGTGTTTGATTTTGTCTCAAATACAACGACGACGACGCATGTCGAAATTTTTTGGGAAAAAAAAAATTTTTTTTCTCTTGATTTTTTTTCCCGAGTCATCGTTTGCGTTTATTATTGTTGTCGTTGTGTGTGTGTGTGTGCATTGCGTTCTCGAATATCTAATCACGAAACAAAACAAACCAAACAATTTTATTTCATTCAACAATAACTTAATCTTAACCAAGAAAAAAAAAAGAAAAAGGATAATAAAGTGAACGAGAAAAAAAACTTTCCTCATTTGAAAATCGATTGATCGATTATCAAGAAAAAAAAAATCGTCATTTTTCACTTGTACGTCAACCACATATACATTTTTCATCTGTTTCTCTCCATCTCTCTCTCTCTATTTCTTCCTGTGTGGGTGATAAAAGCAAACAAATCATTCACGCACACACACACATACAAACACCGAAAACATTTTCAGACAACTTGAAATCAATAAAAAAAAATTTTGTTTTTCAAAGTGACAAAATTTACATTTTTATTTTCACACTTTTTGTTTGTCCGTCTTTTTTTTTGTTCAATGACAATGGTAAGAACCGATCAATCATTGAAATGAAATGAAACCAAATTTTTTTTTCTTATTTTTTCCCGTTTTTTTTTGCATAATTGAAAACTGACAACAACAACAACAACAAAAAAAAAGAAATTTGAAGAAGCAGCCGAATCGGTTAAAAATCTAAAAAAACGACCAACCGACAATGAATTATTGGAATTATATGGCTATTATAAACAAGCGACCATTGGTGATTGCAATACAGGTATAATAATGTAATGATGGTCTTTTATTTTCACTTTTTTCTTATTTGATTGCCATTGAAAATAATCAGATAGACCAGGATTATTGGATCCAAAAGGACGATATAAATGGGATCAATGGAATAAATTGAAAGGTAGGTTGTGGGAAAATTTTTCGAAAAATTTCAAAATTGAAATCATCTAACGATTCATATATTGTTGTAGGAATGACAAATGAAGAGGCATCGAAAAAATATATTGAAATTGTGGAAAAATTATTGGAAAAATATCGTGATTAATTAATTTTGTTCAAACAGAAACGAATATTCCAATTACCAAATGATAATCAACACACACACACACACACACACACGCACGAAAAGAGACAACAACAACCTTGATCCATTTGATTTGAATTTTTTTTTTCTTCATTTTCATTTGATTACGCACACAAATGTGCAACAACAATAAATGGGTCATCATGTAATTAATGAGTTAAATTATGTAATCATCAATTTTATAATCCAGTCTTTGTTGTTGTTATGGTTATTGTAATATTTTTGTTGTTGTTGTCGTTGTTGTAATAAATAAATTGATTTCGGTGAAATTTGTTTGTTGATGACGATGACGTTGATGATGATGATGGTCCAGTTTATTTATCGATCCAATTTTAAATAGATTGGTGGTGGCAAATAATCATTATCGGCCATTATTGATTCATCATTATTATTATTAGTATCGGTAATTATAAATGATGATGATGGTTCAATAGAAACATTATGACTAGTTGAATTTGGCATCATTGATTGCGATGATGGTGATGATGATAATGATAATGGTCTTGATAATGGTATTGGTGATTGTGTCAATCGATAATTGACGCCATATAGTTGATCATCATTGAGATTGAAATCATTTCCATGTATGGAACGAATATGACTTTGACTACGGCTACGACTACGGCGACATTCCCGATGATATGAATGTATGCTTTGTATTTCTTGTCTGGCTGCATCACCACGTTTAACTAAACGGCTAAATTGACAAACAATCATGACTAGTATGATTTCGATTATCGATGTCGTAACAATCAATGTGGCCACCGTTGATAATAGATTTCGATCCATTTCCACTGTATACATGGCTAATGATGCTAGAAACAAAAAAATATATATATAAAAAAATCATCATCATTCATATTCATTTGTATTGATGAATCACTTACCAATGATAAACAAAAGTTTAGCAAAAAAAGTCATCAACAATACATAGCTATATGTGGATAATAATGATGATCGTTGTTTCGTAATGGCAATAATACCAAAAATGCCATTACAAAAAGTGATCAATGCAAACAATAGCTGTACACTTGGTGATGAAATACTAGGAAAACGATCCACTTCATCATCATATGATTCATAATATAGATCATTATCATGGATAACATTTCCTACTTCTATTCGTGGTCCACCTGGATCATCATCATTATTATCATTGCCATTTATTGGTAGCCATTGATTTTTTTGATGATGATGGCCAACATGATTGATGGCTTGTATAACGGATACGATGACCATAAAACAGCCAAATAAAAATATTAATGAGATCAATATTTGTAATGAAAGTCTTGTTAGCCGTGGTGATGCATATGTAGTCATAGTCTATCCCTCTCTCTCTCTCTTTTTTTCTCATTAATTAATCAATTTCAAAAAATTATGATGATGATGATGATGATGATTTCTCAGTGTTGAAAAATTTTCATTCGAAAACAAAACAATAACCTAGATATTAGTGAAAAAATTTTTGGCAAAAAAGCAGCTGAGCATCAGCACACACACACACACACACACACACACACACAGTAAATGCAAAAAAGCATTGCAAATGAATTTTTTTTTGTTTGTTGCTTCTTCTCTATAACACTGGTGATAATTATGATTATGTGTTCATCATCATTGGATTTTTGAATCAAAGCCAAAAATTGATTCTTCTTCTTCTTGTTGCTGGTTTTTGTGTGTGTGTGTGTGTGTGTGCTTGAATGCCGCATCCATTTACCATTATCATCATGAACATGCATTATTATTATCATGAATGTCGAGTGTCCATGATGATGATGATGATGATAAAAACTTGAAATTCAAAAATTATGGCACATCCTTTTTGTTTTGGATAATGATAATGAGAACAATTTCGATGATGGTCGTGAAAGCAAAAGTTTCAAATTTTTTTTTTTTTTTTTTTTTGCTACAAATATTAATTCAATTGAAAAAAAAACAATACCGGAAACGACGACTATTGTTGCTATATTTATGGTTTGTGGAAATTTTCAAATTTAGGTCATTGATAATAAACAATAACCAAAAAAAAAAAATTAATTGATCACATTGATTCGGTTTATGGCCATAATATGGACAAATGCAATACAAATGAAATCTGGTTTTTTTGTAATAAAAATGCTTGAACAATAACTCTAAATTTTTTTTTTCATTTTTTCTCTGGTTAAATCAATCAATCAATCAATCAATCAATCTGGGAGAAGAAAAAAAAATGAATAGAAATTTTATTCCAATTTTTGGCTATCTTATTATTATTATTATTACATCAACAGCGTTTGCCACTGATAATGATGGTGGACAGAATAAAAACAATGTGAACAACAACAATTTATCATCAGACAACGACAAACAAAATGAAACTGAAATCAATCAATTAAGTCTTGCATATGGTAAGTGTATTTTTGTTTTGTTATTAATTTCATTAATTAATTTTTCAATTTATCGACAGGTTTATTATTGGATACAAATTGTGAAACAGATGATGATTGTATAATTAAAAATTCCATCTGTAATACAAATACAAAACGTTGTGATTGTGATTTTAATGCCATTCAAAGTGATAATCGATGTGAGTGTTCATATTCAATTCAATGTTGAAATTTGACAAATTTGTCGATTCAATTCCTTTTTATTAGGTCGAACATTACATTGTCGTACATCACAAGATTGTTCATCACATTTTGGCAATACAATCTGTGTGTTTGGTACTTGCCGTTGTCGTTGGGGCCTAAAAGCGAATGGAAAATGTGTCGATTTAGATGGTAAGTGAAATATTTCTTGGTGTTGATTTAAATTTTGTTATTCGCTTCAAAGTTCCTGGAATCGGTCAACAATCATTACCGGATTGGGCAATATCATTGATTGCTATTGCAGCATTATTAAGTGGTATATGGGGTGGACGTAGTCCATTCATATCACAACTTTCACGTCAATTATTATCAATATTGATATTGATACTAGGAAGATTTGCTGCACAACAATCAAATCAACAAAACAATGGTCAACAACAACAATCGCCACCATTATTGATTGATGAATTACAATCGGCAATGATGATTCAATTTAATCAGCCTATAAATTCAAATTCAAATGATGATGAAAATGATGATCAATCAAAACAGCAACAACAGCAACAGCAACAGAATAAACCAAAATTATCATCAGCAAGCATTTTGGATGAATTATTAGTATCATCATCATCATTGGTACAACCAGAACAGAAACAATAATCAACAGCAACAAATTAACAACAAAAACGGAATGTCAAATATCAAGGATTAAAAAATAAATAAATTCCTATGCATTCTATTGCATTGCTTGTCTTGTCATTATTCTGCAGGAAAAAAAAAATTGTTAATGTGAAACACGTCACGTACACACACACACACATGAATTGCACATTACCTGTAATAATTTTGCTCATATACAATTTTATTATCATTTCACACACAACATAGTGGAAACAACAACAAAAAAAATTTATCTTTGCAAATTTAACGACAGTTCATTTTTTTTTTTTTTCATTCCGAGTTTAGTTTTCATCATCATCATCATCATCATATATATCATTTTGGATATAATCAAATTATGACTATTTCTACACACACTCATTAATATATATGTGACCAAATGCAATTATTGATGGGAAATCAAATAATGAATATTACAGGTAGATATATAGGTGTGTCACTGCGTGTGTATGTGGAATATTTATTTTTTCTCCACCAGAAAAAAAATGCAAAAAGTTTGATGAACCAAATTGAAATTTTCAAATTCAAAATTCAAATTTATTTCTTCAAAAAATATTTCTGTATTACAAAAATAATCATACACAATACATACACGCACACACACACACAAAAAAAAATCCAGAATTCAAATTCTATCAATCAATCATGTAGGCTGATTGATTGGATGATAATGTGATCGGTGTAATGGAATTTCGATGATTATGTTTTTGCTGTTGTTGTTGTTGTTGATGATGATGATGATTCTGTTGTTGTTGTTGTTGTTGTTTAGAATTCAGAATTAATGCAATTAGTAATAAAAACCAATTAGAAAATCAACAAAATCAAATAATGATGCTAATAATAAATTTGGATCATTTTCACTAGTACGATTCAATGGTGAATATGAACGAAAATGAAACCATGCAATAAGATTATAACAGATGATTGAACCAAGTAATAAAACATGACATGTTAGATAGGTTAATTTGTTTGTTTGATATGAATTTCTTGTTGCACCAATAACGCCCAATATGGCTACAGCTAAATAGAATAGTAGATAAAATATTAAATTCAATTGATCATCATCATGATCATCATTTGATAGTGATTGTGGATTGAAATTAAATAATGGAATCGTCGTCGTTGTTGTTGTTGTTGTTGAATTATCATTTGAATATTGTGATGATTCTGAAACAATGTGGTGGTGGTGGTCTGGAAAATTCGAGGACGACGACGACGACGACGACGTTTCACGACCACCAACACCAAGAAAATGTCCCAAATCAAGATATGTTAATATAAGTAAAAATAATGCACTCAAACAAAGGCAAATTGAAATGGAATTTAAAATGAAACATGATATAAATAGAATGGTGATGATAATATTCGGTATGATCAACATTTTTTTTTGATGTAAATTAATTAATTTTACGATGATTATGATGATAATCAAATTGATACAAACAAACACGATAATGGGACAAAAAAAATAATTTGGCGGGCTTTGACCATCTGAACAACAACAGCTCGGTTTCCCAAATGAATAATTTTTTTGTTCATCACCCATGAAGAAGAAAGCCAATTTATATAACCTGGCTATTGGTGGTCACCAATGGTTACCACCAATGAATCGAATCGAATGAGTTCAAGTTCCGTTCGAGGAAAAAAAAAGCCAGAAACACAAAACACCAACAACAACAACAACAACCACCAATGGTTGTTACACATGTCATACATGATTTTTAGATCTAACCGTTCATGTAAAGCAAAACCAAAAAAAAAGAACAAATGATTCATATCCGGATCAGATACCAAAAAAAATTATTACATATAGACTGAATATATTCATATATTCAAAGGTTCGATCACCATATTCGTTTTTTTTTCGTTTCAAAATAATCTAGAATTCTGAAACAAAAATCATTAGAATTATAATTATTATATTACAATGGAATCAGGCAATTTTTGCCAAAAAAAAAAAAAAAAAACCATTGCATTAAGGCAAAAAAAAACAACAACAACAAAAAAAATCCAGATCAATGATATTTGGATCGATTGATGCATTGATTCTATCCATCCATCAATGATTAGTAATTTTTGAAACAAGACAAAAAAAGAAATGACTGACTTACATTATCGTCGTTATATATAAAAAAAAAATTTTGTTGTTATTTAGGACACATACACACACACACACAAAAACATTGAAAATGATGACGATGACGATGATATAGCGGCTATGAATTTAAATGATGCTTGGATAAAACTGGATGAGTGTCGAACATTTGCAATGGAAACATTCTAGGAATGGAAATAGTCATCATTTTCCTATATACATCGAATCGAATGGACAAGTCAAAAAAGACTTGTACAGTTGTTGTTCATGTTCAGATTTTTTTTTTGGTTTCACCCAATATCACATAATGGTTGATGGTTTTGTTTCGTGTTACATTGCACTACCACCACCATTTAGTACCATTCTTTTGGGTCTTGGTTGGTTGGTTGGTTGGTTTTTTTCCATTCCAGTGTATATTGCAGTATGAAATGATGGAAAAAAACGGGCCCGAATGATGTTTTTTTTTGCTTCAAAGAATTAATTACATTAACCCGAAAAAAAAGTACTGATAATGTCAATGTGTTGTTTGTTTGTTGAAGCTAATTTCATATGATTCACACACACACACACATATTGATTGATTTTTCGATGACATTTTTAAACATTGTTCAACAAATTTTTTCGGTTTTGTGCCTTTTTTGTTTCTCGGTCAACAAATCAACAATACAAACAACGAATGTCACCAACAACCAACAACAATAATAATCATAATAATAATAATAATAATAATCGTGGCGATGATGATGATGATGATCAAATTTCATCAAATGATCGTGATGATAAGGATGATGATGATGATGATGATGATGAAAATAATGTACAGATATCATTGGATTGGTTGGAAAAGAAATTTGGCCGTATGCTTGAAGTATTTTTAATCATTCAATTCGGTATCGGTATTTGTTTATTTTTTACCGGAATATTTTTCCTAGTATGGGCTGTAGCATCAACGGCCAGTTTACAGGCCGGTTCATATATGTTGCTAGCATTTTTCATTATTTCACGAGCATTATTAGGTATAATTGGTTATTATACCGAAAATTTTTGCCTTCTTTTCTCATACGGTGTTTTATTGTTGGCCACATTTGTTTTGCGTACAATAATCATTATGGTACGATTGAAAATAATGGTATCACCGGATCAACAATTACCGATACCACCATTATTGCAGGCAGCACCTGGTACAAAGTCAACATATATTGAATTAATATTGGCCATAATCGAATGTTTACAAGTATTTGGCTGTTTCTATCTATGTTGGCTATGGACCAAAAAACGTTCCATTGCTCGTGAAGAAGATGAAACCAAATTAACAATAAATATTGCCAATGAAGTAGCTCGTTATTTACATCAAAAAGAATTATCATTTCAACAACAACAACAGAATCGTAAAAAAAGTATTATTATTGATAATCAATCAGCAGCAAATAAAAATTCGAATGAAAAAAATTTAGAAAAACGTAGAAAAAGTTCAGTGATTGATAATATTTTAATGAGAAAACAATCGATGATTGATGTACAACAACAACAACAACAAAATACAAATGTAAATACAAATGTCACAATCAATAATTCATCGACAATCAATACATCAATACCATTGAAAAGTATTCTAGTACATCAGCCTCTTACAACATCAATGAATAAACAATCACAACAACAACAAGAATCAACATGTACAACACAAACACATCAACAACCATTCAATTCTATTCATGAATATCATCATCAATGTCCAGTTAGACATCCACAACAGCATCTACAACAACGATATCCTTGTATTCCACCACCACCACCACCACCACCGCAGCAAAATTATCAACAACAAATTGTTGGTGGTAGTTATCCGGCTAATCATCCATATGGATTATATGGTAGTACATTACGTCAATCATCAACATCGATGGAACATGAATATTTTGAACCACCACCATTATCAGATGATGATAAAGAATTGCAAGATTATAATAATAATCATTATCATTATGGTCGAATTAGTGAATATAATCCACAGATACCAGGTGAAACATCATGGTTTTATCAGAATCGTAGATATGATGATGATGATGATTATATTGATGATAGCCAATCATCGCTACAACCACCACCAAGAATACAATCACCAGTGCCACCACCATTTGAAATGAATGAACAATTTATCCAATCACCATTATTATATGAAAAATCGAATAAAATTCATCCTCATTATGGTTCCATGATGATCGATAATTATGAAATGATCAATCATCATCATCATCATTGAACATTCACCTTTAGAATGGATAAAAATAGCTAAATTTTTAACAGCTACAAGAGCACAGAATATATATTGATAGAATGTGTGTGTGTGTGTGTTTGTGTATGAACAAAAAAAAAAATGACCAATGATTATATATTATTATTATAAAATGTAAAATTTGATGTAATTTTTACAAAATAAATAAATAAAATACTAATAATAATTTTAACAAACAAACAAACAAATGAATTTGAATATATTCTAATTATAATTGATCAAAATCACGAATGTTGTTGTTGAGTGGTAGTAGTAGTCAATATTAATAGAAATAATAATGATTCAAAAATTATGGTCATAACATATAGAATACAATTAGATGATGACCACCAAACATTTGGTGATAATGATAATATTGATGATGGAAAATTAATTTTTTGATCATAACAATTATGACAAATCCATGACCATCGCCATATATTTGTTGTGTATAGGCGTAACAATATGGATAATGTAATCATAATGATGAATATGATTTTCAATATGAAAATCAAATGAAATTGTTTCTTTATCATCATTGTAGTGATGTTATTGTTGTTGTTGTTGTTGTTACCATTGCCATAATGTTCAACAATAATATCGATACGATCATCATCATCATCATCATCATATCGATGATCCATCAATGATTTACTACATTTATCACATTTTATCACACGTTTATCATCATCATCTTCTGTATTTCTATTTCTACTTATACATCTTGTTGTTCTTTTTTTCTTATCGAACATTTTTTAGCTGCTGTTCCATTCATTTTTGTATGTTCATTATGAATTTCAATAATAAATATTATCGATAATGCAATTATAACTTCAGTAATGATTAATGAAAGTTGAAAAATTGTTAATGAATAATAGAATCCAGATGATGAATTAGATGATTCTATGGATTCGTCATTGGTTGAATGATCATCATTATTATCAATGTTGATTGGAAAAGTGAAATCATTTGGAACGGATGAAATGAGCAACATGAACAGGCCACTGACGGCAATTAATAACAATAGAATGGCCAATATTATTATCAATGTACAACGAATCATTCTATCAGCCGGTGGTGGTGGTGGTGGTGGCGATGGCCGTATTCTCGATCTATGTCGATGATTTTTAAGTAAACATTGTGAATCTGTAAGATGATGATTTGATTTACATATGGTTTGATATGATGATGAATCATTATGTATCGATGTGGCCAAAGTCATCATTATTTTGTCAATCAATCGAACGGTCGATCGATTTATAAATCATTAACTATTTTTGCCAATGAATATTCATATGATTTTTCGGTTCTTCGTTCAAAATATATGAAACAAATTAGATATGTAATGGTGTAGAACTGAAATTAAAAAAAAAATTAATCCAAATGTGTCAAATATATTAAAAATCACAAACCTCAAGTCCAGAAATTGAAACAATTAATATGAGTAATGAATTCCAAAAATTCAATCTGAAATTTGAATCACTAGAAGAATCACCATCAATGGTTAATGTGATAGTGGTTAGGAATGAAAAAACCAACACCGTTAATGAACAAATAAAGATGGCGGCAAAAACGATGGTCAATAATAATAATAGTGTTTGATGTTCAAGACCAATGGCCACTGAACCGAGTATAGCTAATACATAGGCTAAAAAACATGTGACTATTAATGGACGTCCAGCAATGAAAAATATCGATGATGATGATGATGGAATTTCTTCTTGTTGATCGTTTGATATGATTATCGATTGACCAATCCAATTGATTAGGTTACCACCACCATCACCACCAATTGGCATAGGATCGATGATTGTCATTCGCCGATGTTGTGGATACAACAGTACGATTATTATCACCAATATTGAATGATTGATAATCGTTTAAATTATTCGTTGTAATTGTCGAGTGATAATTATTAAAATCACCATCATCCAACAAATGATTATTGGAATAAATATAAATTGAAATCAATATCAGCAGACTAATGATTATGATGAATATTTGTATGCCAATGGCAATATATTTGCAACTAGTTGTTGTCGTTGTGGACATTTGCTAATGATGATGATATGATTTTCTTTGCTCGGTATTTTCACCAATTAAACATAGATGATGGACATATCGTTTGTTTTTGACTTATGTTTAGATCTTAATGACCAAAAAAAAAAATGAAATTGAGATTTCTTCGTCAAAATCTTCTTAGGCGATTTTTGTAATGTTTATCTTGACATGATATGAACGTTGTGGTATTCGTTGAGTAGTGAAATTCGAATAGACAAAATTTTCAATTGAATTGTTTCGAAAATTGGACGAAAACCAAACCCAAGAAATGAAAAATTTTTTTTTTTACGTTCATTCAAGTGCAACGAACCAAAAACAAAATGTTTGAAAGAAATTTGGGTCAAAATTTGTTTCAAACTTTAAGTAAAAGGATATGTTACGACCATTTGAAGAGGATTTGTTTGTTTCTTCGTTTAAGGATGATGATGATGGTACGTATTACCATTATTTGAAGACAACAAATTATATCATACTATATTGAATATTTTTTTTCACATTTAAAAAACACATTCATTCAAAGATCCTGGATCGAGGGCACACTTGTGTTGAAAATTGTTGTTGTTGTTGTTGCTGTTGTTGTTGTTCGTTTTGAGCAGTAAAGAAATTGAAAAGAAGAGAAATGATCATTTTCTTTTCTCTTTTGCTTTCAAACTTATTCAGTGATGTTTACACGCGAGTTCGTGTACATGAAGTAAAAAAAAAATAGTGATAAGATAATAACTTTGTCCAAATGGCTTGTCGTCGTCGTTTCCTTGTTGTTGGAAATATTGATTGTAAAGAAAATGAATTTGAAATAAATAGATCAAGTTGACATGGCCATTTTTGGAGAGAATATTTGAATGATGAGAGCAGCTAATGAAAGAAAAACATCATTTTTTTCAATAATTTATCGTTATAATGAACAACAACAGTTTACCTTTGATGAAAAATTTCAGGTATTCAAGTTTAGGTAGACAGGCAGGGTGTTTCAATGTCGATGTTGATGATTCGTTGTTGTTCGATGACTAGACAAGATTGTCGTCGTTGTTGTTGACTTTAAAAAATTCGTCATTCGATAATGATAATGATAAAGTTTTACCTAAAACAAGAAATAAAAAAAAATTGTCATTTTCTTCAACGTACTGTGGAATCGGATCGAAATTTTAAGTGGAAAAAAAACAAAAACAACTTTAAAAATGAATGATGATGATGATGATGATGATGATTGAATGGATCGATTACAATGAGCAACCCATTATGTGTGTGTGTGCGTGGGTATAGCTGGTCGGTGGGTTCCAGAATCGTGCCTTTTTTCATTTTCTACAGTGCTATTCTGGAAGCAATTCTTCCATCGGACAGGAAATTTTTTAAAAAAAAAATGGAAGTGGTATATATCCATAGAATGGCATCCATCTATATAGCCATTGGAAGAAAAACAAACGATAGGCCTGTGCAAAATTTTGCCGATTATTATGATGCCAAATTGAATTGGATCAATCAATCAAAGAGGTCAATTAATCGATTAAAATTGCTTCAAGGTAATCATCATGATTATTCAATTATGATTTTTTCATTAGTCTGGAAAAAAATTTTTTCTTTGCAATCACCACCGGTTATCATGGGTGTGTACACGATGTTTTAAATGGTTGGGCGCGGTAATTATGATGATTATTTTTTTTCGTTCATTCCGGGTTGACAAATGTTTTCAAAAAACAAAATTTGACAAAATAATAATTTTCTAAAAGTAAACATGTAAAAAAATGACAACAAACATGATGATGATGAAAACAAACACTCGAAAAGAAACACATGTATTTATTGCTTACCGAACAAATAACAAATATAACACACACGTCAATGGACAAACAAAGTATTTTTTTTTTTTTTTTGCCACTTACTACACAAGGTCATGTCATTTTGATGATTGAAGGATGGATGAATGTTGTTCACATTTAATCAATTGATTGATAAATCGATCGACAGAGATCGATGGCCATCGAGTGTCAATTTGGAAATGGGAAAAAAAAAAATTTTTTTTCATTAGCCTCATAGCATTCAACGACAACGACAAAAATTTGAAAAACACACTCACCCAACAAAAACGAAGAAATGAAATTTAGTTCACTGGATTAATGCGTAGGATGTGATGTGTAAGGGAGACAAACAAACGGTTACATAACCCACGCATCAGCAAAAAAAACGATGGAGAGTTTTCACCAAGAAAATTAATAATTACCAAATTCGATTTTGGAGGAAAAAAACTTTGAACAACAAAACATTGTTTCTATTGGTAATGGAAAAGAAAAAACTTTTTCAATTATCACACCATATTCGTGTTGTTGTTTTTCCTTGTTGTTGTTGTTGTTGTCGATGGATTTTCTTTCTTTACAAATTTTTTTTCCATCAGAAAAATCAAATCAAATGACGTCAATCGATCAACAAGTTGAAAACAATCAGAAAAAAAGGATGAATAGATCGGCTATTTTAACATAACACGGTCGAAACAACTTTTCCCTTTTTGTTGTACGTTCTTTATAACCACCACCACCAATAAACAAAACAAAACAAAACAAAAAAAAATCGAACGAAAAAACACAATCATTAGCAATTCGATACGTTCGAACTTTGAAACAATATATATATTTGGTTTATCATATCATATATATCATTTATATATTGATCAATCATCGATGAAGAGAAAAATTACAAGAAAACAAAAAAAAATATGAAAAATAAGAATTTATATTCTTTGTGTGTTTGTGTGTGTGTGTGTGTGTGTGTGTGTTCTCATCAAAATGTGTATAGATTATGAAGATAAAGTAAAGAAAACAACAATGATAACAAAATGCAAAAAAAAATGAATGAATGAAAAGCTTTAAGATTTGTGCAAATAAAAAAAAGTCATTATTATTATATACAATCCGCAAATAGCCATTGTCCATTGTATGTAATATGTGATTTCCGATGACGATTCAACAACAGCAACAAAAAAACATTATGTCATTCAATCGATTGATCGATTGTTTTATGGCAAGCAGTAAGAATCTTATCTTCAATCGAGGTATTTCTTTTATTTCATCTTCAAAAGCAATATAATTAATTAAATTTCAATTTTTCAATGTTCCATCCATCCATTCATTTACAGGCCATACGTCCATTCATTGATTCGTTTATTTCATTCATTTAATCATAATTAATCGATAATGAAACAAAATTTTCCATCAGAGATGAGAATCAACCACACACAATCAAACAAAAAAAAGGGGTCAACGTCAATCGATCAAAAAGGAAAAAAAATCCATCAATAAATGCCAGGTATGTTGTTTGTTTAAAATTCCAATTGTGAACAACAACAACAAAAAAAATGTCTATGACAAACGACGAACAAAAGACATCAACATCATTCAAGGTTATTGTTTTCAGTTGGCTTTCAGTGGAAATATTCTTCATTCATTTTAAAACTTTTTATTAATCTTCTTAACGATTTTAGTTGTGTTTCATCCAAAATGTGTATGGATTATGTATCATGGAATAATGTCTGATGTTTATAGAATATCATTCGTTTTTGTTGTTCATTTTCTTCACGTTGTTTGGTCGTTGTCATTGTTTTCATTATTGTCTTTGATGTTGATGAAGGATCTGTCATATTTTTATCTGTACGATTATAACCAGTCACGACAAATACATTTTCATTTTGTGGTATTGATGTTGTTGATGATGTTGATGTTTGATCAATTGTAATCATTGTATCATTACTAGTTGGTTGTGGCTGCTGTTTTTGTTGTTGTTGTCTCCAAGATGATGATGATGATTCAGGATAACGATAAGATTTGACATATTCTTCATATGTTTTTGGATAAACTCTTGCAAATAAATTTACAGATGATGATGATGGTCCACTCGTTGTTGTTGTCGTCAATGTTGATGTCGTTGTTGTTGGTGTTGTTGTGGTTGAATGAATAAATCGATATTTGTCATCATTTGTTGTTGTTGGTGGTGTAGGTGTTCGTAATGATGATGGTGATGGTGAAATTGACCATTGAAATGAATGATGATAATCTTTTTGTTGTTGTTTTTTCATCATCAAATCATTTGTTGGTGATGGTGTTGGTGATTTGATTGTCGAATAACTAGTTGTTGTTGTTGTTGCTATTGGTTGTTGATGATCGATATATGATCTATATGTTGTTGGTATTGATGATGATGATGTTGATAATTGACTTGTATATGGTGATGTATATGTTGAGAATAAATTTCTTGTTTGACTTAGATTTGTATTTGGAATTGTTGTTGTTGTTGTTGTCGTAATAGTAGACGATGATATAGCTGTTGTAATAATGTTATTATCCACATATTTCGATGGATAATATGCAGATGATGATGATCCAAATAATCTACCACCAGAACGATATGATAATGATGATGGTGGTGGTGGTGGTGGTTTGTTGTCAATGTTGTTTTTGAAACATCATCATCGATCATTTGAATGTTTGTCACTTTAGTTGTTGGTACAATACTTGGTGATGATGAATATAATCGTGATGTTATTGTTGTTGGACTTGTCATGATTGTTGTGGTTGTTGTCGTTGAATCATATTGTGTTTTTGTTGGTGTAAACCGTGTAGATGATGATGTTAGATAGGATCGATAATTTGGTTGCGTCGTCGACGTAGTCGTTGTTGTTGTATTCATTGAATACAATGCACTTCTAGGCATTGCTGGTGATCGTATTTGTGTTGATGTTGTATATTTAGAATCGGGAATTATTGTTGCTGTTGTTGTTGTTGTTGTTGTTTTCACTGAATTTGTTTTCGATGATAATGAACGATATGGATTATTGAATGGTTGATTTGTAAATTTATTTGATTTTTGTTTCATTATTGGATCTTCAATCGTTGATTTCGATGGTGGTGATGGTGAACGATAATGTATATAATCGCTTGATAATGTTGAATGTAATTTTGATCTTTCACGACGTGTACGTTCAACATCACTACTACTACCATTATGATGATGATGATGAGGAACACGTGGTAATGATTGGCTTTGATTCTTTCCATGATGATGATGATGTTGTTGATGTTGATTATGGGTAAGCATTGTATCAATTTTAAATTTTTCATCCGAAATTTTCATCTGTTTCATATTATTATTACTATCTTGACTTGCTGATGAATGTCCACTACTATCGGCTGCTGCTGCTGCTGTTGTTGTTGTTGTTGATGTTGCTGCTGTTGGACCACTATAACCAACACCTGAATAACCAGATGAATGTTGATGACGTCTTGATGATGATCGATGATGTTGATGAGGATGATGATGATTATGACCATTCATCATCATCATCATCATCATACGATTTGATGGACTTCGATGTTTACCACTTTCATAGATATTATTATTATTATGACTAATAACCGAACTATTATATATTGCATTCGGATCTAATTGTTTTAATAATTTTGATGCTGATAATTGTTGTGAATGTTTGGAATTATTTTTCATCATTGATGATGATGATGATGATGATTTCTTTGGTTGTTGTTGTTGTTTTCGATGTTGATAAATGGCATCGATTTCATCATTTTTTTTCTTCATTTTTTGTTTCAATTTAAATTTATCTTTTAGATAATGAAATTTTTCTTTTGTTAATGGCAAAGAATTCTGTGCAGCCAATGCCAATAATATAGCAAAAATCATTAGAAATAATTTAGCAAGACTAGATAATATTGTAAGACTTGCAGTGGTGTCCATTATAAAACGACCACTTTGATGTAATGGTGCTGTTAATGACCACAATAAACGAAATATGAACACAATAAACAAACATAATGAATATGTTAATAATAAACAAAAATTTTCACGTAATGCACCAATAAGACCGGCTGCACCGATAACAACAATAATTGAACTGGTCAATGATAATTGTGAACCAGATACGGTTAAATGTTGCATAGCATTCGGTGAAACAAGACCGGTAAGAAAACCGGCCAATCCAATTGCTATAACAGCTGAATTGCCAGCAATTAATGAAAATTTCAAACATCTCAATGAACTGTTTTTATCCATGATTTTTCGATGATTTTTTTTGTTGTTGTTGATGATGATGATGATGATGATTATGATTGCAACAAGTGCGATGATATAAAATATTTATGATGCGTTGTCGTTTTGTTCATTATTTTTTTTTCTTCGTTCATATGTGATGAGTAATGTAGAAAATATTTCATGTGCTATGTGAATAAATTGAAAAAGAAAATAGAAAAAAAAATTGAATTGAAGTAAATTAAAACATCAAATAAAACACGCAAACACACACAAGAAGCGAATCGAAATTTATCGAGGAAAAAAAAATATTCCGCTTAATTCTAAAAAAAAAAACACGCACAAATTTTTTTTTTTGGTGGTGGTGGTTAAAAAATTGAAAAAAAAAAATTTTGTTTCATTCAACAGCGACAAACATTACCGTCCATGTAAAAAAAAAAACGAAATGAATGACGATGTTGATGATGATGATGATGATGATGAGCCACAAATGTAATACTAAATGTTTCTTGTTCGTTGTACATCACCTGAAAACATCATTATCATCAAAAGCATAGCTCATCTATCCAAAGACATCAGGTTTCAGGTTTTTTTTTCTATCTTTCAATGTGTATGTGTGTGTGTGCGCCAACACGATACAGGTTGAATATATATAAAAAAGACAGGATATACCTGCATATTCAACATGGAGCATCAATATATTAATGGTTAAGTTTGGTTTTGTTGTTGTTGTTGTTGTTGTTGTTTTATCATCATCATATCCAAATCCGAATCCAGAAAAAAAGAGAGAACTAGAGAGAGAAATTGCTGAATACAAATAACGATGAGATGATGATGAAAAAAAAAATATTACAAGGGAGTAGCATGATCAATAGTGTGTATAGGATCGTTGTTGTAATGACGAATGAAATGAAATGAAAATGAATGGATGAAGTAAAAAATTTTTTTCAAACAAAAAAAAACAGGTAGGAATGTGGCGTCATTGTTTTGTTTATTCATTCATTCATTCATTTTTTTTCTTATTTCATTGATTGCAACAACAACAACAAAATGGATGCTGTGCGTACAAATCGATACAAAGCTCATTTTGGTTGAACGATAATTTTCAGCCAAAATTTATATAGTTGTATCGATGAGAAACGACGAATTACTGAATTATCCAGAAACAAAAATTCATATGATATTGACAACAAACAACAGCAATAATCGATACAATAAAAAAAAGACCAAAAAAAAATTCAAAACTAACTGGAAATTTTTATTATAACAACCAAACAAACCTGGGCCAACAACCTAAGCTTTTGGTGTTGTTTCGGTTCACTGATCCTATGGTAAATAACAACAACAACAACAACACCTTTTATCTGGCTTCATATTTGTTATATATATATACAATGTTGAAAGATATTGTGTTGGTCGGTATTCATGGTTATTTGAATAAGAAAGAAAGTAAAAAAATTCCATGGTAACCACAGATAAAAAAAAATACAAACATGCAAACACAACATTCATAATCATCAGAGAAAAATAATAAACGAACGGTAATTAAAAGATTCATTCAAGTGTGTGTGTGTGTGTGTTTGTGAGAGAGAGAGAGAAAGAGATGAATTTATGTTAAACATTTATACTAATTAATCGAAGTTAAATATCGATATTTTTTCCAGACTAAAGACAGACACAGCAGTGGTGTTAATTAGTAGTAATGATTATTATGTGGATTTTTTTTTTAATTTTATATCAAGGATAAAATCAATCCTTTTTTTCACATGTGAATCACTTGATGATGATGATGAGCACTATAAAATTCATTTAGGTGTGCCTTTTTTTTTTTGTTGTTGGTTGTGGTTGTGGTTGTGGTTATGGTTTTTGTAGTAGGTGAATTTAATTTGATTTTTTTTTTGACAAAAAAAATGATAATTTCATGAACAAAATTACAGCACAACAACAACAAAAAATGAACATCACATGTGTGTGTGTGTTGTTCACAGTGATGAGTGGATGAAAATAAATTGAATTGATGAAAATAAACATCAAAATGAATGAATGAACAATGATCATGATGATAATTTTACCTTGGAAAATATTCCCTTGTGTGCAATCCATTCAAATCAATCAAATGTTGAATTTTTTTTGTTTTGTTTTGTTTTGTTTCATACCTAATACTGGTTAACCGGGTTAAAATGATGCGCAAGGAAAAAAATTCATAATTATCACACACACCCACATTATAGAGAGGTAGTTTGATGATAGGAAATTAAATTCACTTTTTTGTTCTTCCTCTTGTTGTTGTTGTTGTTGTTTATCACATTTTCAACGAAAAAAAAATTGAATGAATAAATGATGGAATGAAATGAAATGAAAATAAAAAAAACGATGTGCTAAATGAAATGTGTGAAAAAAAAAAAAAAACGATGCCAATTGATGGTGAAACAAACAAATGAGCAAATTTTTCTACCAAAATTACAGTAAAGTTTAAATGTAGAAAAAAAACAACAGTAAAATTCACACATCACACAGCATTTCATTACACACACACAAACATTTAAGGATGTTTGGAATGTTGTTGTTGTGTGTGTGTATGTTTTTGGTGGTCGATACAGTTAAATGGTTTTTTGTTGTTGTTGTTGTTGCTTGTCTCTATTTTTTTTTCAAATATCCACAACATTTTTTTTTATTGCATTTTGCCAAATGGCCACATTTTGATCATTTTACAAATTTATGATTGTTGTTGGTGTGTGTGTGTGTGTGATCAAGGAGAAAAAAAAAAAGAAAAGAGAAATGGAATGTGGAAAAAAAACATTCATAGAAAGAGAAAGAGAGAGAGAGAGATATATGTGAATAAATTACTCATGTATTTCAGTTAAAAGAGAAAAGATGATGATAAGCATCTTACCTGTTTACATCGTTTGTTCGTGTGTGTGTGTGTGTGTGTGTGTGTGATTTGAATCTCAATAGATTTTATGTGTATTGAACACAATGTTTTTTTTTTTTTTTTGAAAACATATGATCAATGTAATAAAAATTACTTGGTTAAAATGAAAAAATGAAATAAAATAAAATAAAAAATTCTTGATGATAATCGATCCTATCGATGATGACGGAACATGATGATGATGATGATGGTTTTTTTTATATTATAATCATCATCATCATCATCATTTTCATGTCACTGTATTTTTTTTTTAAATTTTCATGACAATAATGACATCTGAATGGATTGAAGAAAGAAACAAAAAAAAAGTAAAAAAAAAACAATGACATGTGACCAGCACGTATGAATAAACGGAAATGCATCGATCGATCGATCGATGTGTGTGTGTGTGTGTGTGTGTGTGATCGACCTACAATGATATCGTTTTTCCATTCATTTTTCAGTTAGATTTCCGGTTGAAATTTACTATTTCAAAAAAAAACACGTGTCAATGATAAATCATTAATCTGATCTGATTGAATTAAGTGAATTTTTGTAATCAATGATTTATACATAATATAGTAGTAGTTTGGTAGACTGATCAAGATGTTATTTATAGATTGACAGCAAAAAAAAAAAAACAGATTTAGATATCCTCACTGCTGTAGCAGCAACAAACATATTTCGTTACTTTTTTTCCTGTTTTTTTTCATGTTGAAACAACAACAAAAACAAAATGAAAAATAAATAAAAATTCCCAAAAACAGTTATATTTTGCATGTGTGTGTGTGTGTGTGTGGCGTCATCTAATGTCGGCCAATCAAAATCAAATGAAAATTTTCATTTTCATTTTTTTTTTAACACATTTTGAAGGTCATAACGAAATTGATTGATTGATTGAATATCGTAAGTAACATTTAATGATAATGTTGGCCATATTAAAAGAGAATCGATAATTATTTAATCATTATCATCATTGTAGCAATTATATTTTATCGATAAATGTTCATGTGATTTTTTTTTGTCAATTTTTACAATTCTACCCATTTATTTTTTTTGATGGTTTTGTGATCATATGATTAATTTGTATCATATTGGGAATGGAAATGAAAACAAAAAAAAAATTTGGACAAAATTCCATTGAATTGTTGTGGCATACCATTAACAGCAATAGCTTCGTGTGTGTTTGTTAATGTTTTTGGCTGCTGCTGTCATCCAGGCTCATTGATCTCGAAAAAAAAGTATGGAGAGAGAGAATACAGAGAAAAAAAAGAGTTAAAAATCATGTGTCATTGATGACGAAATTGAAGAATATGAATGAAATTCATTAGAAAAAAAACGCTACCAGTTAGTTTCAATAATGTAAAAATGTCAACATCAACATATAGATAAATAACAACAAAATGAAAAAAAAAAATGAAAAAACAATGAAAACAATGAAACACACACACACACAACCCTTTCAATTACATAACCTGTTGGCGAGCAATTTTTTTTTTTTTATATTCGAAAATGATGCCCTGTTCCTGTGTTTGATTTGGTTGCTTGATGTTGTTTGGTCTGTTTTGTTTTGTGTTGTTGTAAATTTAATTTTTTTTCTTCCTTAGATAATTTGTTCGTTTGTGATTGATTGAAATCGATGAAATTTTTTCTAATTTTTTTTTTTTAAATTTCATCTGGCAATTTCCACCCATTTCGACCTGATGATTGTCGATATAGTCGATTGTTTTTCGCCTTTAAATTAATGTTTTTTTATTATGTGCACAAGTGCTGCCGCCGTAGAGCATGTGTTTCAATATCATACACGGTGATCATCAATATTCGAATGGTTTTTAATTCCAAAGAAAATATTCAACGAATCCATTGTGTATGTGCCATTTTGGATTAAATTTTTTTTTATTTTCAAAAAAAAAATTCAATTTTTCATCATCATAAAAAAATGAAAAATTGTTTAATGTTACATCCATTCATTATGTGTGTGTGTATACCAAAACAACAACATCATCATCATCAGCAACAACATCAACATCAACATCAAACAGCAACACAACTCGAAACACTAGCACCGCCACCACCACCACCACCAACAACAACAACACAGCAGCTGTAGCCAACCATCAAAAGAAAAAAAAAAAAAAAAATACTTGAATTAAATGGGAAAGAAGAAAAACAACGAAGAACAACAACAAGAAAGAAGAAGAAGAGAAAGCATAGAGGGGGAGAAGATCTCTATAGTTTTTTTTCGAAAAAAAAGAGCGTTTAGTATATGAAGAGACAGAAATATTATCCAATAACAATATCAACAACTGCATCATCATCATAAGAACAAATGAAAATGAAAAATTTTTTTTTTTTTTGACAACAACAACAACAACAACAGAACAAATCACACACACACACAAAATACCTATAAAACTATCATCACTTTTAATCTGCACTATCTCACTCATGGCGGTCCTTTGCTTCATACGGCGGTAGGGTTCCATGCTGGCTTATGAGTATGCCGTCATCATCGCTGCGACCGTCGACCGATGGTGATTGGTGATCACTGGAAGAATAATGAAGTTGGCACAAATGATCACGGAACAAACGGTCGGCCTTCAAGAATCCAATATCCGCTGTTTTAGGATCTATCTTCACCGATATTTACGTTCAGCTATGGCAAGATCATTCATTAACAACTGGCAAATAACTGATGGGGTTTTAGCCATAGATTCGATTACAATGTTCACAACGGATGAAATATTGATAAAATTTTTAGTTCGTGCTTCTTTCTCTTTCTTTTGAACCGTCTACACAATTTCAGTATTATACTTCGTTATGGGATGAAGATTGATTCATACAATGAGTAGGTGTTTATGATGGCGGAATAAGCCTGGGTTCGAGGGACGACGTTGTCGTTAGGAACATCGAAGGATAGAATCTGGTTAGAATTCAACGTGAGTGCTGAAAGATCTAAGTGGAATTAGAATTAAAGCTAGTACTAAAATTTGCTTTCATTCGAATTCTATCTCTGTTTAAGCCTAAACTGTGATTCTTCTTCATCTGATTCTTCGGTATCTAACTTGTGTATTTGCCGGTTTAAGATTTTCTATGTATGAACAATAGCTTCATGATTATCAATGATATTCCATATACTACAGGAAAGAATATCTGGTGTTTCAAATGGACCTTCATATCTAGGATCTAACTTTCTTCTATTTAATTCATCTGCAGATTTTGTAAATGCCAAATCTCCTGGTTCAAACTTGTTTATCAACTCTTCTTCGATCATAATATCTTTTTATTGCAGTTATTAGTCTTGTACTGATCGTTCATATGCCATCATTCTTGCTTCAATCAAGATCCTCCCCAAGATAATGGCCATTTCATCAGGATCTTCACCACTCATTAGAAACTTGGAGCATACCGAGAGTAACAGTATGTATTGTTGAATTATATTCAACCAAGTTTCAAGCAAGTCTTGCCCAAGATCGGTTTGTATAGATAACTTTTTACCTCAAATCACCAACCCTGGTTTAGACAAATCTTTCAATCATTCCGTTACTAGAAGGGATGCTTAACTGGAACAATTATTTAGGTATTATTGTAATAAGGAATTCTACTCTAAAACTTAGAATTCAATGCGGGATACCTATCACCGAAGCAATATGTGGATGTCCATCTTAGAAATTTTATTATGGAAAATCTCACGTTTTGGGTTTTCGTGATTCCCCAAACTGATATCTAAATGAATCAATTGCCACATGAAAATATCTTAATTGAAGAAATGATTCTCTAAAACCTCCAATAGTATCAATATGAATGAATCTGGAAATGCAACGCACGCCAAAGTAGCAGCAGCAGCAGCCTTAAGGAACAAATCCACACACAGCTAATACAATTTTGAATAAACCTGTTTACAATTAAATTATAATATTTTTTGAAAAATGAAAGAGCTATTTGTTTTGGCCAATATATGCTGTTCTCAAACGATGCCTCTATGGGCTAATCCTTTCTCTTCTCAGGAAGATAATATGCGTCTTCTAATACCATATTTAACATGTAGCCCATTCAAATAATACCCTGGAGGGATACTTGGAGACTGTGGCATTGAATATCAGAGAAATCTCTTTGGGGGAGTGCCAGCGAATTACGCTTAAGATTAGGATTTCTAGAAAGAAAATCAAAAGCAACATTTTTCACTACCAGGAACATATTCAATCTTAAAATTGCTAATGGCTTAACCTTAATGCCCAATTTAAGATTCTACAGAGTTTTAGAAATTGGGTTGATGTGCTTCTGATGGTTTATGATCAGTTCGAATTAAGAACTCTTTTTCCATACAGATAATGATGCCAGTAAGCAATCAGAAAGCATTCTTTTCTATGTAGAATAGTCTAAAACTTTGATCATTGAATGAATGAATGTTCTCAAGAATCATGAATATTCAAACAAAGACAATCAATAAAGAAATTTGAATGTGAAACAATTGTCATCAAATATCTAAATGGTTGTAGTGTTGTTGTATATATATATGGGTGTGTGATTCGTTGATGTTTTTTTTTTCTCTCTCTCTCTTTCTCATTGATTCTCAAAATTGTATTCTGATCTCGATCCGATTTTTCATGGATTAATATTCACATCAATCAATTTTGGCTACGTGTTTAAACCAAATTTCATCATCATCATCATCATCATTAGACTGCCATTTTTTTTTGTAAACAAAAAAATTTGTACGAAAAAAACGAATTCAAATTGTCAAAGCCATTCAAGTGCTTGCCTTTGTCATATTTTTTTTTCGATTCTTTTGATTATTTTTTTTTTTTTTTTTTGTTCATCCAAAAGCTATTTTTGCACACACACATTCATCATATAATTTTTTTTTAAAATGAAAATGTCGTCATCATCATTGTCGTCTTTATGACAAATGTGTGAATTGTATTTTTCGTCTTTTGTTTTCACATTGTTGAGAATTGCAACAGAAACAAAAAGAACATGTGAACCTGATTCGCATAGGAAAAAAAAACTAAATGAGAATTTTTAAAAAAAGGTTCAAATTTTCGTTTTTATTATTGTTAATGTACAGCAGCATCAGCAGCAGCATTAGTATCATCTATCAATCAATCAAGATCAAGAATGTGAGGATCAACCATCCAAAAAATTCAATCAATAAAACCATATAACAAGCAAATAAGCAAAGATGTCAGACTGTTGATTTTGTTGTTTTTTTTTGTTAACTGGAAAATTATAAATTCTGCTGAAAAACAAGATAGTCATCATCAATTATTAGCTTGTGTGTCGTCTGTTTGTTTTAACTCGAAAAAAAAATTTTTTTTTTCATTTTTTTTGCTGCCATCGCAACCATCATGACCACCAACAACCGATATATTTTAAATATATTATCAAATTGAATGTGGTTGTCTTTTTTTTTTCTTTCCATTTAAATCAAACGACGATATCCTTGTTTTTTCTGCTTCATGTTCATCTTTTTAACCATCATAGATTATAAAACTTGATAATTCTCAAAAGCAAAAAAAAAAGATTCGAATTCGAATAAATATCAAGGATTCTTCCTGGTCATCATCGTCGTCCATCCTTCAAACGTCTTACATACACACACACACACCCCACCCAATCAACCAAAATTTGTTTACACTTATCATCATCATCATCATCATCATCATCGTTTTATTGGTCGGCTGAAATAAAATCCTTCTAGCACCAAATAAAAAAAAAAATTGAAAATGATAAAAAATAACAAGTGAAAAAAAAATCACATCAGCTTTACAGCTTAAAAAAAATGCAGTTGAAAAGCTGATGATGATGTGAATGAGAGATAGAGATAAATAGCCAGATCGATTTGATTCAGGCCGGAGAAAAAAAAATTCATCATACATCACTCGACTGTGGCTGCTGCTGCTGTTGCTAATTTTTTCTTCTTTTTTTTGCACATTAATTTTTGATGATGATGATTTTTGAATTTGTTTGTGATTGAAAAAAAAAAAAGACCAAGAAGAACGTTTTTTCTCCCATTTTTCTTTCTCTCTCTCTCTCTCTCTCTCTAACCCTTTAATCATTCACCACCACCAAAAAACAACAACAACAACAAAATGTGATATTTTTTTTCGATTGTGATATATTGATTTTCATCATCGTCGTCGTTGTTTTTTCACTTTTTTTCTGATATAAAATATTTATTTATATCGAAGATTCTTACATTGACTACGAAGACGATGATGGTGATGGACATGATGAATATCCATCGCATGTCAATCATAATTTGTCATCGAAAAACAACAACAACAACAACATTGACTGAAATTTATTCGACTTGAACAACAACAACAACAACAACAAATCCAGTGTAAAGTAAATATTTTCATTGAGAAAAAAAATAGAGTAAAATTACAGAAAAAAAATACCAGCCAGATTCGGCATGGTAAACATCCATTATTATATATGGTGGTAATGTTGAAACTTTCGAGTGATCAAAAGAATATTCATATTCATCATTTTTATATATTTCTAATCAAAAAGTAAATGAAAAAAAAAATAAAAATGAATGAATTGATCATAATACGTAGCGGTTCATGGGAGAATCGTTGTAAATATCTAGAAGAATTAATTACAACAAATTATGGAAAAATTCCACAATTCAATCAACAGGAACGTGAAAAATTTTTAAGTTTTATATTTGAAAATACAATCGATCTATTGGATAAATCATTACATCCAAATGAATGTCGTTATCGTGTATTGCGTTTATATTGTAAATTATTGAATGGACAAGCTGAATCTATTGGCATGTTACGTTATCATCTATTCAATAGATTACTAGCCAATGATTTGACCAATGATGAAGACATTCCATATATGATTGATTTTCTTATGGGTAAGTTTTTTGATTTTGAAAAAAAAACTGAACAATAACTCCTGTTTTTTACAGTATTGACTGATCATGGAAAAATATTATCACATTATGAATCGGATATTGGCCATTTTATTAACGGTCTTATTGAACGATTATTTGAACATCGATCTACGACCACCACGACTACAACATTGAAAGCGACTACTATAATATCTGGTGGTCAAATAAAAGTGATAAAATATGAAACATTTGTACAGCAAAAGTTTCTAAAATTTATGATTAATCTGATTAAATATAATGCTGCATATGTTGCATCGGATAATTCATCAAAAGCTTTGATCAAAATGATACGTTATGTATGTGCATTAGCCTATCAATCAGAATCAATTGTTGAATTAGAATTGATTTATGAATTCTTGAATGTTGTATTGAGCTATTCACATCTGCCTAATGAAACACTAAGTCAATTTATAGTCATCTTATGTATTGGTATTAATCGTGAAGAATTATACGTTATTTGCAATAAAATCATGCGTAATTTAATCGGCACATATCTTGGATATGATGGTCTAACCACATTACATCATATTGTTGAAGATGAGATTAATTTTTCAGATAAACTACTGATACGTGGTGCTGTATATTTTCTTGTTCAATCATTATGGGGTGATATGATCAATGAAAAAACATCGATAAGTGCAAATGTTATTTTACCTGCATTCAAAATCCTGTTGAATAATGATATGGCTACTAGTCCGCTTATTGCATTGGAAATTGCCAATGGAATTCATATGTTTATCAGTGGTTCGTTCCATAGTAAACCATCATTGGATACGAATCGGCCATCCAATGCTAATAATAATAATAATTTGAAAAATGAATCATTGAACATTATAAAAAGTTCAGAAATCATCTATCAATATACCTGGGACCTTGTACTTGATGTTTGTGATATACTTGTCTCCAATCATCTAATGATTGTCAATCGTAATGGTACTAATCATCATGATACAACTAATCAACTAAGATCAATGATTCTTTCCATATTAAAATTATTGGAGCAAATAATTTCATCCGAAATCAATACCAATACTATTGTCGTTGACGATGTTCATTGTGGTAATGTCGATGTCGAAGTTATTGATGATGAATGTCCATTAAGAATTTTATTTGATGATGAATGTTTTACTGAAAAATTTTTCACCATTTTCGAAATGGCCACTGATCATTTAACGGTAAATGGAATTTTTTTTGTTACAGAAAAAATTTTTTTTTACATTTGTTTTTTTCCATATATTAAAGAAAGAAACTATTTACAATCTGATTGAACATCGTTTAAATCATATCAATCGATATCGTTTTGATTTGGAAAATAAATTGAAACAATTACGACATGTAATCAACGTATATTTCATATCGTCAACGAATAATTCGATACGTTTAAAATGTTTGGAAAAATTGGAAAATTTTCTCAACGATTGTACATTTCTAGATGCCGATGTAAGTGATTTTCTTCCATAGTTTTTGATTGATTTTTATTTATTCATTTTTTTCCAAACAAAAAAAAAAAGATATTTTGGGAAAAGGTGGCTTCCAGTTTTTTCTCCACTTCTTCCGATGACAATAGACAATCACGTGAATTGGCAATTAATTTTCTAATTTTTTTGGCTAAAAAATCACGATCGAACAAAAATTTACTAGAATTTATCGAGATATTTGAAACGGTAATTGATGATTATGATTGATTTCTTTATAATTGTTTTTTTTTGTTTTGTTGTTTCAGACCATTCACAATCGGTTAAAAATATATCGACAACATTCAGTGGATCATCGTTCATCACAGAATGTTCATACTATGGGACCAATTACTCATCAAATGTCGGCTCCAAATGTACATGAAATAACCATATTCGATGATGCTATACGATCCGTAGATGGTTTTATAGCAATTTTCATTGAAAATATCAATCATATCCATTGTCATTCAGCTGCTATACATTCATTTCGATCATTGATCAAAATTTTGGCTTTCCTTCAGAAATTACATCCATTTCATCATCATCATTCATCATCTGGTGAAGAATCATATTCCTCATCCTATACTCGTACATTGTCATTAATGAAAAGGAAAATATTTCATACAATATTATCATTACGTACAAATCGATGGGCACAATTAGGAGTGGTTGTTAATCCAATGACCACTCATGAATCATCATCTGAAGAATGTGTCCGTTTCACTCCATACATATTGATTCGTGAGATTTTGATTGTATCAAATCAATCAAGTCCTCCTATAAGCCCACAACGTCAACAGCAGCAACAACAACAACAACAACAATCGATAATTGAGACTAATTCAAATAGTCCCAATATGAATACCTCATCATCATCTTCATCTTCATCATTTCATGGAGCATTCATTGAAGCTCTTAAATTAGTTATCGAATCTATTCAATTTGAAAAAGATTGGTCTGTTTTGCATCTGATATTTGTTGAGCTTCCAAAAACATTAAAACATAAAGGTTTAATATTGGCTGCTACCTCTTCTGCAAATTCTTCAAATCATTCGACACCGTCATCTTCGATGACACATTTATGTGTTAAAAATGAATCGATTCCCGATCTAATGGTCAATGCTCTTTGTACATTTGTAAGTTTTTTTTCTTAGCAAAATCTGAATTTTTTGTAATTCTTATCACTTAAAACACGCTAGATTGATTGGATTCTAAATCATTTCAATGAATTGCATATGGGTGAAGCAAAAATCAGCAAAGTTGACATTCTAGCGCATATTTATAATTCAATTTCTGCCTTGGTTGGCTATAAACTACTATCATCATCACAGGTATTGATGATTGAATTTTATTGCTGTAAATGAAAATATTATAATTATCTTTATTTATTGATCATTTATAGAATTCTATTGTAAAATGTCTACTGGATGGATTGATTCATTTCTCATCAAAGATTCCATGTCTTCGACAATGTATTGTATCGTTGACAATTTGTTCAATTGAAATGCAAACAACAATGAATCGTTATCTTTCCGAAACAATCATGCAATTGGGTAAAATAACAACAACAAAAGCATTGGCCATACCGAAATTGGAATTTCTATCCAGTATGATTTTTCTATTAATTTTTTATTAATTTAACTAATTTTCATCGTTCATTATAGATATAATAGTATTTCCGGATATATATTATACATTTACCAACAAACAATATTTATCTATATTTATGATAGCACAGTTATATATAAATCCATATAAATATGGTGAATATACTGTTGCATTGGCTTTACGTGTCATATCAATGTGGTTCCTTAAATGTCCGATTCCGTGTCGAATGGATTTGGTTCATTTTTTGATGAAGGGCTTTCAAAATAATATCCTTAAAGATAATGAACCAAATCTAGCACAATTGATGACACAAAAATTATCCAATACCGATATTTCAACACGACAATTCAAGTAAGTGAATTTTTTTCATTAGTAATGATTTGGTTGATTTGTATGAATGCTTGTGCCATGGCCCCCACATTCTTTTCGTTATTAACCGTTATTAAACGTTATTTTGTCTTCTTTTTTTTTGTTTGTCATGTTTTTTTTTGTTTTTGTTTTCGGTTATTTGTTGTGTTTTTACCCAATCTCTTGAAAAAAGTAGTAGTAATCGTTTTTTGTTGGTATCAAGTCCACCACCACCTCCTTCAACTCCTTTAACACACAATACATTTTCATTTCAACCTTTCAATAGTTTTAGTGGACATCAATCAAATTCGATTGATCATCATCATCATCATCAACAACAACAGCAACAACAACAATTTACTTTTTCATCATCATCATCTGCATTCAATACTGTTGGCCATCAACAGCTTGGCAATGATAGTGTTATATTCGATCCAAATGATAAAGAAAAATCGAAAATTGAATTGGTTGAAGTTTGTATGGATATGTTAGCATCGAATGCGTTCACAACATCATCACCGCTTCCATTGAAACCGTCGATGATTGATAAATTATTAAATAAAGACAAGACACAATATTGGATGATCGGTAAGTCATCATTGTAAAATTTAGATTTTAAAAAATATTTTTTTTTTTTTTGTAAAAAAAACTTAGGACACAAATTAATCCAGATAACAACAACTGGCTGTACATCAAGAGCAATGCGAAATGGTTTCTGTAATAAATGCTATACAACATGTCATATGAATCGGCCACAAACATCGACGACAAATAATTCATCATTGAATAATTTGGTCAATAATTGGAATGAAAAATTTAACAGTGATTTGAATGCAAGCAACAATTCCTTTCAACAATCACAGGCCAATCAATTTAATCAGGCAATGGCGAATAGGCGTCGACATCGTTCGGAAATAAATCATAGTACACGGATGAAATATTCAAATTATACTAATGATGATTATTTCATCAATCAACAACAACCAAACACAATTCCAGCATCATCATCCACAGAATCAGATTTGAATGTTGTTAGTAAATATTGCCGTTGTTGGTGCCAAACATGGGCCGAAATTTTGATTCGTCGAGCAACTGGCACTACAAGGCTTATACTTCGCGTTGAAAATAATCTGGGTGAATTTCCAAATTGGACATCATCGAAACATGAAGATGATTCATTAGCTCAATTATTTGAAAATTCATTCCCAGATCTGAATATTTCATTAAAGAAACATCCAGATTATGAATCAAATGATGAAAATATTACTGGTAATAACAATAACGAGATCTCAACAAATTCTAATCAGGATGTAGCCAAATCAGACTCAGGGAATATTTTTAATTTAAATGATCAACAACAACCACAACAAAAAGCCAAAACTTCTCAACCAGTTAGTCGAACTGCATCATTTGGTAGTCGTACATTACAAGCACATAGTAATACCAAATTCTTTGATGTTCAACATCAAAGAAATCAGGATATGGAAACCGCAAGATATCATCATGTTCGAAAGCTTGAAAAGGATTTTTCTTTCGAAGAAAATACACCGGAAGGTTCACAAACAAGTCTTGTATCATCCGGTGGTAGTGCTGATAATACTGAATTACAACAAAATTTTCAACCTACAACGATGTTTCGTGATCGTGGCCATACAATTTCAGTGATGACGCCGGTTCAAAAAAGTTCTAGTTCATCATCAGCTCTTGGCGGCGGTAGTGGCTATCATTTTCATTCACAGATTCATGAATCATCATCGATATCGGCATCAAATATGAGCTTGTCATCACGGCAACCATTTTCACCCGCTGGTCTTTCACCACAATTTGTGTTTCTACAATTGTATTACAATTCTATGTTCAAAGATAGAATCTGCCATCCAAATTCTAGTTCAAGCTCTGAAAAACCGATTCAACTTGATCGTAATGAAGCATTAAAATTGTCGTTGAATATATTCGATCGAATAACGCCATATGAAACGCACAAAATTGGCATACTTTATGTTGGTCCTGGACAGACAAATAATCGTGCTGATATATTAGCCAATCAAATTGGATCGTATAGATATGCTAAATTTTGAAAGATATTGGACAATTGATTTCGTTGGAAGATATTGATCCCCATGTATTCTATGTTGGTGGTCTTGATGTTAAAGATGGCCCATATGCTATTTCATGGTGTGATCATCTTGTCCAGTTGATATTCCATGTTGCAACAATGATGCCTACATTACCGAAGGATCCAAAATGTAATAATAAAATGGCACATATTGGTAATGATCTCGTTTGTATTGTTTACAATAATAGTGGAGAAAATTTTGATCTTTTCGCATTGAAAGTAAGATCATTACTAATTTATTTTATATCAATTCTAATCCTTTTTTGTATTATTCAATCCATTTAGAGCGGTTTTGGACAGGTAATGTTGGCCGTTGTATTGATTACGCCATTAGAATATGATAGTAATATTGTCGAGTTGAAATGTAGAAAAGGTTTGAACAGATCCAGATGTTTTGATTATTTATTATTCATTCATTTATTCATTTTTGTTATACATAAAGAATCTGCTGAATTTATTGGTTACACTGAATCGCAGGTGTTATCAGATGAAGCTTTACCAGTTTATGTACGACAATTGGCCATGCATGCAAATGTAAGTGTAGTTGATTATATTCTGTAGAAATTGATTTAAATCTAAAATCTAAAAAAATTATTTCCAATTTTAGCTTGGTGCAATGGTCTATAATCCAAAACAAGAGATGAGATCATATCATATTTCTAATTGGCTTTCAAGATTACGAAACATTAAACGAGTTCGTAAACGGGCACAGCAACAATATCAGGATAATAATGATCGATATTCGATTCGTAGTACTAGTACTACGACTACCACTAATGTTGGTAATGGTGTACGAATGGTACGACAAAGTCAATCATCATCAATCGGTGATGGATGTGATTATTCATCATCAACAGCATCATCATCGGGAATATCAACAGCGGCAAATTCAGCAATTAGTCCAAATATCTATTGCAGTGGTGGTGGTTGTAATGTTTCATTCGATTATGAAGCTATATCACAACGATTAGCTTTTCCAGACTTTACCGAATTCACAAAAGACTATTGAATTTGGTTATTTTTTTCTTTTTCTGTTTTTTTTTTTTTTTCTTGGATCAAATTCTTACAAAGAATTTATCTCATTTATTACATAACAATAGCAAAAAAACAAAACAAAACAAAAAAATATTTGACCCACATCCCTTCGATATATACACAGAAACAAAAAAAAAAGTAACCGCACACAAAAAAAAGAATGCATACAAAATACACATTTGTAACAACTACAGAGAGAGAGAGAGAGAGAGAAGATAAAATATATTTTTTTTCTTCAAAAAAAAAAATTTAAAATTCTTCAACTTTTTTAAAAAGAAAAACATTTATATTTCATGCATGCAAAACAACCAATTTGTGTTTTTATTATATATAAAAAAAAATAAATCGAATCAATTTCCTTTTCCTAAATTTTCCTTTTTTTTCTTTTAAATCAAATTTTTTTTTGAGTGGTTTTTTTCTGTTTCCCAAAGACAAGACGATCCCAAATTATATTAATGATGATGATAACTTACTTTACAAACAGACACAGAAACAGAGACAGAGACATCTATTCATTTAGTTTTTCTGTCTTTTTTTTTGTTGTTGTTGTTGTTGTCCCATATTGAAGGCAACATTTATCTATATTTTTTTGTTTGTTTGTTTTTTCCATTCCATTTCAACAACCAAAGAAAACGTTTCAACAAATCTTGTTCAACTAGTTACCATAAAAGTCTATAATGTGTATGTGTGTCTGTAAGCATCCGTCCAATACTGTGTGTATGTATGCGTGTAGTTTGTTGCTTTTACCCCAAACATTATGATCATCATTATACACCGACACCTACACAAACAAACGAAACAAAAAACACACCGTTTTGGAGGAGAAAAGAAAAAAATTTTTGGCTTTTGCCATCTTTTGCTAAACATATATAGAGTTGTTTTTTTTTTTTTTTGTGGTGTGTTTCTATGCGAGACTAGATTGATCATCAACGCCAACGCATTGGATATAGAGATGAATGTCATATACGGTGTGTGTTTGTTGGTAATTTGAATGAAATCAAATTGGCAAAAGACGAGAACCATGATAATCAACAGTTTATGGTGAGAGATCGAGAGAGAGTGAGAGCTATATAATTCAATGGGATTCTTTCATTTATGAAAAAAAAAATTTGGTTCACATAATTTTTTGTAGAAAAGGGAAACAAATTATTACAAAAAAAAGCGCGCGCATTTAAAAAAAAATCCGCATCATTTTTTTTTTTTGTACAGAATCCGGATGCAACTTACTGTTGCTGTTCTGAATCATTCATTTATTCATTCACATTCATTGAGAAATATGAATTACACACACACACACATATTCTTCACATTTTAGGTGGACAAATGTTTTTCTTAAAAGGATAGTTTATGCTACGACAACAACAACAACAACCGCGGCATGTTGTTGCAAATATCGTCCGCAATATTGTTTGCAGTCTTTTTTCTTTGCTTCTGCCTTTTTTTTCATACACACATATACTGTGCTTTTGATATTGTTGATCATCATCATCATCATCGAGCCTAAATTTTGATGATATATGATAATAAACGAAGAAGAAGAATTTTGTTGTTGTAAAAAATTTTCATTCATTTATTTACAAAATAACAAACTGGGCGTGTGTGTGTGTGTGTGTGTATATAGAACATCACCATCACCATCAACAACAACAACAACAAACATCGTTGGTTGATTGTAAAAAAACATCTTCTCTTGTGATTAGTGTATATGATGATGAAAAGAAGAAAATTATTTGCCTGCTGCTGCTGCTGCTGCTGCTCTTGATCCTTTTTGGATTTAGTGATTTCAATTTGTGTGTTGAGGATATTTGTATAACATTAGAAAAGAAGAGATCATCATCAGCTAAACACACACACATACAAAGACAGATGGGTTTTTGACTTTTTTTTTTGGCTAAATTGTTGTATGTTTGTTTGTTTGTTTGTGACAGTGTGTGTGTGTGTGTGTTTTTATATATTCGGGTTCCACATTCATTCACAATCGTTGGTTGATTCAGTGCGTGTGTGTAAATTTGTCATTTTTTTTTGTGTCATCTATTTGTGTTTTCATTTCATTTCATTTTTTGTTTGAGGGTAATGGTCGATGGGTAATGTGTACCATGAGACAAACAAACACACACAGAGATGATGCTGTGAGAGGGCTTTGACCAAAGTTTTATTCTGCAAAGAAAAAAAAATCATCATCGTGAATTATTTATTGTGTGTGTGTGTGTGGTGGCGGTGATGTGATCAAAGTTCATTCAACGTTTGTATTTCATTGATTCTCGTACATTTTGAATTTTCATCATTGATCAACAACAATATGTGAATGAATAAAATCATATCTACTTTGGATCATCAACTTCCGTCCATTTTTTTTCTCCATCCAATTGGATTTTCATAAAAGTGCAATTTATCTATTCAATCAACACATGAAAAGATCTGTAACAAATCTGTAAGTAAATTTTTATATCGATTGTCAATGTCATTCAATCATTGTTGTTGTTGTTTTATTTCAATGATAATACTCACGGTAACCATTTGATTATTATTAATCATCATCATCATCGTAATTTCTATAATCAATCCATTATGGTTATAATTTTGGTTAAAAAATAACTTTTTTTTCTGGTTCATCATTTGTGATTTGAAATTTTTTTCCGGCATGATATCATCATCATAATGATTTTTTTCATTACAAGAATCGTAACAAAACAAAAATGCAACCAGATTATTTTTATTCATTACATGAATGAAATCCAAGTAATTATTCAGTAGTGTGTAAGAAGAAGAAGAAATCGGTTTCCAATGATTTCATATTTTCTATTTTTAGAAAAAAAAACAAACACACAGAATCTTTGTGTTTTTTTTCATAGGCGCTCAACCAAAAAAAAAAAAAAAAAAATTTTTCGCATGAAAATGTGCCAGAATTTTGCTAATTTTTTTCACACACACACAGAAGGAAAAAATCTATCGATGAATTTCGAATGCAAAAAAAAACCAGGCTGGCCGGCCATTTCAAATCAATTTCATTTCGGTCACATTCATTTGTGTTGGACTTTGTCCGTTTTCATTGTTTGCAGTCAACTTGGTTGAATCATTAACATTTGGTTTGATTGATTGAAAACACGTGTGTGTGTGTGTCTGTGTATCTGGTCTGTTTGCTTGACTTGCAAATTGTAAATGATGATTTACATATATATGACCCAACCGACAACACATGTCTATCGATATATCGATCTCAATATCATTAACGTTCATGATCTATGGTCATTCTTATTTCATTGTAATCGAATAATCCTCACTACACAAATCTAATAGAAAAATTATCATCATCACCATGATGAAAATCCTACGATACTTTGATTTCCATAAAACGAAACAAAACTAAAAAGCAAGAATTTCCATTTAAGGAAAGTTGTTGTTTTCATTAAAACAAGTTATTAGTGAGCGATAGAAAAAAGAGAGAGAGAAAATGATGATTTCTTATTTCTTTCAACTGACCAAGTTTTGTCCTTTTTTTCATTTCATCATCATCATCACTATAAACATCACTATTGATTGTCGCCAAGTTCCGGTGGTTCAATTCAAATTCAAAAAAAAAAGAATTTCCTAAAAAAGAATTTCATTCATCCATTCTCTAATATTAATGTCTATGAATGGCCATATAAATAATATAATTTGTATGTGTGTGTGATGAAAAGCTACAGCAACCGTGATGATGATTATCATAATTTGTGAAGATTTCACACGCAAAGATTTGTGTTGTTTTTTTTTTCCCAAACTTCAAACACCCACACACACACACACACGCAGACATACATAAACATAAACTAAATGATTAGTTTTGTTCGAAGAAAAAAAACCGCTCTAAACTAAATCAAATTCAATTGTAAATTTCAATATTCTAGAATCTAGATCATCGGTCACACAACATGTTTTTTTTGTTGTCCATTATTTTAGTGATTAAGATTTGCATGTTGTGAATATTTATAAACATTGTACACAAACACACACACATGCATGCACAATATATACATTGTAATAAAGTTCATAATCAGAATTTAGAAACTATTTTCTACCATATGTCATATGAATGGTATGGTCGATGAACAAACAAAATTCTTACCACTCACACACACACACATATCACAAACAGAAAATGACTTTTGACCTTTCTCTTGAATCACCAATCATCCGTCATTGTTGAATGAATGGCTTTTATTTTTATTTTCACCGTCTTCTACGATGATGATGATGATGATGAAATCTAAATGAACATAATATTTCTATTTCTATTTTTAAAACGAAAAAAAAAACACTGACCAATCTGACATCTTTTCAGTGTTTGTGGAACACCTGTTCATTCGGTTATTGATGCTACTGCTGCTGGACAATAACAACAAACACACATAATCTTGTTTTTCTTGCCAGAAATTTTCCAATAAATTAATTCGAATTCATTCGTTTTTTTTCGTTTCTCAACTTTTTTTTTTTTTAGAATTATTATTATCCACACACACACTGATGATGATGATGAAGGTGACAGAATCTGTGTGACTGACTGACTGAATGACTGACTTACCACCAACCAACCAACCAACCAACTATAACTTGTTCATTTACGACAACGCCGACATCTGAAATCACTGCCAAAAAAAAAAAAATTTTTCGTTTTTCTTCATCCCAAAAAACCTGACATACTTTTATTTTGTTTTTTTTTCCATTGAAACGATTTATTTCTTGTACAATCCGTCCGCCTACGAGCAACAGAAGAAGAAGAAGAAGAAGACGAAAATTCTTTCTTCCAATCGACGCACAAAATTGTGTGTAGTATTTTTTTTTCGTTACAAATTTTTTTCAATAAAAAAAATTTTCATTTCAAATCTCAAAACTTAACGACGAATATTCACATTAGCTAAACAAAGAATCCTGCCAATAATTAGAATCAAAAATGAAATTCAATACTGATCATCGGACGAATCATCATTGTTTAAAAATGCAACAAATTGAATGCCATAATCACCATCACCATCATCATCAAAGAAGATTTAATAATCAAATAAATTCAAATGCAATCAAGGCATTCCTCATATTTATGATTATCAATCAAATGATACAATTATCATTGACTGAATGTAAGTTATTGTTTTTTTTTTTTTTTGGTTCACAAATTAAATTTGAATTCAAATTTGATCCATTTTTTTAGATAAACTTAAAACCACCTATTTTGAATATAAAGATACATCACAAGCATTGAATGCACCATTCTCGGAACAATTACGTGATTCAAGGCTTTGTGTTGCGAAAACAACATGTGGTGATTGTATACGAACCAAAGAATGTTCATGGTGTAATGTACCGGGAAATTTTTCTGAAGATCGTTGTAATACAATGTATAAATTACAAGAAATGGGCTGTCCATCTATGCATCTTTATTCACCACAAACATCATTAGAATTGGAAGAGGATGAAGAATTATCGAATAAAACCGATGAAAATATGGATCCAATACAATTGAAACCACAACGTGTTTCGATACGTGTACGGCCACAAATACCGAAAACGTTTCAAGTTACCTTTAAACAGGCACTTGATTATCCTGTTGATTTATATTATCTTATGGATTTATCAAAATCTATGGACGATGATAAAGCCAAATTAGCCGAACTAGGACATGTATTGGCAGAGACAATGAAAAATTTAACGAATAATTTTCGTCTCGGTTTCGGATCGTTTGTCGATAAAATTGTTATGCCTTATGTTAGCATAGTGCCGGAAAAGTAAATCACATATTTCATTCATTTTTTTTTACTAATTTTGTTTTGTTTTTTGTCAGATTAATTGCACCTTGTTCTGGTTGTGCAGCACCATATGGTTTCAAGAATCATATGAGTCTGGATACGGATTCAAGCCATTTTGTTCAAAAAGTAAATGATACACAAATATCTGGTAATCTGGATGCACCGGAAGGTGGTTTCGATGCAATTATGCAGGCAATTGTCTGTCAAAATGATATTGGATGGCGTGATAAATCACGTAAATTGTTGGTGTTTTCCACCGATGCTGGTTTTCATTATGCCGGTGATGGTAAACTAGGTGGTATCGTTAAACCAAATGATGGTGAATGTCATTTAGATCGTGATGGTTTATACACTGAAAGTATTACACAGGATTATCCTTCGATTAGGTTTGTTTTTTTTTTTTTTTTTTTGAATTTTTACTAGTAATTTTTCATTTCATTTTCGTTTATTTTTTTTTTTTTAGTCAAATCAATCGTAAAGTTCGTGAACATCATGTGAATATTATATTTGCTGTGACGAAAGATCAATTTCATATTTATAATCAATTAGTTGGTGGCCATAATAATTCATTATCATTGATTGAAGGTTCATCGGCCGGTATGTTGGCCGTTGATTCATCAAATGTCGTACAATTAATTGTTGATGAATATCAGAAAATTACATCAGCCGTCGAGTTGAAAGATAATGCAACGAATAATATTCGAATGAGCTATGCATCGGAATGTTTAGGTCAACGAAAAGAATCTACAAGTGTTTGCAAAGGTCTTCGTGTTGGTGATAGTGTTGATTTTGATATCACATTATTAGTGGAATCTTGTCCACCGAATCGTCATGATTGGAAACAAACGATTAAAGTGTATCCAGTCGGTTTGAATGATGCACTTTATATTGATTTGGAAATCATTTGTGAATGTGAATGTGAAAAAGAAGAAAATCGCCAGGAAAAAAGTCCTGAATGTAATTATAAAGGTAGCTATCAATGTGGCATTTGTAGCTGTGATCTAAATCACTATGGAAGAAGATGTGAATGTGATGCTAAAGATTCGAATCCCGATGAAAAAGAAGCAAGCTGTTTTCGTGGTAATGATACAAAAGTTTGTTCTGGACGTGGTATTTGTCGGTATGTGTTTCGATTGTTTTTTCTCTTCATTAATTGATTAATCCGTTTTTTTTAAATTTCCATTAGTTGTGGTGAATGTGAATGTTCAAAACGTGATTCACCAGATGAAAAAGTGACTGGAAAATATTGTGAATGTGATAATTTTAGTTGTGATCGTTATGATGGTCTTGTTTGTGCTGGACCCGATCATGGAACATGTGAATGTGGTTCATGTAATTGTAAAGAACAATGGACCGGTACTGATTGTAGTTGTCCAGTTGGTAATGAACAATGTATAAAACAGGATAGTGGAAAAATATGTTCCGGCCATGGAGAATGTGTTTGTGGCCAATGTATTTGTTTTACAAATCAAACCGAACAATATACTGGACAATATTGTGATGAATGTCCAACATGTAAAAATCGTTGCGATGTTTATAAAGATTGTGTTGAATGTCAAGTATTTAAAACTGGCCCATTGGCTGAAGATGATTGCCGTAATTGTACGCTGAATCCTATAACTGTGGAAGAATTGGATACAAAAGAAGGTGAATTATGTGTCGTATGGGATGAAAATGATTGTGTATTCAATTTTAAATATAATTATGATGAACATGAAAATTTGGTCTATATCTATGCACAAGATAAAAAAGATTGTCCTGAACCTGTAAATATTTTGGCTATTGTTATCGGTGTTATTGTCGGCATCGTATTGATTGGCATTGCTTTCCTATTGATTTGGAAATTATTGACAACAATCAAAGATCGACGTGAAGTGGCACGTTTCAATGAAGAACGATTGAATGCTAAATGGGAAACGGTATGTGTTTTTTTTTTGTTGATTTATGCAAAATTTTTTTCAATTGAATTTTTTTTCGCATTTTAATTTTCCAAATTCCACATAGGGTGTGAATCCAATATTCAAGAAAGCAACAACCACATTCAAGAATCCTACATACAGTGGAAAATGATGATGATTATGACTTTCTACTTCTTCTTGTTCTTATAATCGTTGTGTGTCGTAAGGAAAATTTCCCGCAAAAAAAAACGCACAACTGTGATATACTATTGATGAAAAAGTTCAAACTGCAAAAAATCAAGTTTTAAATTTCAAAAAAAAAAAAAAATTAGTCGTCTTTATTATTCGTATCACACACGCATCAAAAATCGTTTCATCACAACATCTTGTATTGCTGCATATAGATTTCATTATATACTTATTTAAATGTTTGATAATTAATCTACACAAAATATGGTTGGACAAACTTTATGCATTTTTTTTTGATTTTGTGCCAAAAAAAACCCCGAAACAAAACAAAAATCATCCTGGACTGATTTACATAATTTTGCACTGTTTTTCAGCCTTCCGGAAATTATTTTTTTTTTTTGCATATTTATTTGGAAATTTTTCTTCTTTTTTTTTCTTGTTCATCATTATTCACCCATCACATGTCATCATTATCTGGTTTTTTTTTTATTTTTTATTATTGTATAAAAAAACAAAATAATAATTCTAATCAAATCATTCAAATCTCACAAATTTTTTTTTCTTGTTTCTCTTTTTTTTTGTTTTAATAAATTTACATTACATAATAATAATAATAGTGGGAATGGGAAAATGTTGATTCTTTTTTTTTTTCATTCAACATGTAGAATTTGGAATTTGTCGCTCTCAGTTCAGCCATAGAAACCACCATAATTGCCCAATATTTGTCGCAGTATGCCACGTCCACGTCCCCAAAGATTATATCGTAATCCTTTACCATATGGTAATGCCCAATATCCGGCACCGATACCGGTTCCAGCATAATAATGCGGTGTCATCGATACGATGTTGGTAATGGCCAAAATGATTGCCAAACACAGGATTAATGAATATAATAATGTTGATGGATTCATTTTCGTCGATTGATTCGTCTGATGATACTTTGTGGTTTTTTATTATTCGTTGTGATTCGTTGTTTTCGACTGATGACAAATATTTCAGAATTGGCGTCTTTATATATATGCACATCTGGAAAATTTGTTTCAAACAGAGATTGCTGTTGTTGAGGTCACCGGAACGATGTTTTTTTTGTTTCTTTTGTTTAAAAAAAACGGAAATTCCTTTTTTTTGTGCCAAACAAATATTGATGTACACTACAATAATGATGATCAAGGTTGTTAAAAAGTGAATGATCTGGATTTTGTTTTTGTTTTTTTTGTGTACTTTCTTCAAAGTCATGAAAAATTTGACCCCGGAAATTCATTGAATAAAAATGAATTTCCGTTTCGAATTGATGAAATAAAAAAAATTGGATCAATCAATCAATTAATAAACAATGACAAAATCAAAAATATTCGATCATCGATATTGATTGATTTATTTGCTTTTTCACTTTTGTATATGTGTGTGTTTGAAGATTGTTGTCTTGTAATTGTTGTTGTTGTTGTGGACAAAGACAAAGAAAATTGGCGGCGAAAAAAAAAAATAAATAAACATTTGGCGACAATAATCTTAACCTCAAAAAATGTGTGTTATACTAATCATCATCATCATCATCATTCGATTGTTAATCAGTCGTAATGTGTGTGTGTGTGTGTTGTGTGTGTGTGTGTGTGTATTTGTTATGTCTGCATTTACCGAATAAATTTTGCTTGGTATCGTCAAAACATTACCTGTGGTGTGCGTATGTGTCTGCCTGCATGCCTGCCAATTGTCTTGGTGTTTTCAAACTTTTGAATCTGAAAAAGTATTTATCGATTTTTTTCTTTTTTGTTTCTTTTCAAGAAACTCTAATCGTATGTCGGCTTATTCAATTCATTCGAATCATGTACAGAGAATAACATAAGACAATAACGAAAGGAATTTCAAAATTTAGTGTGTATGTGGTGGTATTGATGATGCTCGCCGTAGTTGGTGATGATCGCGGAATCTTTATTTTTTTTGAACTTGGAGGGATAAAAAAATCTGGTCATTTTTGGTTGCCACATTCCTGGTGGTTACTCTGTTACGCATGATTCGAATGAATTTTTTTTTTTTTATGACATTAACGAAAACGAGCAAAAAAAAAACCAGAAGAAATAAAATTAGTAAATGATGATGACAACGTGCTCATAACCCTATCTGTACTTTTTATCAACGTGTGTGTGTGTGTGTTTTTTTTTGTTTGTTGTGGCTATTTTTCTGACATAACCCAAACAAACACGCATAAACACAAACGCACACACACACAAAAACAAAGGCGGAGTGTAAACGACACTACCAAATATTTTTCATGGTCAATGCTATAACTTATAGTTTTTTTTTTATTTCGAAAAAAAGAGGTCGCATGCCTTTTGTTGACACGCAACCCTTGTTGTTCTTGTTGTTGTTGATTGATCATTGAAGAAAACAAAAAACGAAATTCTAAAAAAAACCTAGCAAATCTCCACACACTCCTCAAGTAGAAGCAGCAACAACAAAATTTGAATCAAATCGAGTTTGAGCCGTTTAAAAGTTCAACGTACTTGTCCATTAGTGTTTCATTCGTGAAAATTCATCAAGAAGAAAAAAAAAAACGCAACCAATTTGGTTTCACGTCTCAATTTGTTTTTTTCTGGTCTTCATGTTTGTTTATTATTTGGTGAGAGAAGAAGAAAAAAAAATTGTTTTTAATACCAATAGTCAAAATGTTCATACCGATTTTATTTCTTCCGGTCATTTTGATCCATTGCCGTTTGGTGATTGGTGCACCTGTTTCCGAAATCGATTCATCACCATCACCATCAACATTATTACCACCGTCATCGATAATAGTACCAACTGTTGCATCTGTACAAATATTATCAACATGTCAACCAGGACAATATTTTAAACGTGATTGTAAACTTTATATTAGCTGTGAAAATGGTAAATGGCGTAGAAATTTTTGTCCAGAAAATAAATATTGGAATCAAATTGCAAAAAAATGTGATGACATTCATAATGTGCCTGAATGTTATGAAATGTCTCTAGAAATACAACGTGATGCTAGATCAATGATGCAAGCTAAGCTGCGTTCATCCAAACAACAACCACAATCATCATTGTTATTGGGTAATAATCCAGTCGAAGAAGAAAAAGAAATTGAATATGATCCAAAAACAACGACAATGACAAAAATTCATCATCCAAATAATAATGATCATGTTGAATATGATGATGAATATGAAGAAGAATCAGAATATGATGATGACAATGACAATGATAATGAACAGAATCAAAAAAAATCGAAAATTGTGACAAAAATTTTGGAAAAACCATATTTCTCATCAAAAGATTATGAAGATTATGATGATGATACTGATGATGATGATTTTGAAGATGAAAAAACAATGGAAATTAATCAACCAAAACAATTATCACAGCCAACAAAACGAAGCCATAATCAAGATGAAGAAAAATTTATTAAAAATGATATCATTACTAACGATCGTATGGTGACAATGAATAAACGAAAAAAATCCAAATCCAATTATCAACGATCATCGACAATGACCACGACACCAATGATGAATACATATGGTAAAATTTGTATTGTACGTGGTAAACAAATTGAATGTCATGATGATGATGATAGCAGTGTTACCACGACAAGTAGTACTACGACGGCCACGACATTATCGACCACGACACCTGGTTCGATTGATGATGATCATCAAAAATCAGTCATTAATAAATGTAAAACCGATATCATCGATCATAATGATCAACGAAAAGTGCATTCATATTCATTTACAATTGAAATCAATATTGATGATCGAATATTTGAACGTATTGAACGTTTTATCAGACTTATTATCTATTATATTAGCTTTCAATTTATGTAAATTTGATTTGTTGTTTGATGTAAATTTTTTCTTTTTGTCACGAAAATACATTTTATTCATGTGTAAATAATATATCATTCTGATATGCAATTTCCAATAAAAAAAAACAATAAGCAATCAATTATGTCGTGTGTGATTTTTAATTTTCATTCAAATTGTTACGTAGTCTAGGTAAGTAGTAGGTAGACAAACGGCAAATTATTATTTTTCATAATTTTGGCACCAACGATGGATTATTATTCAACGCGAAACGGTGGTGGCTACTAGTTGTCGTCGTCGTCGTCGTCGTAGTCATCGACGTCGGTAGATATTTATGGTTTTTGTTTTGTTTGAACAACACAATAAACTCATTTGGCTCCAAAAACACCAAATTACCTTGTGCCATAATTTGAAAATTTTTTTTTGTTAATCCCCAATATTTTCAAGTTTTCTTTTCAGACTTGTAAGATTACAATCATTAACCACCATTTACTATATCTCTCTATTGCACAAAACAGTAAACAATAACGTAATTTATTGATTCAATAATCATCAATTTGGAAAGCCATTTGAACAAAAACGACAACGGCAAACAATTATTGTCTGACAATTGACTGTTGCCGTTGTTTTTTTTTTTTTGATTTTTCCCAAAATCTTTCTATCGATCCAATTGAAGTGATCCACATTTTCAAGTCTTTCATTGCTGTTTTTTCGGTTGTTAATTAGTATCGGAAACATTTTTTGTTCCGGAGAAATGGATTTTTCAAAAAAAAAAAAAAAATTCCTTTCTTCAAACACTTCTTGTGTGTTCTGTTGATTGATTATCACCACCACCACCATCATTGATGATCATCATGATGAAAATGAAGAAAAAAAAACATTTTCAAAAAAAAAGCGAAAAATTCCAATCATTATTGACATTTTTCATCATTTCTTTGGTCCAAATATACATACAAATAAAAAAAAAAACCTGTATAGTGGACCACCGAAAATGTCACCAAACAGGAAAAAAAACAAATATAAAAGATATAAGTGTACGTTATACGTCATTATCAATGGCCAGAAGAAAAAAATGTTTTACCTATCAATCTCAATTTTTGTTTGTGTGTGTGTTTTGCAAAGATCTACCATTTAGATAAGGAATTGATTATCGTTGTTGTTTCAGTGAAAGACCAAAAAAAAATTCCGAGATTTTTTTTTCTGGTATGATAAAATCTATGGAAAAAAATATATAAAAATGCGAATGGCTAATTGGTAAATATGGATTCTTTTTTGTTCAATAAAATTATATCTGATCGTTTCGTTTCATTGCGTTTAGTTTTTTGGTTATCGAAAATAAAAACATAAACAGATCAATAATCAATAATAATAATAATATTTGAGCAATTAGGCATTATTGGGTCACATGATCGATTGTTGTTGTTGTTGACTAGAAAAAAAAGAATTTGAATTATAAGCGGCTTTTGGCTCTTTCTCTCTTTCATTCTCCATGTTTTTTTTTGTTTCGTTTTTTCCACCGAAATCCAGATTATTCCTATTTGTGTGTGTGTGTTAGGTTGCCTGATTCATTTTCATAGATTATCATCCAATACAGTTTTATCTTACTGCCATCTTTTTTGACTCTAATTGCATGTAAAAACATACGATTCACGTGAAGAACAAAATTTGTGTGTACGTAGCGAAAAAAAAGTAAAGTTTTATGACTAACTGGAAACAAAGCAGAAAAAAAAATATTCACCAGAAAACGCTAGATTCCAAATGATGAATGTTTACCCTATTTACATACACAGGATTCTTCTTTCGATTTTTGAGTTTCCAAATTTCCAGAAAAAATAAATCATTTTCAAATGAATGAACAGCTTAATTTGAACACACCAAAACAACCAGCAAGCAAATAGAAAAAACCATTGAAATCTGAAAAAAAAACAATGCAATCATCTGTCAATGATGATGACGATGATGATGATCTGTTGAAAATTTTTTCTTTTTTTGCCTTATCGGATTATTTACTGATAGTGAAATATAGAGATTGGTGAATTTATAATGGGTCCTTGATGATGATGATGATGATGATGATCATAGGATGTCAATGAACTAAATTTTTTGTTTCATTATGTTAAAATGAAGGTTTCATCGACATAAATGATATCGTTGTGTGTTGTTGTTTCTCTATCATTGACCGATGATTGTCATCATGATGATGATGATGATTTGCACTGTCATTTCAAGTGGTGGTGGTGGTGGTGGTTTTTTTTTCTTGCCTCAAATTATGGTATTCATCGGTTTTTATTTCTGTAAACAATTCAAGTCAAGTCAAAAATCGAATCAACTATCAAGAATCATGCTGTTATATTGTTGACAAACAATAAGTTGATCAATATTACCAACAGCAACAACAACAACAACAACAATCATCATCATGTTACCAACAAATGAAATTGTATTGAAAAACAATCCATTAAAACGTTTTTGGAATGAAATACGAGAATTTTTGATAATCAAAGATTATAAACAACAACAATTACCAGCATGTCGTCCATTAATAACATTTCATTCAGTGTTTGCAACATTTCTAATAACATCGATTTCATTGTTAACCATTGGCATCGGTTTCATGTGCATATCATATTATGGTGATCAAATATTTCGTATCGATTACACGGATTGTATACCATTGTCAGGTAGCCGATCATGTTCACAAATATTAACCGATTGGCGTAATAGATTTGATGGCCGATGGCCACCACCTGAATGTATTTGTTGGTACAAATTTAATCTACCAGAATCATTACATTCAAATGTTTATGTTTATTATGCATTGAAAAATTATTACCAAAATCATCTTCATTATACTAGATCAAAAGATTTTTCACAATTTCATGGCTATCCAAGTTTACATTCTGATTGTGAACCATTTCGTTATAAATTGGTTCGATCAATAAATAATAACAAAAATGGAACATATGGTAACTGGGAATATCGTGGCATCGTTCCGTGTGGTACACGTGCCAATAGTTTATTCAATGATACCTATACATTGTGGTTTATGGATCATGGAAATCGTACAATACGAACAGTGCCATTAAGTCGTACAAATATTGCCTGGCCAGTGGATAGAGCCATAACAAATGCAATTGATTATGATGTTTTCCGTAATTTTACTAATCCACCATATTGGGGTAATAAAACAATATTGGATCTGGATCCAATGAATCCAGACAATAATGGTCTACAGAATGAAGCATTAATTGTTTGGATGCGTGTGGCAGCGTTTCCTGATTTTCGTAAACTTTATGCACGAATCATTCATCGTCCACGATCAACGTTTGCACGATCATTGCCAAGTGGTCCATATTATCTGAAGATTGATTATAGTGAGTAGTAGTAGCAGTAGCAGTAGACAAAAATCCTGGATCTGATTTATAATTGATTCATTCTTTATAATTCATTCTCGTAGATTATCCTGTCAAAGAATTTCGTGGCCGTAAAATTTTCATGCTTGCCAATACAAATAAATATATTGGTGGTCCATATGCATTTTTATCGATCATTTATTTGGTAGTCGGTTGCGTTTGTTTTGTTTGGACATGTATTCTGTTTGCTTTTCAACGACGATTCGGTAAAAGTGATCGTGAATTATCAAGGATCGATGTTCGTACACCGTATCTATATGATTCGGAATATGAATCACAACGAAAATATCAACGACAGAAAATTAAACGCCAACATCAATATAAACGGCAACAGCCAAATTTTGAATTGAATTATCGATTTTGATCATTATTTCTATAATATCTGTCTGGCTCTATGTGGTTATCGTTTGTAAATACCAGCTACCACAGAATCCAAGGCGACATTTTTTTCTTTTCCTGTCCACCTCTCTTTATGATAAAATACCAGAGCCAGACACACTATAATGAATAATTCAACGAGAATTTAAATCGGAAAAAAACCAAGACTGCTTTTTTTTGCAATAAAAAATGGGAAATATGAATTTTTTTTATTCAAGAATTCATCAATCAATTTTCTCATCATCATCATCATCATCATCGTCATGATAAGAATGATTTGAAATTTTTTTTTTCAATTTCCATAGAAAATGCACATATATTTACAATGAATTTTAACAACAAAAACTGTGTGAGAAGAGAGAGGAGAGAGAGTTATTACATGAGATCTCATTTTTTTCTGACAAGAATCAACAAGATTCTTGAATAATGATAATAACAATAACAATATCTCATTGAAACGTAAAACGTAAAGGTGTGTCAATCAAGTTTGATGATGGAATCCAGTGCATATCGCACACACACACACACACACACACACACATCAACTAGATTATTTTCATCAATCATTCAATAACATGGCAAGAATAATGGCAATAAAGAATGTCAAGTCCAGCCTGTCTATCGCTTTCTCATCTCATCATGATAGTGGTTCATTTGATTCGATTCAACACAAACACACATAGACACTCATTCTCTCCCAATGGGTTTCAAAATCATGTAGTTGTGTCGTGTGTGTAAGCCATAAAAATAATATAATGTCATGTGTTGTTTGGACATATTATGTTTTACCTATCTAATGCCATTGCTGGCAGCTTGAACTGCTGGAACAACTGGAATTTTCATTATTAGTTTTATCAAAGAAAAAAAAATTCCAATTTTGGGCATTCATTCATTGGTTGAATAATATATACTCTGTTACTTCCGATCCATTTGTCTGTCACAAACTAAATCGGGATACACACATACACATACACACACACACACAAACATAAACTATCTCTATCTCTTGATAGTTTGTTCCCGTTCGTTTTTTGTTGTTGTTGTTGTTGTTGTTGTTGATCCCGTTGTTCTATTTATTACGTTCGAGAGATGTTTTGAATTGAATCGTTATCAATTTAGAATTGTCCATTATTGTTAATACCATTCAATCGTATTACTGAAATTGTACATATTGGCAATTGGCCACCATTGTTTGATGATGATGATGATGATGATGATTTTTGGCTCATTGATCTTTTTGATGATGATGATGTTGATGGTGGTGGTGGCGGTGGCTGTGGTGATGGGTTATCGCCAATAATGATACCATTTGAAAATGATGATGATAGTTGTTGTTGTTGTTGTTGCTGCTGCTGCTGCTGGCGATATGATGAACGATAATTATGACTATGATAACAGCTATGATGTCCACTATTATTGGCCATTTTATTATTATTGTGTCCACAGATTTTTCTTGCCAAATCACGTAAATCTATCTAATATAAGAATGAAAATCCAGGAATTGGACGGTTTTAAAATATAAAAAAAAACTGTAAACTTACTCGAAAACTTTTCGACATGAATGAATAGATAATTGGATTGACAAAACTATTTGCCATTGCCATCCAATGGCAAACAAAATAGCTTGCAATATAGAAATTATTGCTTGATGGATCATGTATGAATAACCATTCTGGACTGTACGTGATCACTGTCATCAGTATTTTAATTGGTGACCAACAAATAAGAAACAATATGACCACTGCAACTAACATACGGATTATCTATACATAATTTTTTCATTCATTCATTCATTCGTTTGTTGGAAAAAAACAATTAGTTATTTTAAAGCGAAAAAAAAATGAACCATACCCTGGTCATATCACGATTTTGTTTGGCAAACGATTGTGATGATTGTAGATTATCTTTAAATAATAAACAACGGATTATTGATGCATAACAGATTGATTGTATGATTAATGGCAATCCAAATGTAATCATCACTGAACTTATATTGTACCTATATCATTTGCAGATTATTATTTTTCATTATAAACAGAAACAAATACAAATCAATATATCTCACTTACCATCTACTTTCATATAGCTCATGATCTGGACGACAATCCTGATATGTTTGATTATCCCAGACAAATTTTTCAATTTTTGTATTCGGTATAGATGCCCATAATATGCCCAATAGCCAACCGATTATTAAAATGTATTGACTTTTAGCCATTAGCCATTTATTCTGATTTGATAATGGAAATTTTACGGCATAATATCTGTTTATAAATACAAAATAACAAAACAAAATGAAATGAAATTGAAATGAAATTCTTTCAGAATGTTGTACCATTTGAATTCTGGTGCTCTTGTGGTCATGTATAATTAATTATTGTTGGTTTACCAAATACACAATCATACACATATAAACTACAAGCGATTAAATTAAATTGCCAACTGTTGTCGTATCTGTTGCAATTGTTTCGGTTGTTTTTAATTAAACCAAAAAAAAACGAACGAACGAATAACATTGTACCAACAACAACAACAACAAAAACAACGAAAAGATTAGATTCGGATTTATTTGTGACAAAAAAAACCTGGAAAAACAAATCCTAGATGTTTGCTGTCATTATTGTCGATTTTTGTTGTAAATAGTTCAAGAATTCAATTGTCAATATGAACCGAAAAACAAAACAAAAATAATTCTTGTTTTGTGTGGTGAATGTGTTTTCATAGATAACCGAGCAAAAAAAAAAATTTGTAATTACAATTCTTCAATGATGACAACAAGCTGTTTCATCATCATCATCATCATCATTATCATCTTGTTTTGTTGTTTTTCTTATTAAAAAAAAGAAAAAGAAAACGATTTCCACTTGGAATATTATCATACTCTGGTGGCGGCGGGTGTATAAAAATGGTACAGAATTTATGGTTGACGTGATTATTTCACATTCACTTTCATTGCCTGATGTTTTTTTTTTTTTGTTTTGTTTTGTTTTTTCGTTGCTCTAATTGAATAGCAGATAAAATTAACTACTTTGTTTGTTTGTTTCGTGTGTGCTCGTTTGTGCAAACAAATTATATTTTCATCATCTTTTATCATCATCCATGGAGTGATGGCCACTTTTGTTTTTAAATATTTATTTTTAGCCAAAGAAAAAAAAATTTATTTATTTTTCTTATTTTCACTGAATGAATCACTGAATAAGAATAACGTCAATCGATTAGTTTAGCCCCTAACTATGTAACCGAATAATGGTCCCAAAAGATTTCCATTGTTATAATTGAATTCTATATATCTATATTCGGCCATATGATGAAATTCAATTCACGGCAATCAACAAAGAATGGAAGAATTGAGAAGATTTCCATTTAACAAAAAAAAAAAAAATTCAGTTGCCATGATCGATAATTTTCTTTTGATTTCTCTTTTTTTTTTTTGGTTTTTGAAAATCAAAATTCTTTTCCAAAAATCATCATTAAGCATTAATAGAGATTGAACGAATTTTGATTGATCGATTTTTTTTGTTTTGTTTCAGATGACGACATTTGAAACAAAAAAAAAAATTACCCGAAACAAATGAAAATGGTGACTATGTTCATTTTTTTTAAACGGCAAAAAAAATATATAATTCTTATTACCGATTCCAGAATTAATAATTTCCCAAGAAAAATGAAACAACAAAAAATAAAAGAAATCTAAACGAAAAACATTTCACAGAAGTGAAGATTTGCAATTCTAACACACACACACACACACACATATGTTAATTATTATTTTAATGATTGTTTCTGGCCCAAAAAAAAAAAACAGAATCGAAATCAAAATGAAAACATGATTTTCTTTCCATCATTTATTCAGCCATATGATTATTTTTGAGAGAGAGAAAAAGAGAGAGAGCGAGAGAAAAATTAATTATGCTGTATGTTTGTTCGTGAAAAGAAACGACCAGTTTTCAGTTGTTCAATGCGATGATTTTACTTGTTTTGAATAAATCCGAAACACACACACACATGTACCACGGGTAGACCAAAATCATTTTGATGAATTATGATTATCACCCAGCAAAAAAAAAAAAAAATTCATTTTTTTTCGTTATCCTTAACCGTTTGGTCACGGATTCTTATGAAAAGAATATTTTATTTTTTTTCAAAACATACAAAATGTCACATAATCCTGAAAATAACAATGTTTTTTTTTTATTCCAGGCCTATAAATCCTAGAATCATAATTTACGATTAATACACACACACACTAACCGTACATGTACAGAATCAGCCAATCAAATTGAATTGGTTGAAAGAACGAAGAATAAAAAAAAATAGATTAATTTTCTCTTTATTGCAATTGGTACAATCATGATTCAAAGAATACTTTTTTTTTGAAAACAACAACAACAACAACAACAATGAGAATTCATGTGACAAAAATCATCAGACAAAAAGTGAGAGAGAGAGAGATTTCATTTAATATTTTTTTTTTTGTTTTGGTTTGTTTATGTTTTGATTCCTCATTCCATGGAAATAATATTGTTTTTGTCCAAAAAAAAAAAAAAAATCCGATAATTTGATTTTTGTTTTCTTCTCTCTCTCTCTCTCTCTCTCGAAACTGATGTTTTTTTTCTGCTACTGAATTGGATTAGATTTTTTTTTTTTTGTGTTCGAAATATTGCCAATATTTATCGATCGGTAAAATAAACAAACGAACGATGGAATAATCTATTGTGAAAAATTTTATTCAAAATTTTAGTGATGATGTGTTCTTGTAACCACTGCATAAATGTTGTTGTTGTTGTTGTTTGCTATTCAATTTTTTCGTTCTTTTGAAAAGAAAATTGTTTTCCACCATCATCATCGTCGACACAACAAACAACTCTCTCTCTCGCTATCTGCATCAAACAATACACGGATGGATTATTGACAATGTTTCATTCAATTCAATTCTTACATGAGAATCTCATTTTAAAACGGATAAAAAAAAACTTGTTAAAATTTCCTGAAATATAACAATATATAAAATAAAATATAAAATACAATAATCTAATCGTGAAGCGGAGAAAAAAAAAATTTGAAAATTTTTCACTTTTGTTCATGTTCATGTGTGTGATTATTGTATTGTAAATAAATTTTTTTTGTGTCGTTTTGCAGACTGGAAAAAAATGATGATGATGGACACGCGTACATGCAATGCAATATCGCATTTGTCATTTTATCATTCACACACACATTCGATTTATTGTTGTTGGACAAAAAAAAAAAAAAAAAAAAAATAAAACTTGAGGCAAAATTTTCATTTGTTATTATCATTTTATTATTATTATGAATGGATAGATAGGACAGACAAACAAAAGAAAAACTTGATGATGATGTCGACACATATTTGACAGAAGAAATGTTGAATTCTTTCTATTGTCAATGAACAAAAAAAAAAAAATGAATGACAATGGTGATGGCTGATTTTTTTTCTCTTTCTCTCTCTCTCTCAATTCTGTTATTCAGTCATTCATTCATCATGAAATTTTTTCAATTTTGTTGCTTCTCCAAAATCATTCGTGGTTTATTCTGTGTTTTCTGTTTATCATTGTGAGTAAATAGTGTGTGTATGTGCTTGACATGTGATAATTGAATTTTTAATTTTTAATTTTTTAATTTAATTAATTGTAATTAGTAGTACTTACCGTTCAATACTGATTACTGTCAATGTAAATGAAGTAATGAATATGGACAATATCTGTATGAATTGTGCCCATGGACAAAGCCATGGATAAAATATCCAACGACCAAACATAAAATCTGTATATGTAAATGGTACAGAAAATACGCCGAATAATATGTCACTAATGGCCAAATTTATGAGAAATTTTCGCAATGATGCTGCCGATCGTCGACCAAATATTTCGACAATAATGACCAGAATATTGCCAACAAACGCTAATACAGATGTAGCTGAATAAAGTACGACTAGTATGGTCCTTGTTGGTCGATCCAGAATCTCTAGCGTACTTATATCATCAAAATTGTTGATATTGATACTGCCATTGTTCGCTGTTGTTGTTGAATTATTATTACCAGTTATGTTCATATTATTGAGCCAAAATGGATCCATTTTTTTTTATTGAGAAATTATCGTTTTTGATTGTTCAATTTAATTTCTAATATATCAACCATTCGACATTTCCACGATGAGCATTATATGAAATCCACAAATTGAATGCAATTGGCCAGAAAAAGAATTACGCACACACACACACACACATAGGCTACAAATTTGTTCTGATGATGATGGTGGTGGTACACAAGTGGTTCCAAACAAGAAACGACGAATGACTAGTCTTGCTTGCTTGATGAACGTTGATTGATCCTGTAATGGATCGGCACAATTTTTGTATCCTTGTGTTTGTCGTTATTTTTTCAACCATTTGTTTGGTTGACGCCGACTCATATCATGAATGTTATGGAATTTCTATCCTCGAATAATAGCCATGAATCGAGAACCCTGATGGTTGCATATTTCACACGCACACACACACACACACACACACACACGCATACATTCCATATTGAATCGTATGATAGTGGTAGACGTTGTCGAATACACAGAAGCAATGAAATGAGAAAATGAAAAAAAAGAAAAAATTTTCCTCATGATAATTCATCATTCATGAACATCATCAATGACCAATCGGCCAATTGTTGTTCAAATGAATGACACACTGCGCACCTTTTTCATATTCTGCAATCTGAATGAACACTCCAAAAAAAAAAAAAAATTTCAAAAGCCAAATAAATCGATCTGTAATTCGATTCATGATTCATCAACAATGGATTGCCGTTTCTTCATTTCATTGAAAAAGGATTTTTATTTTGTTCACATGATCATTCCAAGTGGAATGTACCTGTTTTAGGTTTGCGATTTCGTTTTTCAATTCAATTCCAACTTTTATTTACCAACATTTACAACAACAGAATATTCTAATTTTTGTAAAATTTTTCCATTAAAATGAAAATAAATCAAGCACACGTGAAAATGTTGATGTAAAAAAAAGTTAATTTAAATTTCAAAAATAGACACTTATTTATTCAATCATGCGAATAAATATCTAAGAATGAATGTTGCTGTTGACATAGACAAAATACCAACACATTAAAATTATAACAATGATAACGAAGGAAATGCATTCCCTTTTGCCGAAAAACAACATTTTCTGTCTACAAATTGTTGTTATTTCCGTTTACGAATATGAATATGGAATATGAATTGGATTCCATGTTGATGAATTTTGTCGTTATTAATATTCACTTATTTATTATAGTTTTGCATGATTGCTTATAAAGAATTCCCAGAATGATTATTTTTCCGGAAATAACATTAAAACTACAAAAACAAAACAAAAAAAAAACTCATGAACATGGTACAAGATCAACGGAGCGCAAAGTAAAAAAAGAGAAGATTTTACATCACTTTCATAACAAGAAATTCACCAAGAAGATCAGTGAACCATCAATTATTCAAAAAAAAAAAATTCGAATGATTAACAAAAAGATCTGTGCTGCCATCTAGTTTCTGGGATTCTATCAATCAAGAATTACAAATTCACTGAAAAAAATTCTTTTTTTTTATTCTTTTTAAAACAAATTTTGTATTTATAAAGAACCGCTAGGTATTTGTGTGTGTGTGTGTGTTTGTGTATTAAGGAAGAGAAAAAAGGTGTGGATAATGTGTTCTATTGACAAATTGACCGAAAATTGTTTGAAATAAAATTAGGCGGCGGCGAGCATTTATTTTCATTTGTTTGTTTTGGTGATCGGTTATTTATTTATTTTTGTTGTTGTTGTTGTTGTTGAAGTAGTAATTATGTCAATCTTTTTGCTTTTTGATATAATGAATCGACAACCTTTCCAATACTATGTATTGTTTCCAATGCAGCTGTATATGTTTTATCCGTTGGCTGATCATCGAATATGATCAATACGCCTTCAAATTGATCGAGAATACCGCTAAATTTTTCATCCAAAATCATTTGTGATAATTTTTTTTCAATCTTATCTTTAGGCAATTTTATTAATGATGCTATGTAGGCAACCTAGACATTTGAAAGAAAAAAATGATAATCAAAAAAAAAAAAAAAAAAAATACCATTTGTTGAACACATACCTCAACCCGTGAATAAGGCTCAATAAGACGACATAGATTCTGTTCCAACATTGTATCATAAAGTGAATTCAAATGTGCTTTTATGATTGGATCATCACAAAGCTCTTGTTTATATGTTTTTAATGCCTCCTGATAGGCATGTAAACTACGATCATGGCTTGATTTTGCTATTGCTTTCATTGCTTCGATATTAGGTCCAGAATATTTTAAAGCTAATTTTCCAACTGTTATGGCTGGTACATCATCGGCACTGTATTTTTTTTATAACGAAAAAATAACGATTATGATTCAAAATTGCCAATTTTAGTAAAAACAAAACTTACCTATTGAGCATGATCTTCGATAATAACATGTATTTCAAAGCAACTGTGGCTTTATTTGTTTGATCAATAGAATCATAGCTTTCAAAAGCTTCATAAAAATATGAAAATGCCGTTTTAAAATCACGTTCATCGGCTGCATGTAGAATACCGGATTGTAGATCAAGTTCGGCTTGAAGTTTCGGTGGACAATAGATCGCATTGGCTGTGGTACGTGCACTAGTTAATGCTGCACGTGCTTTCTGTAGATTCGATAATGCATGATAGGTTTTACTTTCAAGAAGTAAAACTTCTACCAAAAGATTTTTATCATCAAGTTTTTTCAATTCCCGTAACAATGATGAACTTAATTTCAATGCATCGGGATAATTTTTCAGGTCATAATAAAGAGCAATAAGACGTGTTTCCAATGATTGCCGCAATAATGATCGTTTCTCTTCTTTAGCCCATTCAATACATTCAAGACATAATGAAACCTCGACACCATGTTTAGTGTTCATTTCCAGAAATAAATCCACTAAATGTCGAACAATTTTGGCTGCTTTTGCTTTTGAAAATGTTTTTAGTACCGGTCGAATTTCACGAATAAATTTTGCCAATCCTAACAGAGAAATGTGATTATCATATATTCCAAATATAGAAAATTTTAATTTTTTTTTCTTTGAAACTCACCTTCGGCATTTCCACTTTTGCTCATTTTTTGTCCTTGTTCCATAATCTTATTTTCTTTTTCTTTGCTAACATCTTCATTTTCATCGGAATTCGGGATTATAGCTAGAATTTAAAAGCAAAAAAAAAAAAAAATGACGAAAAAACATCAACAAAAATTGGAAAATAAATCAACAAAAACTTACAAAAATTTTTCATTTTTTCAACATCAAATTCATCATATTGTTTACGTTGTTTATTAAATTTTTCTCTATTATCGACAATCATATCGATTGCGGCCATAATTTTAAAAAAATGAACAGAATCAGAATCACAATCACAATTATTCTAGCAAATTTTTTTTTGTTGTAACGAATTCAAATTCAAATTTTTATTAAAACTAAAATTCTTTGTTTGTTTATGACGCAAAAATAAAAACAAATGAGCCAAGGATTTTTTTGACTTTAAGACGATTGTTTTTTTTAAAAAAATAAAATACTCATTCAACGCAACTAACACACACACACACACAATTGCATGACTTGACAAAAACTTGCAATGAAAAATAAGAGAGAGAAAGAAAGAAAAAAAAATGCCGCGTCCATTCATAAATGATGTGATGTAATTAGATTTTTTTTAATTTTTTTTAAGCATCAATTTTTTTTCACAATTTTCACAAAACACCAACGCATTTTAATACCCACCTTCCACCAACGGTGTCATTGTCCTCTTTCAAGATCGAATTGAATTTACCAGAAGAAAAAAATTTACCACCAAATTCAACAAATCGAAATGATATAATGTTTTAAAATCCCCAGTATTATAATATAATCGAATTCGAATCTAATTCGATTTTTAGAATTACAAAATTAATTAATCAATGTATTATTGTGGCTGTTATTCATTAAAAATGGATTCCACATTTATTGCCATCATCATTCTGAAGCTGATTATTGTGGCTGCTATTCATTAAAAAAATAACACGTTATATATGAAAGGGATTCCACATTTATTGCCATCATCATTCTGAAGCTGATATATTTATTGTTTGACAATATACAACCAATCCATACACTTGAAAATGGTTTGGCAAAGACACCGCCAATGGGTTGGTTATCATGGGAAAGATTTAAGTGTCAAATTAATTGTCATCATTATGATGACACCAATCATAATAATAATAATAAACTAGCTGGTTGTATTAGTGAAAATCTTTTCACACAAATAGCTGATACACTTGTTGAACGTGGCTATCAACGTGCCGGTTATGATCGTATCAATATTGATGATTGTTGGTCAAAAAAATCTCGTGAATTAGATGATGGCCATTTGTTACCAGATCCAGATCGATTTCCAAATGGTATCAAATATCTTGCTGATTATGTTTGTATTTTGTAATTTGTCTTCGTATTCCAAAAAAAGACAATTAATTTCGTTATCATCATCATATTCAATAGATGCACGAACGTGGCTTGAAATTGGGAATGTATCAAAATTATGGTCATCGAACGTGTATGGGTTATCCTGGTATATTGGGACACCTGGAACAGGATGTTCAAACATTCGCCGATTGGGACGTTGATATGATCAAATTGGATGCTTGTTTTTCGCCCAAAACATCACAATTGGATAGTGGTTATATGAAATTTCGTAAGATTGTAGATAAAACTAAACGGCCAATGATTATATCATGTTCATGGCCATATTATCAAGTGTTTGCTTCGAAAGTTCATATCATACCGAAATGGGATCTAATCTCGATGAATTGTAATCTATTTCGTGTTTTTCATGATATCACAAGTAATTGGAAAGTGATTCAAAAAATCATTGATTTTATGGGCGATAATCAACAAATATTTCGTGCTATTACCGGTCCTGGTAGCTGGCCTGATCCAGACATGGTAACATAATTCTTGAAAAAAATTCTCTCTAATTAATTAATTTCATTTCAATTTCAAGCTTATGATTGGCAATGTTGGACTTTCAGTTGCACAGGCTGAATCACAAATGGCCATTTGGTGTATACTACCAGCACCATTATTCATGTCTAATGATCCTCGTGTTATGGAACCAGAATTCGAGAAAATATTGTTGAATTCAGATGCCATTTCAATCAATCAGGACGTGAATGGTGAACCGGGCGAAAGATTTTTCCACAACACTACAATGGATTTATGGCGACGATCATTAAGTGAAAATCAAATGGCATTAGTCATTTTAAATCGTGATTTTAATCAAGATTTACAAATATCCATTCCATTGGAACAAATTGAAAGTAATGCATTTCAACATTATCAACATGTACAGGTTTTGAACATATTTTCCAATGAAAAATATCAAATTCGACGACAACGAATGGCCGATAATCGTACGGAAACATATATAAAAGTAATTGTGGAACCAACTGGTTGTGTATTTCTTAAATTAACACCATTGAAAAATTGATTTCCATTTCAAACTAGAAAAAAATTTTTTTTCGTCTGTGATATCTGTGTTTTTTTTTACAAATACAAAATTTGATTTTTGACTTCTAAAATGAAAATGGTATTTACAATTTTTTTTTTCGTTTCTCTATTTTAAATTTTCAATATATAAAATGACCATTTGATGATTATATGATGATGATGTGTTTGATGATGAATGGAATTCATTTATATAAAAGCAACACAAACTGATTATATATTGTTGAACTAAATATGATCATCATGCAAATGCGAGTCAATCAATCGGGATTAAATTGATCGCTTATTTTGTAATAAATGTCATTTAAACTTGATTGTATATCAGTTGTTGTTGTGTTATCAATTGAATTTTGTTTTTCATCCATTGGTCTTTCTTTATTAGGACTAGATGCTGAATTTGATGAAATTGACAGAGATTCTTCATCGATTGTTGTTGGTGAACAAATTTCCATTGGTTGATGTTGATGTTGTGGTTGTTGCATTTCACATTCACTTGTATCCATTTGTGATGAATTACGTGAATATGATCGTCGTGGTGATGGTGTACGACATAATCGTTCCATTAATGTTTGTTCAGTAAAAAATGGAAATGATTCACGATATATTGGTGTTGCAATCGGTGTTGCTGGTAATGATGAACGAAATACAGCTCTTGCCGGTGGTTGTTTGATAATATTCAAACCTTCCATTGATTCCATATGTAAACGTTTCAGGTGACGAAAATGATGTGACATACAAAACATTGTGTTGAAAAATATTCCAGATGATCCTCGTCTACAATGCGATGAACGTGATGGTGTATTCATTTGTGAAAATGATGTTGTTGTTGCTGTTTGCGATGATGATGATGAAATTGTTGCCGATGTTGTATGAGATGTTGGACGAACAAAATTTTGAAAACTAAGACCAGTGGTTGTTGGTTTTTTGAATACATTCGAATTACAATCTTCATCAATCTCCATTATGCTTTTTTTATGAGATAGAATGATAATCCAAAACTGTTTATCAAACAAAACAGAAAAATCATCAATGAATTTTCAAATGAAAAAGGAAACATTACCTTTGTAACACAGAGTGGAATGATGAGGATATAAAATTCAGTCAGTCAAATCCAAGTCATCATCATCATCACAACAACAACAATGGCTATAATGCGTTTCAATGGGGGCAAATGATTTGACTCTTATGGATTTCAGCAGCAGCAGCAGCAAAAAAAAACGTTTTTTTTCTGTGTAAAAGAGAGTGATACTAAAATATGGAAAAATGAACGATGAGCTTAAGAGATTGAAGAAGAAAAAGAAGAAAAAAAAAAATCAACTAGGTGGAAATTATTTCGTTTGACCGAAAAAAAAACCGATTGTGTGTGTGTGTCTGTGTGTTTTTGGTTATTAAATCAGAAAAATCCTATCCTATTATATTCACACAAACACAGACAAAGAGAAAAAAAAATCCAATGACGAAGCTTGATTATTATAATAATAACAATAACCGTAAATAAAGGGTCAAATGTAGATCGATTAGGATAATCATCATAATCATCATCAAAACAGGTGAAGAAGAAAAAAAAACATAAGCTCAATTATTCATGTATGCATGGTGGTGGTGGTGGTAATGTTCACACACACACACACCATCATCAAGATTTGGGTCGGAAAAAAAGAGAGAAAAAAAGTGCATTGTATTTTTACCAAAAAAGTTTAAATGATAATCGTGTGTAGTTTCATCACACATGGAGATGATTTATAGAAACAATCAATGGCTGATTGGTTGATTGATTGATTGATTGATTGAAGGAGAAAGTCAAATATTGATTTGGTGGTGATGATAAAATGATGATAATGATGTGGCTCAATCAATAAGCATATTCAATTCATATATGAAATTGAGTTGAAATTAAACATACAAACACACACACACAAAACATACAGAATACGAATGTGTGTTCGTGTGTATGTGTTTGGGAAGATTGGCCATTTGAGCTCAATGATTCTTCATCACACACACACACACAGAATAGGTAGGAATTTAATTGAAAAAAAAATGAAACTATATAGCACCAAATTTTCAAATTGGAATTTTATTCATTTTTTTTTAAATGTCTTTGATCTTTTTGCTACGTTGGAAACGCCTACAACAACAACAACAATGTCCAACACACAGAGACTTTGAATTCATCTTTAAAATCACGAATATTTTTTGTTCAATTAATTATTTATCATCATCAGTTTTTCCTTTGAAAATCTTCATCAAGATTGTAATTTGATCTTGTTTGTTGTTGCCAACCGTATGCCATTCATATAGAACGTATGGTTCGGTTTTTTTTTTTTTGCAAAATCATGTGTGCATAAAATCTCGAAAACACACACACACACACACACGTATTTTGGTATTCGTTTTGGTTCTTTGTTTTTTTTCTTGTCGTTATTCTAGAATTTCAAATCATCATTAATATAAGTAGAGAGCAAGAATTGACTCTCTTTTTCACTCATTCTACTAATAAAGAATGTTTTGGAGACGTACTACCAATCTATTATTATTAAACATATGTTTATTTCTTTTGATTGAATTTTTTATCATCAATCATGTTACATGTGGAAAATCACAAGAATCTGATAATAATATGATCAATGATGATGAATTTGCTGAATTTGAAGAACTAGATGATGATGATGATGGTAATGGTAATGAATTTGTTCGTCCGATATCATCATCGACACCGATGCCAATGGAAAATAGTGCGACTGATAAATCACAATCAAAATCATCGAATCAAGTGCCTGAACAGCCAAAATCATATGGCGATTTGGATTCCGATCCAGATACAATAATTATCGAAGAAGATGATGAAGAAGAATTTGAAACTGTTCGCGAAGAGATTGATGATGAAAGGCCGTAAGTTTTATCAAAAATTCTTTATGGAAAAAAATTCAATTCAACCATTTTTTCTGATCAACCCAATAGGTTAAATTTTGATGAGCCAAAAAAAGATGAAATTCAATTCACAAAAATACCGCTACATTTACGTACAAGCTGGGAAAGTTATTATTTGGAATTTATATGCATTATTGCATTGGCCATTTATTTCATCAATTATATTGCCGGTAGAAGTCGTAATATAAGAATAGCAAATATTTGGTTTGAAAAAAATAAGGACATTCTTGATTACAATTTTGCATTGGTTGGTGATGATTTGAAACAAAAAATCCAAGAACCAGGTTTACTGAAAGAAACGGAAAATGTTTATACATTATGGTGTTCTGGTCGAACAATGGTGGATGGAATGTTGATTGAAATACGTTTACAAAAACGACAAGATTTATTCTCAACGATTATCAATTACTTTAAACCAACCAGTGATAAAATTGTATGTTCAAATGATTTGTTATTAAGATTTTGTACTAATTTTCATCACCATATAGTTGATCAAATCATTCCTGAGTGCCGATTCAATGGATAATTTTGTATTTTGTATTGCTCAACGTAAAATTGCATCGAAATTATCTAAAGAAACTAATGATCTTGTTAGTATTTGTAGTTGAATTTGATTCTTTGATTCATTCATGTTTTTTTTTTCATTATAAATAGGCCACATATTGTCCTGAACGAAAGAATCCCGAAAAATATGGTATTACAAGTGATAATTATCTATTATTGAATGAAATTGGTGAAGCAGCAAGTTTTATTTTGGATTCAAAAATTGTTTCATTATTGGATAAAAATGATGATTTGATTGAATTTATTCATATTTCTGATCAATTTTCTGGCGCTCGTAATGAGTATGTTGTTGTTGTTGTTGTTTTCATTTATCTTTTTTATTTTGGATTTAAATAATTTGATTTTTGTTTTTTAATAGTGAAACACAACAATCGACAACAAAATTGCCCGAAGTTAAAAAGATGCTCATCATTTCTTTGAATTGTATGTTTTTGGTGATTGATTTTTTCTGTTAGCTTTTTTGTCTGATTTTCTGTTTTTTTTATCCATTCAATTCAGTACCATCACAAATATCTAGTCCAAATATGGATGAATTGGATCGTCTGAAACCATTGTTACAAATGGCATTCTATATGATTGATAAACTACGACGGTTTCGATTGAGTCGTGAAAAGAAATTAAAATCTGATCGTAATAGGCAAAAAGTGGAGAAATTATTTCTACAATCTACACATCAACAACGGCAGGAAGCAGCACAAATGAAACGTGAAGAAAAACGACGTGCTGAAAAGGAAAAAATGTTACAAGAAATGGATCCAGAAAAACAACGTAAATGGGAAGAAAAAGAATATAAACGTGAAATGAAGAAAAAAATACCGAAAATGAAACAACTGAAAATGAAAGCAATGTAAATGATCATGATGATGATGATGAAAATGTGTGTGTGTGTAAATATCAATCAATCAATCAATCAATTAATGCCACCAACAACACATGAACAATATTTGAACACAACATCTATGTACGGCCCTCAAATTTGAGTTTTTTTTTGTTGTCATTTTGGTCTAATAATAAAAATATAATAATAAATTCGAGAGATGGTCACAATTTGACATTATTCAAAAAATTTGAATTCAATTTAATTTTAATTTAATTCAAGTATTACATCGAATATGTTCATCCATAAGGGGAGATTATCATCAATAGAGAATGGAGAATTTTGTTGACAAAAAGAAAATTCCTGAAACAAAATTTTTTTTGTTTATCTATAGTTTTTTGTTTTTGCTTTTGTTTCAAATCAAATGAATGTGAAGAAAAAATTTTGTGCGTTTTAATTGAAAATTTTTTTTTTTTTTTTTTTTTTTGTTTTTCATTATCAATCGATGATGATGTGAAATATATATATAGAAATCTATGAATCAAAATCAATTTTACACTATCATGAAGGTTTTTTTTCAGTGTTGAATTATGCTTTTTTGTGGGTGTAGGTAGGTAGGTTGGTGGATGTGTATGGTGGTTTGCTTGAGCAAATGCTAAGTACACAAAGAGAGAGAGAGAGTATTTGGGTTTTGTTTCTTGGTGTGTATCAAGTTTGTTTTTTTTTCGTATACAAAAAAAGGAAAAGAAAAGAAAATCAATCGTGGACGTAGCAATTTTTTGGGGGGGGGGATGGGGAAAATTTTTTTCGTCTTGGTTTTTTTTTTGATGCTGAATTTGATTCAGGATGTCACTATATAATATATACTCACTCTAAATGCTGTACAGTGAAGCCAGCATTTTTGACTATTTACACCCAGCAGTTTGTTTTTTGTTCGAATGAATTTTTTGTTTGATCCAAAAATTATTGATGAAACCCCAGATCAGATAATCAGCAGCATTTTGCCTTGAATATGAAACAAAATAGATTGATAAATTTAATTTGAAAAGGAGAGAAAAAAAAAGTTTACCATTAAAAATCATCGATGAATTGTTAAATTTTCATTCTAAAAAAAAAAAAAATTTTGTTCTGTAGTTGTGTTTGTTGTATTATGTACAAAAATTGATTCTGAGTATTCAGGTACCAAAAAAAAAAAAAAAAGAGAGAGAGAGAATTGGGAATTTTTTTTTAACTGGCAATGATGACTGGAACACCCGGCGGCGGCTGTGTATTATTATTATTATTCACAGTTGATGAATTTGGCACAACAACCATATTTGATTGAGCCATCGTCGTGTTGTTGTTTACCATTGTTGACAATGTTGACGATGTTGACGATGCTGACGATGCTGACGATGCTGATATTGTACCATTATTATTATTATCTTGTTTTATCATCATCGGGTTATTATTAGTGTCATTTGAATTTTGAATATTTACAAATGTTGAAACGGATGAAATGTTGTTATTATTATTACTGTTATTCAAATGATTTTGATTAATAATTGGCTTTAATGGAATGGCAGGTCTTTGCTGTTGTTGTTGTTGTTGTTGTAATGGTTTTGATGTTGGTGGTGAATATTCAATACCGATCAATATCTGTTGGCAACCTTTTAATTCAGTAAAAATTTCCGTAAAATATGATGGTTCACTATTAATTTTTAACATTTTATTACTATGATTATTGATAATCATAATGGCACGTTGCCAAAAACGTTCACGTGTTTCATAATGTTCAATAATGAATGGTTTCAATGGATACGATATTTCATTACCCATATATGAATAGCTTAAATATAGGCACGATAATACGATTGCTTGTAATTCTTGTTCATTATCAATATCATCGGTGACCATTTCACGTAATAACATGTAAAGAAATACAACATTTGCTGGATTTATGAATGCCATATCCTATATATATATTGATTTGATCATTGGATGAAAAACATTGATTTGGATTTTTTAAAATACAAATTAAGACTAAAAAGATTCACACACAAACACATACCTGCCATCCTTGTAATAATAATGAACGATCAACAGTACGTAACCAAACGATAGCATCACCGGGTTGAAAACCATTTGGTTGTAATTTACGACATTTTCGACATAAAAATTCACCTAAACATCGTAATAATTCTGATGTTGATGCCTATATGGTTTGTTTGGTGGTGGTGATAAAAAAAAAAAATTTTAATCCAAATTAATCTAGAATTCGTCATCATCACAAAAATATTTCAATGAGTCATCATCATCATCATCATCACTTATCACAAAAATGGTCATTATTTACTGATTTCTAATTCTCTCAATATTAACATGGCTGTGTGTGTGTGTTTGATTGCTATATATACAACGATATAATATAGGATCGAATGATGTGCTTGGCCAATTTGCCAATCGAATATATACATCGTGTATATATGTGCGCATCCGATTTTTTTTTACATTTACAACCAAGAAAAAAACCATTTTTTTCACACACAGTAGTTATGCAAACAACATTTATATCACATTACTGAAACTACAATGTCCAGAAGTTGATTTTTTTTTTTCATTATTGACGTAATAGTCAATGAAATGGATAATGTTGATTTGGACAAGAGAAATCTTGTTTTTTTTTTTTTACAACAGAATTTGACTGGATTATCGATTATCAAAGAATTTGAAAATTAAGAAATTCTCCATTTTGTGGAGATTTACAATCATTGTTCAACACTTTTTTTGTTTGTTTGTCGTTTGGTTGTTCCATTTTGATGGAATTAAAAAAAAAAAAAGTTTCGATGACTCAGAATTTTATTTTATGGTCTCAGATGGACAATAATGGTAGATTATTATTACTTTTTGCGCTGCCGTACTCTACTACTACTAGCATCCTAAATCTCTATACAACTTTTGTGTATGACTCATCCATTCAACCATATTGGCGATGATTACCTGAATAACGGTTCTTTTTTGTTGCTGATTTGTTGATGCTGATGCTGTTGTTGTTTTAGCCAAATTTTGCATCGATTCATTAGAAGAAGATGTTGTGGTTGTTGTTGTTGTTGTTGATGATGAATCATTATTATTCGACAATATTAATGATGATGATCCATTATAGGTGCTTTGATTTGTTGAACAACTATGATTCGATGATGAACCGATACTGATTTCAGATGTACGACGAAATGTTGTTGTTGTTGTTGTTGTTCCATTCAATGGATAAATTTGTTGCTGCTGTTGTGGTTGTAATATACTGAATAGATTTGATTTTTGATTATTATTCTGATGATGATAATGATGATTATGATTGGCTTTACTAAGAAAAATGATTGGTTTCGTTGAATTGGCCGCAGTAATTATCTTGTGATTTTTTTGTTGCTGCTGCTGCTGTTGTTGTTGTTGTTGTTGTTGACGATGTTGATGTACCTGATGTATCGTAGGCGATTTTATAGCTACCGGTTCGGTTGTCAATAAAACTGGTTTCCTCGGGCCATTCATAAACGACGTTGCTGTTATTGTTTTTGGACTGGTTATCTTTTTATTATTATCATCATTTTGATTATTATTATTATTATTATTCGATCTATTATTGTTATTCAATAGAATTTTTGATGTCAATTTTTTCGTCATCGCCAAATGTGTTGTATCGATGATGATTGAACATTTTTTCTTTACAGCCACATTATTATTATCATCATTTCTTTCTGGTTGCTTTTGATTTTCATCGACATCCAAATCTGGTTCCAAATTTTTGTTGACATTTTTAACCAATTCAATATTGTTTGTTGTTGTACCAGATTTTAGATTATAACATGAAAATGATTTTTGCATTTTTCCATTACCATTGCCATCATTTTGGTCATTATTATTTTCATCACCATCACCATCATCATAATCATCATCGATAATGTTTGTTTCAATCGGATTCTTTTGGATAAATCCATATTGTTGATTCTTTTTCCATTTTCCATATCCTTTATTATTATTATTTTGATGGTTTATTGATGAATTTTTTGCATCAAAATTTTCTTGTTGTTTTTGTTTATTATTATTATGGTGATGAAAACCAAAATGTCTGCCTAAATGTAATGCTGAAATGAAATTTAATGATTTTTTCAATCCATAATGATGATGGTGGTGGTGGTGGCTATGATTATTATTACTATGACCATATGATGAATCATTTGCTGTAGAATAACCATTCGATGATGAAATACATGATGTATTAGTGTTCACGGATTTATTATGGCCATTTGAATGATGATGATGATTGAATAATCCACCAAAACGGAAATGATAATGTTTACCCGATGACGATGTGGATGATGATCCATTGTTTTGGTTATTATGAAACCAATTTGTTGATTTTATTGTTGAATTACCATTACAATGACCATTACATTGATTATGATTATGATGATGATGATATTTATCCGATGAAAATGCCGATGTTGGTTCAAGATGACGATGATCACTTTGATAGATGACTACTTTACCACGATCACCTTGTAAACTTAGTACAGCACCCATTTTTTTGTGGTGGTAATAACAACAACAACAACAACAACAAGAACAATTTTAACAACTACAAAAAAAAAATTTGAATTTGGCAAACAATTGTGAAAATATATCACAATTTTTTCACACAATTTAAATTCCGATTTCGATGAATTATTATTTATTTATCGATTATTGATTGAATGAAAAATTAGTTGTTTCTAGAAACAACTTATTATGCTAAGGTGATTTGAGTCAACAGAAACAAACAAACAAACAAACAAAAAAAGAATCTATTCATCTTTTGAGCATTTATCATCATCAATGGATAGATGTTCCAGCAAAGATTCTGACTCATAACATTGGTGTACCAGAAAGAATGCACGCCACTACTACTACTACTACCATTCAAATGTAGATTATTATTTTATCCGCTATATAGATTCTTTCTTTGGATCGTTTTAATGGTGGTAGTTGTTCCAACAAAAAAAAAATAAATTCTTGAATCTCCAGATTCTTTACACACATAGCACTATCATATATATATATATAGAATGCATGATTCTGTTTCCAGTTCCCAACAGTGCACCACAGTTATTCCATTGAGCACACACACACACACACATCATGGAACCCGAATATATTCCAGAATTCTACCATCATTCAGAATTGTATCCATGTCTCTATAGATTTTGTTTCTCTCTATATTTTTTTTTTTTTTTTTTGTTGAGAATGCGCGCCCGTTTTTGATATTGATCAAATTTTTTTTTCTGCATTCATTTATCCACATCCCATTACCAACATCCAACATTATCATTACCCAGAATCGATTGCGCATGGCCAATGTTTATGTGACAATTAATTATTTGCACACACAGATACATAGATGTTGAAAAATGATTTGTAAATCCAAAAAAACAAGGATAAAAATGAATGTTCAAATGATCAATGAAAAATGATCTAAATTATTATTTGATATGACTGTTGATTCTGTAATAAAATGAAATGAATTATCTCTATTGCACCGAAAAAAAATAACAGACAAGATTAAATCGAATCAAATTCTGTTGTCTTTATTTGATTGTTTCAAGACGTTTTTTTTCATTTTTCTGACTGTTTCTGTTTTATTTTATTTTTTTGTTGTTTCTTGGAATTGAATTGGAAAAAAAATAAATTCTGACAGATTCTCAAAAAGCTCATCTTTCCATTGTTTTCGTTTTTTTTCTTGGAAACATTTTCGTGCTTTGAATAGCGATGATGATGGCGATCAATTTTTTTTAGCTGATGATGATCCAGTTGAAACAACAGAATAGTATAGAATTTTGCAAACGAATCCAAACTTTTCGGCCAAGCCAATCATGCAAGTAGTGAATTCAAATGGTTAAATTAATTACCATTGTATCCGTTATTATTATTGCAGGTAATTCAATTTACCTTTGAGTGTGGCTTTTCAATTCTTTGATTAGAATGTTGTTCCATTTTGGATGATGATAATGATGATGATGGTTTAGAAATAATTCATTAGTAGAATGAATAATTAAATATGTAGAATGAACGATGAAACAAAACCGGTTTTTCCATTCAGATTTGAATGAGAAATAAACTCATATTTTTATCCGATAGATGGCGATCAATCCACAATATTTTTTTTTTCGAATTTTAAATAACACACATCTATCCGTGTGTCGTGTGTGTATTATTATGTGGATCATCACGATCATTAGCAAAAAAAAAAAAAAAATCCTTGCTGCGTGCCTGGCGCATCGACATAAAATGTCAACGACCGACAAATGAAAATCTGTTTCTTCTGGTTCTATCATGACCATTGTGTTTCTGTATTCATATGCAAGAGATTCGATTCACCCCGAAACTATCATTATGGATGAATCATACATCATCATCTTTGGATGCGTCATCTTTTTTATTTGTACTATAGTTTAATTATCTCATTAAAACCAAAAAAAGAAACCAAGATCAGATTTGTTAATCCTCATTGACCAAATTAACCAATTGTTGCTTATTAGAAAGCTCACACACACACACATTGTGTCAGGACCTAGATGCTGGGCATTTTTTTTCACCCAGGTTCAAGGTCTTTTTTTCAATCTATTCAGCCTGTGAACACTGGTGTGTGTTTGGTTTATATTTGGGATTTTTTGTTTTGTTTCCAATTTTTTCCTGGTAAAATTTTTTTGTAAAAACCAATGAATGAATTTGAAAACGGTGGTGAACGTGACTTTGCGTTCGTGAATTGCGTTACTGCTGTTGTTGTTGTTGTGCTATACTTTTGAAACATTTGAAAAAGTTCATCAACAACAATGAATTGAATGATGATCATCATCATTATGGAACACATACACACACACAAAAAAAAACTTTTTCGTTTCGTTCTCCACATTGGATTGTTCCATTTTTTTTTTTTTTTGTTTGAAAATTATTTTTACTTTTTCTGATTATTGATTGTGTGTGTGTGTGTGAGTTTGAAATGACGTTCCTATGTGTCCTGGGACCTGTCTGTTTTTTTTGAAACAATTACGCAACTACCAAACAAACACAGCCGTGTTTGGTTGTCATTTTCAGAATGTAAATAATGGAATTTTTGATTTAAAAATTTTTTGAATTAGAACGGGTGGCGCCAATCGAATTCTGAATTCATATTATCGATGATTTTTCATTGGAAAAAAGAAAAAAAATCATGTGATCCGATGTAGTAACCAGAACAGGAACAATAACGGAGAAAAAAAATTTGACTTTGAAAAAACACACACACACACACACTCGAAAAAGATTGTCAAGATTAACGATAATGATGATGATGATGATGGTAGTTCAATCTATCTAATATATCCAAGCATCCTTTCATTTTTCTTTCCCATTTCGATTCTTTTTATTCTTACCACTCCCTCTCTGTGATTCTCTGTGTACCAACAATATTTAAATGTGGATCACAACCAACAACCAACAACCACCCCTAGAAGAAATGTATGTAGTAGGAGGGAGGAATAGATGAAAAGGAAGATCATTAAAAAGAGAGAGAGAGAGAGAGAGGGTGATGAAGTGGAAATGGTGAGTGTGCGCGTATTGGATTTTTACAAATGTACAGTGTGACTTCTTTTTTTTCACATGGCAAGTTTTTTTTTTTTTTATTCATCCAGAATTTGTAAATTCAAATTGACGAATTTTTTTTTTACAAATCAAATTTATTTATTCTCTCTTTCATCATTGATTCAATTCAATTACTAAAAGAATTTGTTTCGAATGAATCGAATGAAGAAGTGAAAAAAAAATCATTTGAATCACAATTACCTATGGAAAATTTGCATTTTTATTTGATTTTGAATGCATTCGACGACAGTCAACCTTTTCGTTTTTTTTTTTGATTACTGTAATATATGAAAAAAAACAACATGATTACGGACAGAGAAAATTTCCTTTTTGAATCTGAATAAATTTTTTTTTTTTATACACAAAAAAGAGATTTGCTTCCTGCTTTTGTGTGTGTGATCCTCATCCTCCCTTTCATCATCGTCATCATCATCAACATCAAAATGGATCGGCTGTTGTTGTTGTTGTTGTTGCCAAGCAGTTTATTGCCAAAAAGTCTCGTGAGTTCTTTATATATGTTGTTGAATAACGTTTTTAGTGATCACGATGTTAATGTTGATGATGATGACAGTGGTGGTGGTGTGGTGGTGGTGGTGGTGGGTCATCCATAAGGTTGAAATCAACATTATGAAAAAAAAATCGATAAAAAGAATGTGGTGGTAGATGGTGGTGGAGTCTTCACACACACACAGTGGCCACACATCTTATGATTTTCTCCCGATATTCCACTCTTTTCTTCTTTTTCTTTTTTTTTATATTATTATTATCAATCCACAACAACTCCATTTCCATGAATGATGGTGATGAAGAATCGTGTTTTGTTTGAAATATTCAATGTTGTGTCCTTCATTCTTATACCAACACCCAAAGAAAAAAAAATCATCATTCGTCTAATGGATAGAGCAAATAAAGAATGCAAAGAATCGAAAATTGGATTATCACTGAATAATCAGAATTTTTGTTCTGTGTGTTTTCGTTTCCATAGATGAAACAAATCATTATTGATTGATTGATTGATTGATGAATGATAGATGGAGAGAGAAAAAATTTTTTTTTCCAATAAATTACATTAAAAGGCTACATTTTATCCAGTAATAAACCTGAACATGCAAGATTCATTTCCATTTCATTCGAACTTTTAGCTTTTTGTTGTTGTTGTTGTTGTTTTTGTTACTAATCTACCTTCATGATAATACCACCTTGAACTTTGACCTTGTCGGATGATTGTTTTTTTTTCTTTAATGATAAATGTGCGAATGAATCTTTCTTTTGTATATTTGAAAAAAATTGACCTTTTCTTTTTCAAGTCAATTAGCTAATCTTGATGGCTATGTTGATGATGATGATGATGATCACTTCTATCGATACACACACAGATGGATACAGTCAAGAAGTAGAAAAAGAGAAAAAAAACTTGAATCGAATTATCATAAAAATGAAGAAATGAGAGTTTTTTCTTTCCTTTATTCGTGGACGTTGGTACTCATCAACCGAACAACAACAACAACAACAACCAACGATGAACGAACGAACAAAGAACAAAGAAAGGTCAATGCAATTGTATATGGGGTAGCGTCACCAACACCACCAGCAGCAGCACCACCACCACACACAAAAAAAAACAAGAATCACAAGTTGAAAAAAATCATCAGCAAAAGAATGATAATAATGAAATTGTTGGTCCTGTTGAGATTCTATTATGATGAAATGTTTGGTCATCACCAAAAATGATAATTGATGACCAATTGATAATTATCATCGGGATACATACACAAATGAAGACTTTTGTCCTTTTTTGTTTTGTTTTGTTTTTTCACAAAAGTGATGATGATTATAATCCACCATCAGTGATGAACAGGTGACCTTTTTTTTCGAGTTCAAGGTATCATTATCATCATCCGGTCAATAATGATCTTGATCTGTTGATTTCCCATTATGAAATTTATATATAAATATCTGATGATCTTTGACCTCGAATTTTTTTTATTTTTATTTTTATATTCCTGTATTTGAAATGGAAACAATTTGGTATTTTGTTTTATTTTCCAAAAATCAATCCAAAATGGATCAAATCAAATGATGTTTTTTTTCTTGATGGATGGATCACCAAAATGTTTCGAAATAGGTTCGGTTCAGTTTTGTTTTTTTTTTTTTGTATATCTTAACCTGACTCTATCATAACAACAACAACAACAACAACTCCACCGCAAATTTATGATAATTGCGGGTGTAACACACACACACACACACACACGTTATTATCGGTCACATCCATACACATACACCAGCTGAGAAACCAGAAAAAAAAACAAACATTTACATTTTTTTTTTTTCTTCTGAAAATAAACAGGATATATATATATCTATTAACTATTTTTCTAACTACTACTACCCACAATTAAAATGTATATATATATTTTTTTCACTATTTTATATGCCACTTCTTTCTTTCTTTCGTTTTTGGTAGTATGAAAACAACAAATGGTTACAAAAAGTTTTGTCATATGACTTTACTTTAATCAATATGCTTCTATTTATATTATATTACTGCTATTACAAAATAAGTAGTAGCATAGATGAATTCTAGAAGTTAACAGAAAACTACCACAGCTGTATGTCTCTCTCTCTCTCTAACATCAACAACAACAACAACAACAACAATATCAGCCGCTGCTACCGGCTTCTCTTCTTCCTTCTCCTCTCTCATCATCATCATCATCGACAACATTATCATGAATGTCTTCTGCTTGTGTATTGCTGCCGCTGCTGTTATACTGTACCATTTGTCTTTATACCGTAAAACAGGAATGAACTGAACAAGATATGTGTGTATGCGTGTATATATGTGAAACGACAAAACTTTGGACCAAAAACCAAAAAAATTCTTCGATTCAAGATCAAATGATGTTTTTGGTGTGAGAAATGAGACCAAACAGAAACTGTTTTTTTTTTTTGTTCAATCAATCGAATATGAATTTTTATCAGTGAAATTTTTGCATTGTTCCTGGTCAAAATTGTTTCTGGTGACAATGATGGTTTTTTTTGCCCATTTGATCAAAAAAGAAATTGCTTATCATCATTGTGAATTATGATTTTTTTTTCTTCATCGGGGAAAAAACCCTGCATAAGTTTGTTTTGTTTATCTTTTTTGACGTCAATAAATGAAAAAAAACATCATCTACAAAAGCCGGTATATTATAATGGTGTGATATGTGTGTTGTATGAAATATGATTGATAATATCGACAATGGTTAAATGAAAGTCAAACAAAATCGAATCAAATCAAATCAAATCAAATTGATTGATTGAATGAAAACGTTGACAAAATATTTTGCTTACGATGATGATGATGATGATGATGATGATGGTTGGTTGCTGTATTTCATCGAAACAAAACGAAGGGGAAAAAAATGCCGGCTTTTTGATGTGATAAAATCCAAAAAAAAAATCACATCATCATCATCATCATATTTACATATTATGCAAATTGTTCTTCCTTCGTAATATTTACGGTGGTATGTAAACCAAGAAAAAAAAAAAAATGCATGAATTACAATATTGATGAGAGAATCATTGTAAAGAAAATTCTTTTCTTTTTTTGTTCTCTTTTTTTTAAAAAAAAAGCTGAAATGATGAATTTTCAACAATTTTGACATGAAGATTTAATGTTTTTTTTTTTTTGGATTTGTTTAGATTTTTTTTGTTTGTTTGTGCATGTTTTGTTTTTTGTTTTTTTTTACTAAGTCGACAACGACGACGACATTTTTATCGTCATGTCCACGATGGCAACAATACCATTATCAATATCATTAGATTCGATGGCGACAAATTCAAACAATTTAACGTCAACAACAACGTCGTCATCATCATCATCATCATCGAATCGTGGTAAATGGTCAGCAGCAACAATTGGTACAATTATTAGTGCACCAATACGTGGTTATTATTATCCTGGAAGAGTGAAAGCAATTAAGAAAACATTACCACCGACGCCAACTACTACACCTACTACTACTACTACTACTACCAATACTACCAATACTTCTAATTCAATGCTGCCAAAAGATTTATCACCATCATCATCTGATAATCATGCCAATAATCAACAACAACAACAACAATTGACAACAAATAATGCCAACAACAACAACAATAATAATGGTCAATTAATATATTCAATACAATTTACAAATCCATTAGATTCATATACATTTGATTGGATGGATGAATTAGGTAATGGTAATGGTAATGATCAACAACCAAATGATAATCAATCCACCGCCAACAATACCAACACCACAACAGTTACAACAGCAAAAGATCAAGGTCTTATATTAGATTATACTGCCGATCAATTAATTGGACGTGGTTTTGAACCAATAACACGTGCATTATTAAGTGAAAATCAAAAAGTATTCATTACTTATCGTAATCGTGAATGTTCGGCACATGTTTTAAAACATGATACTGATACAGATGATGTTACCTTGGTTATTGATTCACCATCATCATCATCATCATCATCGACAATGGCAACAGCGACGACAAACTCATCATCATCATCATCATCATCGACAACGATAAATTCATCTACATCCATATCATCATCTAATCATCATCATCAGGATTTATCAACCAATCAACAACCACAAGAAATTCGTATTGTAAGATTAAATGAAATACGTTTATTACCATCAAGAAAATCAGCACGTATTCAGGAACATCCAGATTATAGTTTATTAGCATCGAATGGTCGTCGATCACCGGATGATAATTTGGAAATGAATCAATCATCAAAATCATCATCAACGATGAATAAATCAAAACAATCACGGCAACGAAATCAATCTGGTTCCAGTATTTTATTGACAAATAACAGTAATAATGGTGAAATTCAGAATAATGGTTTTCGTATGAATCATCATCATCATCAACATCAACAATCGGCTCATATTGATGTACCACAACAACAAAAATTGAATCGTTTTGGTCATTCATTCAATCAAAACAACAGCAACAACATTGGTGCCATGTAAGTTTTTGAATTGTTCTTTTTTTTCAATTATATATCTTTATAATATAATGGTGGTTGGTTTTTTTTTGGTTGATTTCGATTTTGACCCTTGAACTTTTAATCATGTGATTTTTGATGATTTTTTTAAAAATCCTGTAAAACGGTAGATAGATTGCTCGAGTTTTTCATTTTGAATTAAATTCGTTTGTGTGTGTGTGTGTGTGTGTTTAAATTTATCTTTATTTTACCATCATCATCATCATGATGATGATGATGATGGCCAGAACAATAATGTATAGAAAAAATCCATCCATCTAATATATAAAATGATTGTACTTAAAAGTCGTTAATCAATGAATGAAAAAGAGAGAGAGATACACCTGTGTGTGTGTGTGTGTGAAAACCAGAGAAAAACTCTAGTTTCTTCGTCATGGTAGTATTTTTTTTTTTTTTTTTTTTATTTAATACTTATGCAGACCAAATTTCAAATCAACTTATATATAACCTTATGTGATGATTATGATTTAAACCTGTTTTTTTTCTTGGTTCTTTATTATTATTATTATTATTTTGTTGAATTTTGGTGGAAACAACAACAACATGTTATATCACACATATATATACTATATAATTCTCAATAAAAGATTTTGCCCACCATTACCATTATGGTCAATGGATTGATGATCCAATGTAATGATTTTCATCGTTTCATGTTGTTGTTGTTGTTGTTGTTGTGTTGTTTTATTTAATTTTTGGTTGTTGTTGTGTTTTGCGGATGCTTGGATTTTTGGTGCTACTCTGCAATCACTAATTATCTTTGATATGTTTGTGTGTGTGTTTGTGTTTGACTGCATACAATTGTTGTTGTTGTTGTTGATTACTGTAAACAACAACAACGACGATGATGACGACGACAACAACAATTTAATGCTTACTGTGATGTGATATGATGATCCACAATCAGTTTAGTTATAATAACAATTAATTAATGAGGATGCAAACTGTGTGTGCTGCACATGCACACAAAAGAACTTTTGACTTGTGGTTGATGATAACTGATAGAATGGCAGATTGCTTGGAGCCATGATCATCATACCGGCTTTTTTTTATACTCATTTTCTTGGTAATGAAAATGATCAACAACCGTAATAATAATAATGTTTATTATCTCGATGATGTGATGCAATCTGTATGGTGAATGATTATCATTTTATTATTATTTTTATATATGAGATGTGTGAGCAAAAGCGCAGTATTTTTTTTCATTTTGCAATCGAAAAACTCTGCACAGCTGTTGTTGTTGATTTATTTAGCTTTTGATCCATTTCCAGGAGTTACATTTTTTTTTTTTTTTTTTTTTTGATTTGCAACGCACACACACACACACACAAAACACAAACGCAATACACCCTTGTTCCTTGTAATAATAACGAATAATATGATACATTGTAATGTGGATGAATACGGCCAGTGACACATATGGAACATTTTGAATTGATGATATGGTTCACTTTCTCTAGGGGTTTATTTCATTTTTTTCCCATACGAATTTTGAATTTTTTTTTCTTTCATTGTTTTGTCACTGTGTTACTGCAGAATAACAATCATTGGTCGAATCATTCATTTCATTTCAATCGAAAAAAAATGCAATTGAAGGTTTGCGTATCCATCCGATTCGAGAACATTGATCCTTTTTTTTTGTTTTTTGTCGTTTGATGATGTTTTTGTTTTATTTTATATTTAATTTAATTTCATTTTTGATGGAAAAAACCTGATCAAAAAAAAAATTTTTGTTGTTCTAAATCGGTTTTTGTTTTTGTTGTTGTTGATAAACAAATGGATGGACGATGGTTAAATTGCAAATAATGTTCATTTGTTTGTTTGTCTGGTTAATTTATTTTTGTTTGTTTACAATGAAATGGGTGCAATTTTTACACACACACCGTCATCATCATCATCATCATTTTTGGATTCTATTTGGCAATTTAAAATCCGGACTATAAATGTTGTTGTTTGTGTTGTTGTTGTTGTTTGATGTTTAATGTATTAAATACTGATGATGCAATTAATGTGCATAATAATGGTGATGATGATGATGATAAAATGTCGAATGAATAATAGAATATATACGTCGTAGTTGGAAAAAATTTTTTTAAATTTTCTTGTTGTTGTTGTTGTTATTAACGAGAATGTAGTGATGATTATTATTATGATTATGCAATACAAACGATAATGTACGCCATGATCAATGTGTTACCATTTTTTTTATTATTATTATTAATGCACATATTTTTTTTTTGCAGGGGGAGAGGGAAGAGGGAGAGGGAGAAAAATGTAATATCAATCCAGGTACATCACAGATAGATAGGTTGGGCACTTTATATACACTCATTCACACACACATAAATGAAATGTACATTTTGATTGTGGTGTGAATACTGATGATGATGATGATGACCAGTTTGATCTAGTTTTTTTTTTTGGTCAATTTGATTTGATTTTTTTTTTTGAAAAAAAAGTTTACTTATTGTATGTTTGAGTGTGTTTGTTTATCATTTTTTTTTATTTTTGCTTTATCTGATGTTTTATTATTGGCCATCATATATCTAGCATGATGATCTAAAATGATGATGTGTAATTTGTGGGTGTATTCGTCAGTTTTGTTTTGTTTTTTTTTTTATTTTATTCATGAGAAAACAAAAAATGACTATGAGAAGAAACAGACTTGTTCGATCTTATCATTTTTTTTTTTTTTTTTTTGGACATTATTTTTCTAACCATTTGACTTTTACTCATCAATCATCATTTATTTGTGTGTTTATTTTAAAAATCGATTGGCGAACAAAGATGATGAAGAAATTTTCTATACTTGAAATACATACAATGTTATTAACTGGTGATTGTGGTGAGGACCTTTTTAAACTTTTATGTGACAACATGAGAAAAGAGAAAATTTTTTTTTAATTCATTTCCTATTAGCATAATTGTTTTTTTCGTTTTTTTTCTGTTCATATCAAAATTCACTCATTCTGTCTGTGTGTTTGGTAAAGATTTACATTCAATGTCAATTTTAGCTGTTTTTTTTCCAAATATTCTTGATTTTCCAAGTCCATTAACCATCGTCATCATCATCATCATCATCATCAATCCACTATATGGACCTCTATGTGTTTTGTCCATTATTTTATGATAATGATGATGATATCACATTTCCAGTTGTTGTTGTTGTTGTTGTTGTTTATATATTCCACAAATGTCCATATATATCTATATAAATCAGTGGTTCATTAGAATATCCTTGACACATGAAATAAGTTGTCATCATCCGCATCATCATTGTCATTATTATTGTTGGATGCATTTTTTTTCGCTCTCAATTCTCTCTCTGTGTGTGTGTGTGTGTGTATATATGTGCTTGGAATGATGATTTTGGATGATGGCAATGAATGAAATGGAAGAAAAAAAACACATTAATAAAACACATTAACACAACAAATGTCACATCTGTTTTGTTTGTTTGTTTTCTAATGAAAAAAATGTCTGTGTGTGTGTGTGTGCGTTGTTGTTGTAATAGTTGTTTTTTTTTTGAATCCAAAAAAACCAAAAAAGAAACTGACGAATCCCCTGTGTGATGGTCGAATAATTGAAACGTGTTATAAGAAAAATAATAATAATGACATGTCATTTTTGAATTTTGATTTTTTTTTTCTTTCTTTCTTGAGAATATGCCATTTGTGTATGGCCTCCGCCCCCCTTAAAAAATCAAACCAATTTTTAAACAACAACAAAAACAAGTAATAATCCTTGACCTAGTGTACAATGAATGGAAAACATTTTTTTGTTTTTTATTTTATTTCCATTGGCCATACACAAAAAAACAACACTTGTTTCATATTTCTTGTTTGTTGTAGCCAACGATGATGGCGCCTTTTATTCAAAATTCTCCGTTTTTTTTGTCTGTCTGGTTTGGCAATCTACCAATGCATGAGGTCAATAATCGATTTGATTATTAATTGCACATATCAGGAAATGTTATCATCATCATCATCATCATCATCGAAAAAAACAGTCGTAGAAATCTTTAGAAAAAACAAATGAAACAAGTCAAACAAACACAACGGTACTTGTCATATATGCGATCATATGTAATTTTTTCCCCTTCTCAATATATCTTATCGGAAAAAAAGTACCAAAAAAAACTAACTTATCCATTCAATCCGGGATTATCGTCATCATCATCATCATCATCATTGATCACTATCATCATTATGGAATATAAAAAAAAGACAAAAGTTTCCATTTGATTATCTATCATCGTCGATCATTGATTTTCAATCAGCCAAAGTTTACAATTTCAGGATTTAATATTTTTTTTTATTTTTATCATTATTATTCAGGCGTTTTTATTGTTGCTGTTGCTGGGGTCCTTGGGTACAAGTCATCATCGATCGATTTTTTTTCTGTTGTGTGTGAGTGTGTGTGTGTGTGTCAATCGCTTTTTGTTTCGATATATTGAAAGATGATTTATCGATATCCACATACATAGTTACCTAGAAGCATTTTGTTGATCTAGTGTCGATCGATCTTTTTTTTTTGTTCGTTTGTTTAATCAAAATCTTTGATCGATTATTGTGTGTGTGTGTGTGAGTGTGTTTTACAAGATTTTTTTTTTCTATTTCGAGTGATTTTTGTCACTTTGTTTGCGTGTGTGTGTGTGACACTAGAAAAAAAACGGCCATAATCTTTTTTTATTTGTTTGATTCATCTTGAATAAATGTGAAATATCTTTATCTTGTATAGTATGTTTATGATGATGATGATGAGTCAATAAGTGTGATGATGATGATGATGTTAACAGTACAAAGTTTACACTTGTTGCGCCAGGTATCCATCATCATCATCATCATCATCATCATCTATGCTTATCATTTATCGTTTCTTGTCCATTTACTTTACATTTTTTTTTTTTTTCAATTTATAATTTCGAAATACAAATTGTGAGACAATTTTTTTTTTTATATTTTAAATAAAGAAATCCTTAGCGAGTGTCAACATTATTATCAAACACAAACATTGAAATAAAAACTCTATGTGTGTGTGTGTGTGTGTGTGTGTGTCTGCTACAATTGGACAATTGGTGGTGATGTAATGGATTTTGTGTATGGAAAAAACGAAAATGAGGTCAATATTTTAAAAATAAAAAGA